AATCTGCAATTATTTTACCCTTTGCATTTATAAAAAGCGAAAAACGTTATTGTAGCTATAAGTAATGCTTTTTGCATTAAGATAATCACAAATCCCTTGAACGCGTGTTTTTTTTTAGGTGTAGAATGCGGCGCGGGCATGTTGTTTGGCTTTGGTGCTGGTGCAATTGTGTTGGGAGAGGTAGAGTTTAGGTGGGGAAAAAAATTGCGGTCCGGACTTTTTTGTCCAGACCGTGGAAGGGTAACGTGAATCCTGCTGGCGTAGATAGAACATGTAAACTTTTACTCTGCCGCTCTGCCACTCTGCCGCTCTGGTTCCGCAAGTACATATGTACTTCATTGAATCATCCGCTTATTGGCCTTGGTCTTGTCCTGTTATTTTACATGGAGGAGAAGGTCATGGGCAAACATGCCCACCTGAGGCCACACCAACCGAGTTTTGCTTCAACTCAATCCATGAGGTCAAGTTTATAGCATGCTAAACTTGGAGGAGAAGGTGATAGCTTGTTGACCCCCATCACCAGTACAGTCCAATACCTCGTATAAGAGGGCTTAGAGAAGTACAGGGCTTCATTCAAACCCCATCCTGCGAGCTCAAAGATAACTCCTCAAAATCAGCATGCTATCTTTTTCTTCGTAGATTTGAATCAGTCAAACGTTGCAATGAAAGAACCTGCTGGTTTAAGCATTCACAACATCAACCAGCTGAAGACCGTCTAACGCCAGAAACCCAAACAGGCAGACATTTGTTTCGCTAGTCTAAACCATCCTACTGGCGGGAGCCCAGTCAGGCAAGTTTCAAAGGCAAAACAAAGGCCGACTCCTTGAAGCCGAATGCTCATGCTGGCTCTTGGATAACAACAGCTCGAGAGTGCGCTAGATGTTCGCTCGAGCTTCATCGGTTTCGGAGGCTGTCACCAGGGCCGGCTCGGGACCTTTTGGTGGGTGGAAAAGAAGTGCGTCGCCGGTAGGAGGTGGGCTTAACAATTCAAGAGGAGTGAAACACATAAGTCGACATCGAGACGGTTAGGGGTAAGACGGCCGACAGGCGCGGAGCCGGGCAGGGTAAATGAGACCAGGAGATATGATAACTTTAGGGGTTGCCAGAGCCTCGAAACCAAGCTACAACTACAGCCCTGTGATATCCTTGGTGGTAAAAAAGGGGTGGGACGTTCATTTTGTGAGGAACAAACCAATGACCCAGGTGCCCCGCAAACAATACCGCCCGCAGGCAGGGCTCTGCCAGTACGCGCGGCAGGAGGGAGTGGGTGCCCGTGGCCCGTCGCGGCCGATTCAGCCATCTAACCCCGCTTCGATAACCCGGCGGCTGCCGTTTCTGCCGCTGGTACTGGCGCCGCCGAGGCGGAGGCGGAGGAAAAGGAGAAGGTGATCCGCAGTCACATTGCGGGGCTGGAGGCGGGCCTACCACCAGTCCCGTCCTAGGCCGACGGTGGCGCTGGTGACGTCTCTGTTGTTGGTGGAGGGAAACCCTTGCCTCTGTGGCGCTCGCCGCAAAGGGTCCTGAACAAGAATTGGAGGTAGTAGCCTTTGGTGTCGTTGTTTTGGTTGCTCTGGCTAAGGGTTCCTTCTGTGGCCCTGCGTGGCTGGGCCGGTAGCCGGGTGTGGCTTTCCTTTCTGGCGACCCACACATCACCCCATCAAGACTTGCTTGGACCCGAAACTTACCTCCATCGACCCGACCGCAGCAAGTGAGGGCGCAGGAAATTGTTGCCTCAATTCGTCGTCAATCCGCCTCTCCATTCCGTAACAGCCCTGCAAGATGCATCCCTCGCAGTCGCTCCGCATGTTCCAGCCGACGCGCCGGCTCATGCGCCCGGTTCCCGTACGGCCCCTCATTTTCTAGATGGCGATGACGACGGGTGATTGGGACGATCAGATGCTAACAGTTCCCACAGAAGGAGGAGCAAGCCGGTATGGCAAATACCCGGCCACTTAGCCCCGCGATGGCCTCTTGACGAAGCGCCTTATTGTCGAGCACCGTTTGAACATGAAAGGCCAATGGCTTACGATTTAACTTTTCCACCGCGCGCAGCCCACACCGTCTCGCAGCGTCTTCGCCGCCTGAAGAAGATCCCCCCGGAGCTGTTCCCTCTCGGTATGTGTGTCTAGAGGCCGGCTTATCAGGTTCTCTGGGCCAAGTGGTGCGGGCGCGCATGCCTAGGACGTTCTGCTGACTGATGCGCCCGCAGGTGTCGTCGTTGGTTTTGCCCTACTGGCCGCCGGCTACTCCAGCCTACGACACTTCATGACCGACAGGACCATCCGCCTGAAGCGCCAGAACCGCGCCGCCGATAAGCACGAGGGCGCTCACCACTCGGACCACTCGGACCAGCACTCGGAGGAGAAGAAGGAGGCTTCGCACTAAGGGAGGAGGATGTGAGATCGGCAAGAAACGTGCAGCACAGGATGTAGGCACCGCCCGGGAGACTTGGGAGTGAGGACAGGCTTCAACGTGTTGCTTTGCCCCGCGCGCCGGGTATTTGCGCCTGTTCGTGAAGATTTGTTGCCGTTTTCATATCACCCGTCTTGGTTGGCAATACATATAGGTGGCATATCAGAGGCATGCCCCGAGTTCAAGTGCCTGTTCAATGTGAATCCGTTCCCGGCACACTAAAAACGCCAATCCAACGCCTTTGCTATGCAGTACAAGAAAAGTAGAATGCCCCGAGTCCGTTACTCGGCGCGTGGACCTGCAACATCAAGACCCTCGAGACCTTGCATTGGGTCATCGACAAGTGCTTCAGGTTCAACCCCATTCGATGGATCTTGAAGCCGGTCTTCGTCACCGACGGCATTTTGCGCGATCCATCCCTCCTATAGTCGCGGATCAGTGCTCCGTGTCACGGACTGGTGGCAGAAAATCAGGGTCTCGCTAAATCAGAGCACGTACCTGTTCCCACACGGCTGTCCTGCTCCCAAGCCCCCCCTCCTGAGTGCTCTTGGGCGGTTTGGCGGCGTGGACTTTTATGATGCGGCCAAAGAGCTCGGCCTGGTCCATGTTGTCCATGGCCTCCTTGGCGTCGTCGGCGTCCTCGAACTCGACATAGGCGAAGCCCCTGTGGGTTTCGGCAGACTTGGGGTTGTCGTTCTTGGGTAGCTTCACGTCGGCGATCTCGCCAAAAGGGATGAACGCATCGTGGATCGTGGCAGCGGTGACAAGATTGGAGAGGCCGCCCACATAGAGGGTGGCCTTCCAACGGGTCGAGTCCGTCATTTTGGACGCTGTCGGGAGCGGCGCTGCTGTTGGAAAATTATACCAATGAGTATCTCATTGAAGCAGTGGCTGCAAGCTCACCGGAGTTTGTTCACACCCCAGGCGCGCCGTGTCGCCAGCCTATCAGGAGAGGGCACGGACCGGCGGCACAGTGGGGTTGCTGCCCACTGGACACATTGCCCACCATCCATTGGCCTCGCCCTCTTACAACCACCTCTGGCGACCTGGCGACCTCACCCGCCGTCGTCTTCTTCACAACAAGCCAGTTTCTCTTTGCCGACATTCCTCCCCCTTACAGAGCGGCCCGCGCTCCCATCCATACACCCATCCACCCATCCAAGTAACCCTAGCCGAAATCGGGCAACGGCTGGCCCAACCCGCCTTTTCGCATCTTGAGTCTAGCGGCGCACCCAGTGTTGCCCGCCGCCAACCTCTCTGCAGCCCAATCACGGATTTTCCGGCGCATACGACCTTGCCGCCATGGTTAAGCTGAGGGAGATACCGCGGACTGCGGCCTTTGCCTGGTCTCAGGGAACCGCCAGGCCCTTGCTGGTCACAGGAACCCGCGCCGGCGCCGTCGACGCCGACTTCTCGGATGAGACCAAGCTTGAGCTCTGGGATTTGAAGCTGGAAGACGAGCAGCAGGGCCTGGAGCTCCAGCCCATTGCTAGCATTAGCGCGGACTCGAGGTATGAATGGGTGCTGCTTGGCCGGGCTGCTGCTTGCTTCCCATGATGCGATTCTCTCGGTCCGCTGACACCGTCCGCCGCAGGTTCTTTGACATCGCATGGGGTCCGCCGAACGAGGACTACCCATACGGCATCATTGCTGGTGCGCTCGAGAACGGCTCGCTGGACCTATGGGACGCCGAGGGGCTGATCGACGGCGACGACGATGCCCACATCTCACGCACCACCAAGCACACGGGCGCCATCAAGTCGCTGCAGTTCAACCCTCTGAGACCCCAAATATTGGCCACCGCTGGCGCCAAGGGGGAGCTGTTTATATACGATGTCAACGACATATCCAACCCGTTTCGCCTTGGGACCGCCGCCGCCCAGGATCTCGAGTGTGTCGCCTGGAACAGGAAGGTTCCGCATATTTTAGCCACTGGCGGCTCGGGCGGCTTTGTCACGGTCTGGGATCTGAAGACGAAGAAGGCGTCACTGACGCTGAACAACAGCCGCAAGGCCGTTAGCGCCATTGCTTGGGACCCCAACAACTCGACCAAGCTTCTGACGGCCACTCCCGACGACACCATGCCCGTCATCTTCCTCTGGGATCTGCGCAACTCCAATGCGCCCGAGCGTACTCTTCAGGGGCACGAGCAGGGCGTGCTGTCCGTGTCCTGGTGCCAGCAGGACAGCGATATCCTTATTTCTTGTGGCAAGGACAACAGGACCATCGTCTGGAACCCACAGACCGGTGAACGATACGGCGAGTTCCCCGAAGTCACCAACTGGACCTTCCTCACCCGTTTCAACCCCAGCAACCCCAACCTTTCGGCCACCGCCTCGTTCGACGGCAAGATCGCAATCCAGACCCTCCAGAACACCAACCCCACGGCGACCCAGGCGGCTGCCCAGAACAACCTGGACGGCGAGGATTTCTTCACCAAGGCTCAGACGCAGCCTCAGGGGGCCTCTTTTACTCTGACCAAGGCCCCCACCTGGTACCAGCGCCCAATCGGCGCCTCGTTCGGATTCGGCGGCAAGGTTGTGGTTTACAAGGCGAAGCAGACTGCTCCCGGCCAACCCAGGTCGTCGGAGGTCACCATATCGCACTTTGCCGTGGACTCTGAGGTCGGCACCGCTACCGAGAAGTTCGAGGAGGCACTGAAAGCGGGTGATCTCAAGGCCATCTGCGAGTCACACCGCGAGGAGGCCAAGACGGAGCAGGAGACGGCAGATTGGAAGCTTATGGAGACGCTGGTTGCTGAGAACCCGCGTAAGCAGGTTATCGAGTACCTGGGATTGTCTGTCGAAGAGGAGGAGGAGGACGCGGCTCCAGAGAGCCAGGGTGAAGACGCAGTCGAGGACGCGGACGAGACGGCCGCCCCGGCTCCCAAGGAGTCATTCAAGAGGCACAAGAAGAACCGCCTGTCCACCTTTTTTGCCGACGGAGCCGAGGGAGACGACTTCTTGGCCGGTCTGGCTGCCACCAAGGGCGCCAAGACGGAGAGTCCTTTCCATCTACTGCGCGAGGGTAACACGTCCCTTGAGGACTCGGTCACCAAGGCAATCATGCTTGGAAACTTCACCAAAGCTGTTGAAATCTGCATCAAGGCAGACCGCATTGCGGATGCGTTCCTGATTGCCAACTGCGGCGGGAAAGAGCTCGTGGATCAGGTACAGACGGCCTATATCGGCCAGAAGAAGGGCACGCCCAGCTACCTGCGCCTGCTCGGATCGGTCATCAACCAGAACCTGTGGGACGTCGTATACAACGCAGATCTTGCCGACTGGAAGGAGACGATGGCGACGCTGTGCACATTCGCCAAGCCCGAGGAGTTTCCTGACCTGTGCGAGGCGCTGGGTGACCGCATCTTCGAGTCGGGGTCCCACCAGGACGCGTCTTTCTGCTACCTGGTCGGCTCGAAGCTCGAGAAGGTCGTTGACATCTGGATTGCCGCACTGGAGGAGAGTGAGCAGGCTGAAGTCAAGGAGGAGTCGGGCGACAACACCTTTTCAGTCCACGCCCGGGCCCTGCAGCAGCTAATCGAGAAGGTCACGGTGTTCCGCCAGGTCACTAAGTTTGAGGACTCGGAGACGAGCAAGACGTCGGACTGGAAGCTGGCGGCTCTGTACGACAAGTACACCGAGTACGCAGACATCGTGGCAGCTCATGGCCAGCTGGCTGTGGCACAGAGATATCTCTCCCTTGTGCCCGCAGCGTACCCTGCGGCCGAGGTTGCGAGGACCAGGCTGCAACTTGCCACGGGCCAATCTCAGGCCAAGCCCGCTGCCGCCAGGGCGCAGGCCCCGGCAGCCCGCGCCTCGTCGAGGCAGGCCCCTGTTGGATACCAGCCTCCCCAGCCGGCTGCGCCGCAGAACCCTTACGGCGCCCCAGGGCCAGCTCCATCGCAAACCCCGTACGGCACCCCCACACCGGCGGCACCGGCAGCCAACCTCTATGCTCCTTCGGCATCCCCGTACGCGCCTTCTGGAGCCTCCCCCTACCAGCCAAACTCGGCGTACGCACCGCCCCAGCAAAATTCGGCATACGCACCACAGCAGACTTCAGCCTACGCGCCAGCCCAGCAGACAGGTGGGGGATACGCACCGCCAGCGGTGGGCTACGGGCAGCCGCAGCCTGCCTACGGGGCGCCTCCTCCGCGGAACGCGACGCCATCGGCGGGCGCGCCGCCCAGGATTGTCAAGGACGTGGGTACATGGAACGACGTCCCCATGGTCACCAAGGCTCCCCCGCCTCGTCGGTCGACGCCGAGCGTCGCGCCTGTCACGGCTCCCTTTGGCGGCCAGCAGCAGGGCCAGGTTCTGCCGCCGCCGCCGCAGAGCCCTTACCTCGACCAAAGGGGTGCCGCCACGCCTCCACCTCCGCCACCCAAGGCGGGCGCCGCCCCTCCCCGCGTCACCTCGCCTCTTGTCAGCTCGCCGCCATCTGCCCACGCGCTCAACAGGCCACCTTCGACGGCCACGTCGTCCTATGCGCCGCCTCCGGCTGGCCCTGGCATGGCGATGCATGCGCACCCTCCCCGCACCGCATCTCCGTATAGCGCTGCCGCCTCGACGGCGCCGCCGTCGAACAGGTATGCGCCGGCCCCGGCAGCTCAGCAGCCACAATACGGAGCGCCGGCAGGCAACTCAGCGCTTCCCCCTCCAGCCATGAACAGACCTCCTCCTGCCAACCCGTATGCTCCCGCGCCGCAGCAGCCCTCAGCGGCTCCTCCTGGCCACCAGGCGGGGTATGCACCATCGCCGTACAACGCGGGGATGCCTCAGGGTGGTCCTCCGCCCGTGGGGCCGCCCCCGGGCGCCAACGCTGGACCCCCGCCGGGTGCTGCGAGCACACCTACGCCACCTCCCCCGCGTGCTGGGGCACCTCCAAAAGCGAAGCACCCCGCAGGGGACAGGTCACATATCCCTGCCGCTGCGCAGCCGCTGGTGGACATCTTCAGCCGTGACATGCAGCGCGTGGCCGCCAAGGCGCCCGCATCTTTTGCGCCGCAGGTCAAGGATACGCAGAAGCGTCTCAACATCCTGTTTGACCATCTGAACAACGAAGAGCTCATCAGGCCGGAGACCATTGGTCAGCTGGCCCAGATCGCTGCAGCCATTGAGTCCAAGGACTACGACGGCGCGCACCGTCTTCAGGTCCAGATCCAGACGGAGAAGACTGACGAGTGCGGACAATGGATGGTGAGAATGATTGACACCCCTTCAATAATGAGAACCGTAGAAATGGTTACTGATGGATGTCCTCATAGGTCGGCATCAAGCGTCTCATTAGCATGAGCAAGGCTACTCCCTAAACCCCCTGTCATAAACACTCATAATGCCTCGTGTTGATGGACGGGTTTCGAATCACCCAGACTCATCGGCGAGCCAGCGAGTGGCGGGTATTTTGGGACTGTACTTGGAAGCGGCACAGGCCAGGTGGGATTCAAAAGCAGGCGGCAGGTTTTTGTCGGACTGGTGGTTCTTTTAGGGGAGCGGTTCTTATAGAGCGGGCAGAATCGAAAAGGCGAGAGAGGAGTACATGTGATTACGTCAAGACGTAGAGCTTGTAGCAGAGTTAAACCATTTTGGTTTGCTTGAAAGATGGCATTTTCTTGCTAGCCATTAGTGTTTTCTTGTCTATGGCATCCCTTTTCTTGTTTTTCTAAGGAAGCGCTCACTGCGACTTTAAATACACAAGGCGACACAGGGCAACGCCTAGAGACCAATCCATCTATGCAACCTCACTAATTTCCTCGATACTTTTATGTTCTATTCCCTTTCCAGCCGGACGGCAGGATGGCGGCGGATAGCTAAGCAAGATCATGGTCCACGACAAGTGACATGAAGAAACAGGCAGTGACTGCAGCAGGTAGGACGCCACTCACTCCGGACCAAGTCTGAGAAGAGTGATCTGCGAGACTGTCGTCACCCCCGGCATGTCCAATGTGCTTTGGTGAGACAGCTTGCTCCACCAGGTTACAGCGACGGCCAGACGCTGCCCGCGGCTCCACGTCACGCATTTTCCCTCCCACGAGACTGTCATGGCCATTGTTTTGACTGTGTTCGGCGAATGGGGGAAGTTGCGCTTTCCCGTCCCAGGCTCAAAAAATAGTAGTCTGTCCATATAGTAATATCGCGGGTACATGGACGAGGCGCCGGGCTGTCTCGACCGGGCTTTCAACGCGAATTCGCTACGAACAATATGGTTTGTATTGGCCTGCTCCCTCCCCGGCCGGCCAACGCGCCATGATACAGCGTGGTTGATTGTGTGCGTGCTGCTGATTCTCGCAGATGCCCTCTAACCTCGCATCCTCTGCTCCGACATGCCGTCTCCCTGTATTTATTTGCCTTTCCCCCTCGCCGGTTCTCCTTCTTTCCCTCTTTCCCCAGAACACCCAATCCAATATTTGCAAAATCCCCAGACTCGTACCTGCCTACTAAGAACCCCCACCTTTGCTCCTGACCGACGCTGGCACACATACCCCAAGTGGGCATAATGACCATGAACGAGCAGCGGCTCCGCCAGCTCAGCGAGCTGAAGAAGGGAGCCCAGGACAGGATCAGGCGGCTCGAGGAGCAAAAGGAGAGGTTCGAGACGATGGAGAGCCTGGTCGCGAGCGTGCCGCCGTCGGACCAGACGGCCCTGTCGCAAAGCGCCCGCAAATCGGCCATCTCGAGGGACGAGAGGAGAGAGCCCGAGTCTATCACGGACTCGGTCAGGGAAAATAGGAAAACTATCGAGGTCCTGGGGCGGGCTATCGCTAAGAGTAAGAAGGAGATCGCCGAGTGGGAGGAGGAGGCGCGGCGGATGCAGAGGGAGGAGGCGTGGGGAAAGGAGGAGGAGAAGAAGGCTGAAGACGCCCCACGTCGCCCCAGCCCCGAAAGGAAGTGATGGAAGCAAGCTAGTTTGCCCCATTTCTTGTTACTGCTAGTCATCGACGCGATAGTTCTTGTCCACATCCTCTTTGCCGCTAGTTTTGATGTGATAGTGCCTGTCGATATGGCTCGCCGATCTTGTCGGAGGATTGACGGCAGTGCGTGACCTGGGACTCGCATTGGGCTGCTGGTACTTGAGAACACAGGGAATAACGGCCCAATGATGCCAGTTGCTCGGGTATAGAACATGCATCAAGCGTGGTGGGCGGTGTGCCACCCTTGCGAGATGGGTTCGTCACGATCAGTAAGTAGGTATTCCTCGGACAAGGAGTAGAAGGAATTTGGCTGGCCCCCTACTGGATGGAGCTCACCGAGGGTGACTAGACTGTCGAGAGCAGGTGGCTTCCCAGACCTTCTGGGTTTCGCGTGAGGCTGTCGATGCGATGCTAGCCTGCCTTTGCCAGGGAGTAAAACCATTTGCGTCGATAGCAACAAGCGGTAGTACGCAGTGCCACAAGAATAAGCCCCCTGGATAGAAAGCACTCCCAAACAAGGCCATGGAGTTCCCAGGCTCTGCAAAATGTGTGCGTGTGTGTCCTGGTGATGCTTGGTTCCTGGTCCAGCTAGATCCACTGTCCCGTAAAGCTTTTGTACACATTGTGGCTTCCCCCTTCTCTCTCTCTCTCTCTCTCTTCTTCGTATAGTGGAACGCGGGGGACCGGCCTCGGGCCTCGAAATCCTGCCTGGAGGTGAACGAAATCTCCTGTTCACAAAGAGCCACAGACGGTATCAACTGGGAAGAATCATCGCCGCCATCAGCAACCTCTTGGCTGACACGCTCCAGAGCTAGAGGCGGGCCCGTTGTTCATCTCTGTAGGCCCGCGCCGCCCGCTTTTTGACTTACAGAGCAGCCTGCCTTCCGCTGCAGGCTTCGCACTATGTCTATACAACTACGCCCCTACAAGGCGTGCTTCAAGCTGTAGACCCATTAAAGTCACAAATATGCCACTCAGCGTCGAGAAAAGCGCTTGCAGGACGATGAGCACTATCCAAAGCGAAAAACAAATTGTGGGAGAGGCTAGTATGACGAAACCCGCCAGGTGCACTTTGGAAAATGTGTCGTCCAGCATGACGCGCGAGCACAGGACCGCGGGCACAACCACATACTCGCCAATAATGAGAAGAAGGCACAGCAGCAGCATCAAATTCCCCACCACAACCCGCCTCCATTGAAAAAACCTGGAGCTGTAGCGGGCCCACGGTGTGATGAGCAAGGAGTGCTTCAGCACCCACTGGAAGAGGAACACCATGTTGAAAAGCGTGCTGAGGCTCCAGCCGCACAGCCACAGCCACTTCCAGCCCTCGACGCCAGGTGCCGGCGCGACGCGGCTGACCCTGATGTCAAATGGCAGGGCGGTAAAATGCAGCACCATGAAGGCAAGCCGGGAAGCCGGACGCTACGCCCCCGTAGTCGAGTGGTACCGACCATGACCGGCAGCCGCTCTGCCGCAGCACCGAGACCGTCTTCTTTACGGCGGCATCATAGGCGAGGGAGAGGTGAGTACTTCGCCGAAGACAAAGTTATGGCCACGTCTGAACCTCGAGAGGGGAAACGATATCTTGCTGCGCGACACGGACTTGGCCAAGAACAAGGGCGAGATGCCAAACGGGAGGTCCCGCTTCCGTCGGTGTGGCTGTAACTCGTCTCCAGATTCTCGATGTTGGCGACTTCCCGAGCGGCACAACCGACTTCAGCCCGGTCCGGTGCATGTCGCAACGCATCGGTCGGTCTGTCCTGCTCGGGTGGACGCGTTACGGCAAACCCGTGAACCTGGATCACTTCTACCGCCACGCGAACCTCCTGTCTCTTCTCCACGATGCCAACCTCGTATCACAAGCTGCAGACCCTCCGGCCAGAAGCCGTCGTGCGCGACAAGGCGAACTCGAGGATAGGTATCGTCTTCGAGATTCCGGGAAAAGCGCGGAGTGGGATGCAAGAGAAGACTCTCTTCGGCCTCCTCAAAACGAAAAAGTGCGAGATCGGCCAGAGGCTGCTGCTGGCAGAGAAACTCTCCAAGGCGCTTCATAGTCTACAGATGGTAAACTGGCTCCACAAGTCGGTACGGAGCGACAACATTCTCTATTTTGAAGGCCAGGACGGGCAAGATATGGTTGCTGCGACTCCCGGAGACGTCCCGGGCAATGGCATGCCGACTGCCGACTCGGGTGCCAACGACGGCTTGGATCCGCGTGCGAAGCCGGCCGCGGTAGCACAGCAATCAGCATCGATGCTTCTCAAGTTGCCACAGCTCTACCTCATAGGCTGGAATATATCCGACCGGACAACCTGTCGGAAATGTCGGAGGCGTGCCGGTGTTGACGTAGGGGTACAAATCAACCAGGGAGTTGATCCGGCTTTCGAGCCACCCCGACTCCCTCAGTGGGCTATGGAAGCCGCTAAGCTCTCTGCGCCATGTCTGCGCATCTGATGAGGAGTTCCGCCAGCGCGCCGCCGGGGAGTACTGCGACATAGTGCTCTCTAACATTGGGAAGACGTACTGGCGCGCGACGAAGCGGTGTCTCCTTAACGACTTCGACCGCAAGCTCCCAGAAGGCGAGCGTCCGTCGGGCAAGGGCGGTGAGGGTGGGACAATGCCGCTGTCGGTGGCCTTTGAAAGGTAAGTTATAAGCGAGTTAGAGAGGAGTACCGCGCTGCTATTGCTGTGTCGTTGTGATCTACAGTCCGCCTTGCTGAGGCAAGAGCTCCCGAAATTTGCTTTTGGGGTGAGGATTTGCGTTTTGGTGTCCACTCACTTAGGAAACTGCCCCCTGGAACTTTTCTTTTCATACCCCACAAGTGCCTAGAAATTGCTTCAGAAAAATACCATTTTACGATACAAATGGCAATGGCTTGCCAAAGTATACATATACAAATGCATAAACAACTCGTGGGTGATCCGGGAGCATACGCCATGGAATCCTCAGGGTGGCATGTTTTTGGTCTATCTTTCAAGCTGGAGATAAGATAAGAGCAAGCGCCCACTCTACTTTATTGGCCGCTCTCGTGACGACAGGTGTAGCCATTTCATAGGCGAACAGAACAAACAGCTCGGTCCTAAACCTTCTCCTCTCGCACCACCTGGACAGCGCCCAAACAGCAGCTTATTTACCAGTCCAGGAATCAAATAGCTTTGCGCTATCACGGTGGTCAGAAGCGGAAACTACCAATCTTCACCCCCACAACACCCCCACACGCACACACATTCGGGCCCGCCCGCCGCTCGCAAACATGACCGAGGGCGTCGCCACGTCGCCCGAGGACGCCGCGGCCGCCAGGGCGGCGGAGCAGGCGAGGATACGCAAGGAGCGCAGGGAGGCCAAGATCAAGGCCGGTGGCAGCGCGAGGCTGAACAAGATTACCGGCCTTGGCGGCGGCCTGCAGAGAGGTAAAGACAGATTTGAGGAACCCCCCTCACATTTATCGCGATGTGCTCGTTCGCTTTCCATGTATGGCGGCTAACAACACACCCTATCGGCCAGACCCGATCCCACAGCCGCCGACAGCAGAGCAGCCGTCCGACAGCGCAGCGGCGGCGCAGCCGGCAGCAGCAGCAACGGCCGAGCACGCCGACCCGGCCGAGGTCGACATCTCGGAGCACTACTACGCCCCGCGCGCCACCCCGCGGCAGCCCGCCGACTCGTCCCCGGCCCCGCCCACGCCACCGTCTGCCGCCGCCCCCGAAATGTCCGAGGCCCAGCTGCGCCAGCTTATGCTCGGCCTCGACCCGCGAGCCGGCGCCGGCGCCGGCGGTGCCCCACCCTTCCCTGGCCCGCCAGGCGCCGCCGACGAGGACCCCATGATGAAGCTGCTCTCGCAGATGATGGGCGGCGGCGGGATGCCCGGCGGCGGACCCGGAATGTTCCCACCCGGCATGATGGGCGGCGGCGGCACCACCCCTCAACAACAGGCAACGGCCCCACCGCCTGTCGACACGTACGCCGTCGCCTGGCGGCTGCTCCACCTGGCCGTGGCGCTGGGCCTGGGCCTGTACATGGCGCTCTTCAGCGGCTTCAACGGCACGCGCGAGGCCCGCGACCGCGCCGCCCGCGCCAGCGCCGACGGTATCCCGGACCTGCTCGACGGCGACGACGCCGGGCGGCGGCACCTCTTCTTCTGGGGCTTCGCCACCGCCGAGGCCGTCCTCATCACGTCCCGATTCTTCCTCGACCGCGCCAGGGCCCCGCCCTCGGGCATCGTCTGGACCGTCGCCAGCTTCCTGCCGGGCCCCTTCAGGGGCTATGCCGAGTCCGTCCTGCGCTACGGCCAGATCTTCTCCACCGTCAGGTCCGACCTCTTGGTCTGCGTTTTTATACTCGGCGTGAGCTCCTGGCTGCAGTCCTGCACCCTCTGTAGCTTGGGACAATAAGAGATTTAGTACTGGGTCGTCATCATTCTATAATTCGAGCACGATTCATCCCTCACAGAAGGTCAATTCTTAGCCAAGCCCGACTACCTGGTTTCTCGTGACATCCTGAGCGTCTTCACCTCACTGCCCCATGTGATGCTTCTACGGCCCGAGTGTGAAGGTACCTCGCGATGCTGAACGTAAAATCATCGTCATATATCTCAAATGGCGGTAGCTAAGCTATTTAGATACCAAGCAAAATAAAGCCACGCAATCCTGAACCTGGTATGATACTTTTGTTTTGAAATACCTTCCCAAAACACTATTTTTGGCACCCATTTTGTTTTCCTGTGTGTCCACTTCGTCGGCGTGGTAGCCGGCGAGTGTCAAATGCAATCGTGCCTCCACCATCATGTCCGCGATGTCTGGTCTTAGGCCGCAATCTCGGCCTTGGCCTTCTTGGCCGGGGGCGCATCCGCCATGTCGAGCTCTCGACCGCGGTTCTCCATGTCGGCAAGCGCACTCTTCTCCTCAGCAGTCATGTTGGGTAGCAGGCTCCCCAGCGACTCGATAGGCTTTCCAGCCACAATGCTGCGGTGGAAGGCATGGATGATCGAGTCGGCGTCGTCGATGGCGATTGGCCTGATGTCAGCCAGAAGCTTGATCTTGGCCGTGCACTGCTTGCACTGCTCATCCGTCATGTCGATGTTGAGCTGCGATACTCTGCTCTTGATGGCGTTCCAGCCAGTCAGGCGACTAGCGAAGTGCACATAGCGCGTGATTCCGAACAGCGCCGGGTCCTGTTAAGAATAAGTTAGTGATGGCAATACTCCAAAGTAGCTGGGTCTAGGATCACATACGATAATCTCGTAGGTTGATGGGTTGTTCAGGATGGCCTTGGCGTGGATTCCGGCCTTGTGGGTGAAGGCGCAGAACCCAGTGATAGGGTTGTTGAAGGGGATGTTGACCTGCACAGCCTCGGCAACAAGCTCCTCGATCTCCTTGAGCTTGTGCAGCTTGTACTTGCTCAGAACGTACTCCTTAGAGCCGACAATCATGCGAGCCATGAGACCTAATAGCCACGTTGACGATTAGCGGGATACTGGCGAGGCTTAGAGATAAGGAAGCAATCCAAACGCCTACCTCCCAGGGGCGTGATGCCATTCCTCTCGCCAATACCCAGGACACTGGTGTCGATCTACTCGCAATCAGCATGTGTCGTTCATGCAAAAAATTCACCATCTCGCACAAGCTAACTCACGTGGGTGGCGCCCGCCTCAAGAGCACAGAAGGCATTTGAGATAGCACAGCCGGTATCGTTGTGGAAATGAGTCTCGATATCACTAGTCGGCGTGTCAGCGTCTCCGTTATCGGACGCGCCCTAGAGCACGGACTCCACAAGGGATGCAGCTTACCATGAGACGACTCCCCTCAGGGTCTTGACAAGATCGTACACTACAAGAGGACAAGGATTAGCGTATGCACGTGCGCGTGAGAGCGAAGGGGTGCAGGTATAGCTTGCCCTGACGCGGGGAGGCGCATCCAACAGTGTCGGCAATGCCAACCCGGTTGACTCCAATCTTGTCCACGGTCGAATAGATGCTGAGCAGATCGACGAGGTTGCTGCGGAACGAGTCCTCCGACGAGACTATGCGGAATCCGGTGTTAGAACCAAAAGCGTGGTTACTGATGTGAGAGCATGTTGGGGTCTTGGAACATGGGGTATTACTCACACCTGACCTCAATTCCCTTGCTCTTGACGAAGTTGATGACCTCGATCGCGGCATTGGTGATGTAGGTCATGTCCTTCCCGTGCGAGTGCTATAGTTCGAGAGCAGTCTCAGCATCGAGAAACTTTCACGCCAGCCACAGACGCTCGATTCTGGACCTACCTCCATGAGGAACGACGAAGTGCCAATGACGACATCGACACCATCAACTGTAGTGACAGTTAGCATCTATCCGAGTCTCGGGGCAGCGCGCGGCAGCACCATACCTCCGGTCTCGACGGCGATGCGAGCATCGTCCATGTGACACCTGATGTGAGTCAGGATCTTGGCTTTGAGGCCCAGCTTGCAGATCGCCTCACAGTCGGCGCGCGACTGCTCCGAGGCCGCCGGGCTGGTGAGCTCGATGTAGTCGACACCAAAGTCGTCGAGTGCCTTGGCGATCTCGATCTTCTTGGCCTGAGTTTCGGGAACAAGAATTGGTCAGATTTGTCCCGCCTGTGCGTCACCAGTATCGAGTAATGTTGGGCATAGCATTGAAGCAGCACCCAGGCACACTAACAGTGTCAAAGAAGGCATTGGCGAACTGCTCGCCCTCGCGGAGGGTGCTCTCAATGATCTTGAAGTTGTTCAGGTTGGACAGAAAGTCGCCGACGGGGGCGTAAGGGTTCCGCTGCTGGTTGACGTGGCGGCTCTGGATGCCCGTCATGCCGGCATGGGAGCCTGTCGTCATTGTAAGTGACTGGTTAGCGGACGCCGTCATCGGAGTGAGACACATGCTCTCTCGCTCAGGTTTCCTGCCAGCCTGGCCTGGGATGTTGACGAACCGTTGGTGCCACTGGAGCCGTTGGAGCTGCCATTGGCAGCTCCGTTGGACTGCTCGGGCTCGCACGAGGGACACATGATGAAGCAAGTGAATGTAGTCGAGGAGGCGAGGGAGCTAGGGCGGTGCTTTGGAGCGGCGGCGGAGAGTGGCGGTAGCACGAGGACGTCCGTTCTAGTGTCAATGGGATGGAAGAGTGAGGGGTCAATGAAGGATCTTCTCGTCAAAGGCGGCGAGGGGGAATTGGCCAGCTTTCGAGGTAAAGTTGGATTTTTAGGAAAGACAAAGACGAGGAAGGGAGAGGGATAGTCTTGATTCATTCGAGTCATACTGTCCAGGTTCAAAAAAAAGTTGCTTCAGCGGCTCACTTTGGGGAGGGGTGGGAACCACTGGCGGGCATGCAGAGCTCCACTCAATATACGAACCAATAGACAAGCAGGGATTGTTCCAGCCGAGATCGGCCACGGAAAGAGGGTCCGAAGCTTTGCCATGAGGGCCGCAGGGCTTTTGGACAACTGCAGGCATTGCATAATGGCATCCTGACAAAAATCATTCGAGATCTATTGTTAGTATAAGCGAGGGGAATCTGCCCTTCTTGGTTCTCAGGACCCGTTACATCGCTGCCTCCTGGCTGTCGTGTTGCAGGAGCAGTGCCAGACGAGTGATGAGTCCTGGGTGTCCAGGTTTACAAGCATACTTCCTAATCGGGACAGGCCGCTCCTTGGGCCCGACCGCATGGGCATGTGCCATACAGCCGAAAAGGCCAAGTTTAACTCAATTCGAGTGAGCTGGCACGGCTGGCAGCCACTCCTGGCTCCTGGCAGCCTGCCCGTGACATAATCAGGGTGCCTGACCTTGAGGCATGAGGGCTACGTAATGTAGCAAGGGGTCATGGCTAGATGGAGGCATGGGGTTGCAGCGAAAAACTCTGCCGCGCCTCGCCAATTACCGTCATTTTATTGGACACCCCGCGAAGAGGTGCGTGCTCAAACGCGGGGGAGAAAGATTTGGGATTTGGGTGAGATGCAAATGATGAGTTTCTTACTCCTCAAACATCAACATTCTACCAAAGCCTTTTAATATGATCGCGGCAGATCTACAGGGAGCCTTTTTGCTTGGAGAGCAACACGAAGCCCTTTTATCTATATATATTACACACAAGGTGGCGGCAATTTCTTTTGGAAATCACGCCTTCAGCACCGAGCCGATGACGTTTCCTAGGACTCCCCGCACCCGCGGCTGGTTCTCAAGCGCGCAGGTGAAGACGACAGCAGTGCTGGCCGCAAACAACAGCGTCTCCCTCCACTGCTTGTCGAGCGAGTAGCGCCTGGGGAAAAAGGTGGCCAGGGCCCGCGGCGCCACGAACAGCGCCATGTCCTTCCTGCGGCCTGCGTGCTCGATCAGGATGCTCCAGCCGCACAGCGCGCACCCGACCCCGACGCAGAGCCCGCCGTCGATGCGCTGCCGCGCCGCCAGGTCCCGGTCGCCACGGACCAGGAGAGACGGGCCGAGCCTCGTGCGGGCGAGGCAGACGCCGTAGTAGAAGAGCGTGATGAAGGTGCCCAGGAACGCCGAGGACCGCGACGCCGAGACGGCGGCCCGGGCCAGCGACCGGAGGTTCGGGTTGCGGGCGACGATGAGCAGGTTCAGGGGCATGTAGGTCGCCATGGACCAGCGCCAGGAGCGGTAGAAGCGGCTGAGCGCATGCTGCTCGCACGAAGCCCCCGCGCCCATGTGTACCATCTCGCACGGAAACGGCACTGACTGGCTCGGGTCACCCCAATGGAGCGGCCATTTATAGTCAGCGCACATGGCCTGCAGCAGAGATGCCTGCCCGTTGTCTTGGCCGTAGAGCAGCTCGCCGCTCCTGCATCGCCTGAGCGCCTCGAGAAGCCGCACATCGACGGCAGCCGCGGCTCCTATCCATTTGTTATATCCCGGGGGAAGACGATCTGGAAGATAGATCCAGGCCCACATGATCGCAGCACACGCTGTCGCGAAGATGGCCGGGTCCGTAGTCCTTTCCACGAGGCGATCGGCCTGCGACAATCGGTGGGACTGGTCAGTATTCGCCTCGAGTCAAGTTGAGGATTAATTTTTGACTCCCATACCGCTGTCCACTTCCCAGCGGCGATTCGCCGGCCTCTTCGTTGTGACCAAACCTCACCCACGATAACATCAACCGCTCTAGTGGCGGCAAAGAGAGTCAAATCCAGTGTGCGCCCAGCCCAGCGCACCGTCACGGCCGACCCGGCTTCCGCCGACGGGGCGGCCACGTCGGTGAAGGCTGGGCTATGCTTGGATTGGAGAACTCTCAGACTGCACCAACCTGCCACAAAGGTTGCAAGCCATCGCGAGATCCTGGATGAGAAAACGAAGGGTGTCAAAACATGGTGCATAAGCACCCCCTCATGGGTGGCGGTGTTGAGGTCCGGCCGGAGAGGCTCCAGGTGCATACCTCGTCCTGGCCGGTTTTGATAAGGCCCGCAGTAACTTGTCGACCAGGCGACTTAGAGGCACCTACGGAGGCACACGGGGTGTTAGAGCAAGGCCTAGGCTCCTAGGACTGCGAGATTGCGGACAGAGAGATTCGTGCCTGGAGTAGCGTAGTGCCGCCAACTAGGAGTGCGCAGAAGGTGGGAAACCTCTGCGGGTCTAGACCACCACATAGGATATGGATAAGGGCCCGGAGAAAGGGAGGCCGGGGCTGTTGCGCCGTGTTCTTGAGATTTCGCCCCCTTGCAAAAGTCTGGATGACCAGCGTCAAGACGCGGGGCGCCACCGAAGAGCCGTAGCCCAGAGCCCAGGCGCGCAGCATAGGCCTCAGCAGCGGCGGCACGCTGCGGTCCCATGCCGCCCTGCCAGGAGCCCTGAGGGCCCTGGGGGCCTCATGGAGCGCCATCAGCTCGAGACTACGAGATGGGCGGCTGCGACAACCCAGGGGCCACAGTCGGTCGGGCACCGCAGTCGGCCCGGCCCCGGGATGGCGAGGCAGGGTGGTGGGACGCTAGAGCGGGGAGCGCGAGGTAGGAGGGCCACAGGATGGGATCTGGCGAGGTTCGGTTGAGACGAGCCCGGGCAGTGTTGATGAAAGCTTGCGGACGTTGGGGCGGGATTGGCTGCGTCCAGGCGCGCGGTGCAGTGTTAGGGGAGGGAAAGCAAAGCTGGGCTAATGTGTGACGTGCGCAAACGCGTCGGCGAGATGCTAGTTAGGGAGGGCCCGCTGTTGGGATGGATGATGCAACCGGCTGGCAAGGACGACGACTGCCTCCCACGGGCCAATCACGGACGGGCTCAACGACAGATCAGGTCATACAGCTGGGTGTGGCGCATCAAACAGCCGGACGGAGGGGTGGCCAGGTGCAGACGAGCGAGCAAGTGCGGCGGCGGCGCGTCATGCGCTTAGACCCGCGCTACGGTCAACAGCCCCCAGCAACGCCCGATTGGCTCCGCGTTGTAATCACGGCCGTTCGTTTGGAGGTGGAAATCGGAGCCTTTCTGGGTGGACAACAGACGGATGGCTTGTCGTGCAAGCGTGCAGGACGCCCCTTTTGGCGCAGGTCTGATACAGACACACGTGCAGGTCCTTAGCGAGATGGATGCGGTCGCCAAAGGGTGTGTGGGGTTCTGACCGAGGTGCCGGTACGGGCAACGATAGCGACTTGGGGCTCTAACTGAATCGAACGGGTCGGGATAGTGCCTGGTGTTGGTAGCTGCCCGGACAGCTCGACCAAGGAAACACGAACAAAACAGCCCATGTTGCAATGTGCTCTCTCCTGTCCAGCTGGACGACAACTGCAGGTATCTTTCGGCGAGAGAGTCCTCTCCGCGCTACTGTGTCAATCAACACTTGGGGCCAGCTTGATAGCCCGAGCTCTGCATGCACTGGATAATGCTGCGTGCCTTATTTGCCGAATTGGGCAACTGTGCAAAGTATGGATGTCATCATGTCGCAATACCTCGTGGCTTTCTGCCTTCCCGCCACGTGATGTGACACACCTCAGCAACCTCCCACAGCAGGCCTCCCAACCTGGCGGCTCATCTATACTTAAGCTCGAGGTAGTTGCCCAAGGAACAGAGCCCGGAAGCAACCATAGATAAGATCGATGGTGCTCGATGCTGCGCGCCTCGCACAGAGCAGGCGCTCGATTGCAGCGCGCAGGGAAGTGCAGCCATCATGGACGCGACTGGAATGGGGCCCAGGTCGGGAGGCCCACGGTGGAGCTCACGCGGCTGGATTTGGCATGTGATGCTGTGGAGCCTGGTCCCAAGCCGGGGCCTCGCAGCTTCCAAGACTGCAGCCGGATGGGGCTTCAAGATTCAAGTTGGACTGCAGGGGCGGGCCTTTTTCAATGGAACCCCAAGACCCCAAGCCAAAAGACCCTAAAAGCGTGCTGCCGTTGCCCGTACGTAAGGCGTACACGCCGCGCGTATGCCGTACTGCGCTGTGAGAGCCGTCTTTTGCTCGCCTTTTGCCCATCGCCGGCGCTGGCTGGGCGGTCAGGGTGCAGATGGTGAGGGCGCTTCGGTAGCTGCCCAGCCAGCCCTCGAGGCAGATCCCTGCGAGTCATAGCAGCTGTCGTCCTCCAGGCATTGATGCGCAAGAAATTAAATGGGTTGGAGGCGGCCAGACTTGCCCAAGTCAGTCAGTCGCCCGTCGCCTTCCCCACAGCCCATCTAAATACCCCAGGTCTTTCTGCAAGGCTTGCGTGCGAATGCGCTCCCAAGACGGCCCGTCCTCGTGTCTTCAGCCCTCTGATTTTCTCCCCTGATTTTCTCCCCTGACCTCCGTGCCTCTGCCATTGCCGACTTCAAAGTGCAAGCGTGGTGTTTTGCTCTCTTCAAAGTGCCGTCGCCATCAGATTAATAAATACGACGTGCTGTTGCTCCCCCGCAGCGTGGCCCAGCGTGCTGGTACGAATAATCAGCGACAAAAACAGTTGGGAAGTGGAAAGGGCAAGCAAAAGAGTCACAACTGGTGACTTTTTAAAATACTTTGTCCCTTTTATGTCCGTCTCTGCAGCTTGAGCCTAGGCTGGCTGGCTGGGGTACAACAATACCTAATAATTTGGTCACCCGCTTGGCAGGCTGCGGTTGCAAAGCTGCGCATTGTTTTTATTTTAATTATCACATGCCCCAGAAACACACCACAGACCCCACTACTGCCTCCTCCCTCGAAAAAACACCAGCAAGCCAACAACGCTCACCAGCCACCGCCTGGCGATATTGACCTACACTTCTGTGCTGCCACCACCGCGCTGCCACCGCCTACTGCGTTCGGTTCCATCTCCGCTCCCCGCTACGCCTCTAATCACCGCCAGGCTCCCGCCAAAGCCCGCCTGCGACGAGCCCCTCGAACCGCTCCCCGGCGTAGGCTGCTCGGGCCATGACTGCTGTCGCACCCGCCCGCCGGTAGCCTCTACCCTGCCCGCTCCTGATCTCGACGACACCGCCCCCGAAGCAGCGACGCCGACGGACAACTCGCACCCATGCTGGCCATCCAACATCCCAGAATGGGTTCGACGCAGCCGTCAGACCCCGACCTTCCGTTCGGATGTAAGTGGCGCTCCGCTCCCTGCGGCCAGTGTCTCGCTCATTTCCACCGCCGCTGACCAGGTTGCCGTGCATTCCGCAGACGCTCTCGATCCGAGCCAGGAATTCCTATTTCTCGACGCTCCCGAGCCTGCTCCAGGAGCTCCGCTCCTCAACGAAAACGATGCCCGCTTCCTCAACAGCTTCTTCGAGGACATGACCTCGAACGACTTTGCCGGGACCTCGTTCGGCGAGGGCCTAAACTTCAGCGAGGACTGGCTCAGTCTGCCTCCGCAGTTCATGGGCACCGCTACCACTTTTGGCCAGCATCCCGGCATCGGTCTCGGCTCCCCGATCCAAAACCTCACCAATGTTACTTTTGAGCCGCTGTCGAGCCCCTCGGCCTTGATGCCGCCACCTCCTCCGCCCCAGATCCAGTCGGCTCCCCCGCCGCCACCCCTACCGCCACAACACCATCACCAGCACCAACACCACCAACAGCCATCACATCTCGAGCTCGAGCTGGAGCACACCCCCGCCGACGTGCTCGCCGCTGCAACTCTCCTCCAGAACAGCTCAATGCAAAGACCTCACAGCCACGGAAGCACCTCTAATAACCACAACTCATATGGCCGCAGCGTATCACTCGAAGGGCCAGTCGAACACCAAAATCATGGCATCGTCAGCTACAGAGAAGAGAACCGGCGAGGCTCCCAGGCCCCCGCAGTGGAGGAGCACGATCGTGCCTATCCGGAGATGGTCTTCGCCGATCGAACTGACGTGAGACAGGCGGCACCGACACCGCCCAGGCCAAACAACCCCCCAACGGTCGAGGTGCGCTGGGGCTCCGACCAGAGCTTCAATAAGGTCGGCTTTATTCCGAACTCGACAAAGGAAACCGGCGAGGCCCTCGAGACGGAGTGTCTCAAGTATATCGAGTGTTTCGAAGTCAGCCGCAGCGCCGCCAACACGCGCCCCTCGAGCCCTGTCGCAACTCGACCAGGCACGCCGTTGAAGCCCACGTCACGGCCCCTTCCTGTGCAGGTCAAGGCGGAGCCGGACACCGCGGCTCCGCCACGGAAACGACGGAAGAGCAAAGCCAAGGAGGAGTCCGATGATCTGGAGCAGGAGGAGGAAGAGCCACAATACGCAACGCCCAAGCCCGCCCGGAAACGGAAAACCAAGGCAGACGTTAGCTCGGCCGAAACGCCAACATCGGACGTTGCAGCGGGCAAGCGCCGCAAGTCCAACGCCAACGGCGCCGCTAAGCCACCGCGCGAGAACCTCACGGACGAGCAGAAGCGCGAAAATCACATTAGGAGCGAGCAGAAGCGACGGACATTGATTAAGGAGGGTTTTGACGACCTCTGCGACCTGGTGCCCGGACTCAAGGGCGGCGGCTTCAGCAAGAGCGCCATGCTAACAATGGCTGCCGACTGGCTCGAGGAGATCATGCGTGGGAATGAGGAGCTGAGGCAGGCATCCCGTTCGTACAGCTAGCCGACATTTTGGGCGGTGCGCACGCCGCGCTATAAAGCAACCGAGGATGGGCAGAATGCATCCTCGTCTCGACGATACCCCTGCTACATGAACAGCAGCAATAAAACGCGAACAAGGCAAGGAGCTGCACGAAGTACCAGCGATGCACAACAGGCGTTTTTTTTTTTTTTGGCGGTACGGCCGGGGCGGAGTTTTGGCTTGGAACTTGCCGAGGGAAGCGTGCAACCAGGGCATTGAGCGCTTCCCTTAGCTAGTGTTACGATATACTTTTCTTGGTATAGCATCATTTGCAACGAGGCGGGAGATGATCACGGGGCGTCATGCGGCGGCGGCGAGGCAGCCCCTGGAGACCACATGCGGCCCAGGGAGCTTGGCTTGATTTACTTGCTTCTTGTTCTTTTTGCTACATGATATCGTCATTTATGTTGCATTAACAGCGGTAACTCTCTTGATGACCCAGGGAGCTGCCCCCCAGTGTAGCATATTGTTAATATTCACCGAGACTCGGGACTATCCAAGTCTTCATCCACCCCCAATAGAGCGAGTACGCTCACGTCCGATCCTGTGTCGCCTTTTGACACTTCCTCGTCGTAGTGTACCGTGATGACGTCGTGAACCTTGCCTGCAAGCCTCGAATGCTCACGTCAGCTTCAGTTACAAGCTACGCGGTTGTTGATGAGGGTAAAAGACTTATCCTACCGGCGAGCTTCACTGTGTACTCAATAAGAGCAGATCCGTAGGAGACCTCGAGGGCTCCTGCGATCTTGTGGTACCGATGAAACCAGGTCCAGTGTACGCCGACCTCGTTGAGCGCCTCTTGGGAAACGCGATTCTGGTCCAGTCTCAGGCGAGCAATCTTGATTGTGTCCCCGTCCTTGTACACTGGCGGCGGCGTGCTTGCCGAGTGGCCGTATATGACCATTTCCTTGTCCGGCTTCTTCCCCGATTTACTTTTGGGGATGTTGTACACGAAGTCCAACTTGGCCACATCGATTTCGGGATAGGACTTCCCCTGTCAAAATTGATCGATTAGTTCAAAGATGGTTGATGTATATGCAGACAAGGAATCTGTACACTTACCTTGACGATGAACCAGTTCATCGTCTTCACCAGGCCCTTCCACCCACCCCTGTCTCCGTATCTAAACGAGGGGATAGCCCCACGATGTCAGTAAATAGCGCATTGCCAAAAAGCCCCGGCGGCGGCAACCCAGAGGAAGAGAGCTTTGGCATGAGGGAAGAAAGCTGCACAATACTCACTTCTTGGACTTATCGTGGACCTTGTCGTCGAAGGGCACGCTCAGCTCGACACCGTAGCTCTGCCTGGCAACCCGACTGGTGACCTGGATCTGGCCCAGGTGCGGGGCAACGCTGCGAAGGCCCATCATAGCTGCGCCGCGCACGACGGCGGTCCAGGGGCTCCCGGGCTGCAGAACCGCGATGCCTTGGTGATCGACAGCCTCCTGGACGCGTCTGCGCAGGTAATTGCTCTCGCTGAAACCGCCGACCATCAGCACCGCCGCAACCCCATCGCCGGCCGCTTCGATCTGACCCCGGATCAGGTCTAGGACATGCTGGATGATAGGCTCGAATATTATTTCGGTCATGTCCTTTTGTGGCACTTCGAACTGGCGCTCGGGATCTATCGACCGATCGACGACGAGCACCATCGGCGGCGCCTCCGGGCGCCACGTCTTTTTGTACTGTTTTGCAAGATTTCGGTTAGCACTAATCCGCCTCCCTGGTGGGCAAAGCGGAGGGCTCCTCTGAGTTCCAAGAGTAAGGTGAGGTGTAGATGCTCAACATACCGTTTCGAACTCCTGCATCGGTTCGCAGAGCCTGGCCTCGTCCCAGTAAGTCGGATTCTTGTTCTTGAGGTAGTCCCTGAATCTTTTGTTCAGGATCGTGGACCCCCATTTGCCTCCATTGCCCTCGGTCACCTCCTCGACCATAAGCTCACGCATTTGAGTGACCTTGTACGTGATTAGATCCACGGTGCCGCCGCCGGCGTCGCAAACAACGTATCTCTTGCCAACCTCAAGCATTGCCGCATCTTTCTTGTCGACCAGCGTATAAATTGCAGCGGCTTCCTGGGCGCATCCAGCGAATCTTAGCAGCTTGACGACACAAACATGCTCTCCCCAACGCGAGGGCAGAGGAGCAATTCTTGGAAACTCACCGGCTCAGAGACCACTTGAGTCTCTCTATCCCCCCGAAACCCGGCGTCACGGGCTGCATTCAGGGTCTTGATCTTGGCCGATTCCGTCCATATCGCTGGGACCGTGATGACAAAGTGAATAGGCACGGAGCGCAGGACTTCGGCCGAGAATCGATCTGTTAGAGTCTCCCAGACATGCTTATGGAGGCATTCCAGGTAGATTCGGGTAAGTGTCTCCGCTTCTGATGCGCCGGGAGGGGTGTCGTCATCATGGAGTCTCCTGTTGGTTTTCAACCGGCGGCTGTTAGAAAGTCATTGCATCAACTTGAGGCTATCAAAACAAGCATACAGCTTAAAGAGCTTTTCTCTCGCTGCTGTCTGATGAGGGATTTGGAACCCCCATTGATAGGTATCACCCGTCTTTAGTAGCTCCGAAGGCACCTTCGGGCTGCTCTTCTTGGTGCCGTCCTCGCCCGGCCATAAACCGATGGTGTTATGCGTGAACGGCTGCGGGAACTTGTGTTAGTACAGTTTTGCATGCCGTTGGTGGGACTAACTGCCTGCTACCCCTTAACGTAACTCACCCTGGACGTTTCCATCCAGCATACCCCCGTGAACGTGGTGCCAAAGTCGATGGCCACGATGAGCTCTCGATTGCCCCCCATGCTGTTCTGCTGTTATTAGGATGCCCCGCAACCTCCTCGGTTTGGTGTTCGCTTTTTAGAAAAGGAGGAATCGACGCAGTGTGTTTGGTATCCAGCTGCGGGAAACCGGGCTGTTTCGGGCGAGGGTTCCATGCCCGATTTGAACCCGTTTTTCGGAGGCTCTTTTGGGTATCCTCATGTTAGTTACCCCGGGGCCATTGGCTTCCCTTTGGCTGTTGACGCTGGGCTGCAGCAAGATATCGGAAACAGGGAGTACCGGGGCGCCTGACCTTCCATCACTGGCTATAACCAATGATTGCGTGACATGCCATCGAGGGGCTGGCTGGTCGCTTGCTGGGCTCGGCTGCAGGAGGCACTTGGCTAACCATTACAGCCCAAGCAAAATGGCACATTGGGCTCGAGCTTGGCACCTGTTTACCCAGTGTATTCCGAGGTCACCCTAGGTAGCAACCTAGGTACCTAGCTAAGCACACTGCTTTCTGCCAGTGGGTTTTTATTCTTCCTTCCATTTAGTAACGTACTTTTGATTGAAATCCCCGCGGAACTTTCTCCATTCGGCATGGGAAAACTATCTTTTGCCCCACGATCCTTTGCTATCGCTCCAGAGCGGCAAAGAAGCCGAGCGCAACGATGACAGACTCCCCGGCCTCTCCCGGCCACTACAAACCCTCTCAGGACATCGAGCCGCACAAAACCCGAGATGATGTGGAACGGCCGCAGGCCGATCCCAATGCCATTCCTACCAAACAGCCAAGTGCCAACCTTACCGAACAGCCGGATGCTGCCGGCACCGTGCTAGAATCTATTTCCGCCAGACTGAAGGCGAAGGATGACGAGCTGAAAGTGAAGAACGATAAGCCGAAGCCGGAGAACGAGGGAAAGGTAGAGGGCGACGAGCAGGAGACGACACACAAGAAGCTAGAAGCGGTGGAAGACGAGCTGAAGGCGACGCACAAGAAGCTAGAAGCGAAGGAAGACGAGCTGAAGGCGGCGCTCAAGAAGCTAGAAGCAAAGGACGACGAGCTGAAGGCGACGCGCGACCACGTTTTCCGGCTGCAGCCGCTACGCGCGGACCTGACCGAGGATGAGGCCATCGGCTCATATACCAGGTTGCACCAAGCCGTCGTGTACCTCGTCCGCAGCCGTTTGAAGCCTGTTCTGGAAGCACTCAAGGGCGGCCGCCTTCTTAGCTGTCGCCCCGTACCCGACCAGGCTGAGGCGTTTAAGGATCTAATTAAGGACGCCGCGAAAAAACACCTTCAGCTCGCCGGAGCGGACGAGTACCATGTCATTGCGGTTGTGATGGAATTTCTGCACAGGGAGGTTTTCAAGAAGCCGTTTGGCTTCGTCTCCGAGAATGAGATGGACGTCTTGAGTGATGCTTTTGGGCTGTTAGTCGAGCTCCGCAAAGGTAAGAGTCTCTCCGCTGCAAACATAACAATTATATCTTCAACTAACAAACCGTCCGCAACAGAGAACTCCTACTGCGAAGACTGGAAAAAGGAGGCGTTTGCCGCATTTGCCAGCAACCCCGACCGTAAAAACACGCAGGAGCATATCAAAACGGTGGCCAAAAAGTTGTGCCTCGTTCTTTCAGCAGTGTTCGACCTCCCCAACAGTGCGCAACCAACAAAAAAGACGATGCGGGCAGAGGCACGCAAATCTTTGCTAGATTCGGTTCGCGACGACATCGTCGCTCCGGCCGTAAAGCTCGCGAGCACTCTCGAGCTTGCCACCAGCGTTTACACCGTCCAGTGGCCAACGGGCGACCCAACGCGGGAGCTTGGGCCGCATCACTGTTTCGACCTTGCAACCGGCACGAAAGCTGTAGCCCCAGAGGCCGCACCCACCAGCACCGCAGCCGGCGGAGCCTTACCCCCAAAGCTCATGCTGCCGCCCCCAGTCCACTGCGAACATGGGTACTTTTTTGAGGTGGCCCCCGCGCTCATCGTCCGGTCCGTATACTGGCCCGGGGGTCACACACATGCGGAGGCGCGGACGCTGTGCGCGGCAACCGTACTCGTGCAAAGCGACGGCAACGTGGATGGGGGGGAGTACGGGACGATTCTGGACTGGCTTGCTAGGGCAAGGAGTAGCCATAGTATAAGGGGTAGAACGCATGTCGTGGCTTCTAAGCTACATTAGACCACATACGGGGTGGGGGGCGATAGCAGATCCGGGACGAAGAGCCCGGGGAGGCCTCCTAAGAGCGACGACCCGCTCGGGGCGAACTCGGCAACGAGTAGCCTACTCGGGGGCGAACTCGGACATTCCGCAACGAGTCGCCTGCTAGCATGGAAACCAGAATGGGAACACCAGTCGCAATCCAACGGAGCAGCGGACGAAAGCCGGCCTAGATTTCAACGAAGACGCAAGGAATATGAGTAGGAAGCCACTCAAGTATTACTGACTATTTTTCGAGGCAAATTGCTGTTAAGCATATTATGGGTGTTCCTCCATTGTTGCTGTCGGGTCTAAAATAATAATCACCCACAAATAAAGCGAAGGCTACTTTCTTTTCTTGAAGCAGTCAAGTAGCGAGGCCCGGAAAGCTGGTTTCGACTTTCACCACACCGCACGTCTGCTTGGGAGCGCCAGCGCCGGCAGGTGCTTGCGGGGGATCAGTATTAGCCGCCAACACACACCCTATGAGACGACGAATGGCCGCCTAAAATGAACCATGTTGACACCGAGGGCAGAGTGAGTCACGGATAGGGTGCCCAATACGCGACTACGCCCCAGGCCTAGGCTGCCCTAGCGAGCGAAGCGCAAGGCCCAGGCCCTTGCCTCGGTGCCCGGCCTCTCTCTCTCTCTCCCCTCCGGAACCTCTTGTCGCATGTGTTAGTGTGCCTGGTTGGGCTGGGGCGCCGTTGCGTCCATGGCCCTCGCCCGTCCGAAAAGTCGGAAAGTGAGGCTTCCCAAGCATGCGCTGGCGATAGTTATCGGGCCGGACTGAGAAGGTGACATACTCTCCTAGGGGTGGGGTACGCAAGGTTGGGTTGCACGAAAAGGGCGGGGACGGCCTGTTGTAAAATGGAACCCCTAAACCCCAACTCGATGCCTTCCTTCCACAAGCGACACGTTGAGAGGGCCATGCATGCAGCAATCTTGGCCAGTAGTGTGTGATCGGACCGCCCCAAATTCTAAGCCCAGCCAGCACCATCGAACCCGTCAGGCTTCGCTGAGACTCTTCACGGCTCAAGAAAGGTGCATAGGCATGTAGGTACCTGCCTTCTACCTCCCAAGACTTTAAGTCCATCGTCGGAACCCCGGACGTTCCCGCCGGACTGGCATGGGGTAGGGGTTTGTGTCTGCGTTTAGGTTGGCAGCCCAGAAAGTTCATCACGAGCCCCGATCCCAAGTATCTGATTGCTCACTTACGAGGGGAAACATATCCATCATTTCCCCCCATCATTGATTTAAGCTCTGGAACTACCTGCGGCGAGCACGTTGGCACATCAGCTCAGCCGCGGCGAGGCTTTGCCTTGATTCTGCAACTCGCTATGCCTGCCTTGACCATTGAGAGCCCACCTCCCTGCCGGTTACCTCCACCACTGCCTGACATACGTGGACGAGGCATATGGGACCATCGAGCCGCCCATGATGGTGGCCGAGTTGTTGGCCACTGGTGTGTATTTGTGTGTTTGGCCATAGTGGTGAAAACTGTTTTGGGGATCTGGGCCGGCCGGCGCGCGGGCGCTGACAGTGGCCGGCACGGCCCTACCGCGTCGTATATTCGTGAATTCATTCATCATCTAGCAGGTGGTATCTGTAGTGCGCCTCCAGGGCGAACGTGGGTATGGCGTGACCGCACGTCCGGCAGCGCTGGGTGTCTTGATCATCCCAGAGGTCCAGCTCATCGTTACCCTCGAAAAGATCGTCTTCGGCGTCACCTAGCACAGACATCTCCAGAAGCCCGTTCTCCTGGGCGTTCTCGTCATAGTTGGGCAGCGGCTTCGGGCTACTAGTCGATACTGTCGGGGAAGGTTGCTGCCCCTCCTCGGGCGCATCGTCGAGCACAGTAAACTCGCGCCGGAACTCATCGCGCCTCTTGAACATGGCGGCGATGTCGCGGCCACTGCTGCTAGCGCTGTCACCAGCGGCCATAGTTACGTTGGCGACACACACATTCAGAAGTCCAACATCGTAGCCGCCGCCGCCAGGTCTAGGGGTCGCAAGACGGTGGAACATAGGCATCAGGCTCTCTTCGACAAGGCGCTGCGCGAGCTGATCCACGGGCTGAGTGAGACTCAACAGGAAGCCAGGGATGGGCTGGCTCCGGCTCGCCCGGCCGTGGTTGTAGTTGTATTCACGGCCCTCGAGTGAGCCGTCGTGTCTGGGTCGTGTCGTGAGGCGTAAGGTTTTGGGGACGGCGATCCACTTCCGAGCGGCATCTGCCCCTGCCGTGCGTGCTGCGCCGGTGCCACTGCTGCCGGTATCCTCGGCCAGGTCGGCGCGCATCCGCGTGATGAGCGAGGCTGAGATTTTGTCAAGCTCCCGCTTTACCTGGACAGCAGTGTTTAAGCCTGCGCTGGCATAGGTGTCTTCGATGCTAATCTGCGCCGGCACATCGCTCGCTTCTTTGACCTCCGAGCGGTCCTGGCCGTGTAGCAGCGCCCACGTCTTCTCGCCTATTCCCCTTTCCATCCCCGATGGGCGGAGGAGCTTCTCTATGAGCTCGGGGCCCATGCCAGGGTGGGTCCTTAGCTGTCCCACAGTCAGGGGCTCCTCGTTATCCCCTTTCTCCTTTTTTGGATGTGCCGCAGCGCCGTGTCTGCCACCGCCAGCTTCTCGGCTGCTGGCTTCCCGCGAGTGGGATACATAGCTTTCCAGCACGCTAACCATCCTGCCTCCGATGCCAGGCACACTGCGAAGACGGTACGGGTCTAGAAAGGAGCTCAAATCCTCTTGACTACGAGCCAAAAGGGTGGTCTGATTCCGGGGCTTGTTCAGACTCCCGACCAGCTTGCTAAGGGCTTTATTGGTTGCAATACCGCAGGCGCATGTGTATCCCTGTTTCTCGATCATTTGACGCAGATAAAAGGCCAGGTGTGACGCGAGGCGGCTGGCGGACAGTCCCTGTTGGGAGGAAAAGAGTGGCAAGGGGGCAGTGCCGTCTTCGAGGGTACTGTTTCCGGGAGCAACAACACACCCCGCAAACGTTGTAGCATCAAACGCGAAGCCAATCTCGGGATCTGTCTCGGAAAGGCAGAAAAACGAGCGGGCGAAGTCATGGGGGTTCAGCAGCTGCAGGTTGTACGCCACGATGTCGGTAACATCCAAGAATATCTCGTCCAGGCCGAGACGCTCAGCCCTCAGGTTGTGGCCACACGAGGATCTCAGCACCCGATAGAGAGTCTTGGAGACGTCTCGGAAGGGTGTCAAGTCCTCCCCGTTAACCACGACCAAGTCCGGGCATAACTTTTTGGCCTCTGAGATGAGGCCGAGCTTCTTGACGCCGCGAGCCCTTGCGGCATAGTTGCACGTGGCGAGGATGCTCTTTTGCTTGATCCCCAGCGGCCGAGATTTTAGCGCAGGATGTTTGTTCTCGACCACTTGAGCATAAAAGCAGTCGTAATCCTTCAAGTATTATGGGTTTGTCGGCACTCAGCAAGGCCTCCAGAATTGCATCACCTACTTCATCTGTCGAAGTTGATAGCCTACTTACAAAATGGAGTATGATTCTCTTTAGTTCAGTGACTGGATCTTTCTGGCCATCCATAGCTGCCGCGCGAAGGTGATGGAAAGCATGGCGTGAGCAAACCGATGCCTGCTCTCGAAATCTGTCAGGTCGCGAGCTGATCAGGCGCGAGGAGCATCCCGAGTCTCGTGTGGGGCTGGGGCTGAGGGGAACGCAGCGGGCGTGCAGGACACCGTCATCGGCAGAGAAATTGAGCAAGGACAAGAGACTACCTATCAGACCTATGTAGATATTAAGCCAAGTCCAGGGAGAGAAATGGAGCAGAACAGGAAGATTTACTGAAGAGGAGAGGCAAACGGATCCATAGTGCAATGAAAGAAACCGACAGGGGAAGCTGCGGGTAGGTACGTACCCTGAGAGACATGTGTTAGTCAGCTATGGGTCCCGCACCTGGTACCCCACACTAGCCACAACTGGCAGGGCGCGCCCACACACGAAAATTTGGGAAGGAACAGAAATTCGTCTGCTCGGCCTTTTTGACCTTGTTGCAGAACCAAAATCATCACCCCGAAACACCACGACGACAACAACCAGACCCGAATCGCCGACATTCGAACACTCTCAAAATGGGAAAGGGACAGCCAAGAGGTCTCAATGCGGCGCGCAAGCTGCGCAACAACCGCCGCGAGCAGCGCTGGGCTGATCTGGCCTACAAGAAGCGTGCTCTGGGCACCGCCTTCAAGTCCAGCCCCTTCGGTCAGGCCCCTCCACCACAACGCCCACAAAATCACGAAAACCGTCGCTAACATCAGTACGAAATAAAGGCGGCTCATCACACGCCAAGGGCATAGTGCTGGGTAAGTGGCCTTCTCGACCGTCGCCAACATCTTGATCAGAAACTGACCAGAATGGCGTCACAGAGAAGATTGGTGTCGAGGCGAAGCAGCCCAACTCGGCCATCCGGAAGTGCGTCCGTGTCCAGCTCATCAAGAACGGCAAGAAGGTTACGGCTTTCGGTGAGTCAGCTTGCAAATCCGACGGCGCGACCCAGACGGCGCAGACGAGGTGCGGTGGGCTGATATGTGGATTCAATGCGCAGTGCCCAACGACGGTTGCCTGAACTTCGTGGACGAGAACGACGAGGTCCTCCTGGCCGGATTCGGTCGCAAGGGCAAGGCCAAGGGTGATATCCCTGGTGTCCGCTTCAAGGTCGTCAAGGTCTCTGGTGTCGGCCTGCTCGCGCTGTGGAAGGAGAAGAAGGAGAAGCCCAGGTCGTGAGCGGCGGATGGGATCGGCTGGGGCTGTCTTCGCTCCAATGTCGAGGTCTCTACTCGCTTTGGACGGAGGGAGGCTCAGGTGATGCACGACAATGGGTTCAGGGTGATGTTGTGGCCCACGTGGGTCACGTCTCCTGTCTGCTCTTCGTGGAAGGATGCAAATCCAGGACTTGTGCAGCGAACGGATTCAGGGCGACACGGCGGTCTCGACTCAACGTCACGGTCTCCTGTCTCTGATCGCATTTTGGAAGGAGTATCGAGGTCTTGCACGGCGAATGAACTCGAGGGGAAAACAGGGTCATCGGGTCGGCACACGGAGTCATTTTGATTGTTTGCATTGCTCTCTCCCGGGTCAGGGTCGTCGGCTTCACTGGCCGACATGGTCTACGAATAAAAAGATCATTTTCCAAGCGCAGTACAGCAGCAACCCGTCATCTGCCGCGACACCCCTGGGCCAGCCAAAGCACCGCGGGGCCGGGCATTTCGGCTTGGGCTGGGGTACGAATGTTGTCATCCCCGTAATCGCGTCTATAATCGTGTCTATATTATTGTACAGGCGACAGCTCGTGGCCGTGGTATACATCAACTGCCCACTCTATGACGCTATACAGAGGGCAGTATCGAGTCTCCATTTTCAGCTAGAGACTTTGTTCTCAGCCTCATCGTCCTTGGTGTAGCGAACGCCATAGTCAATGGCCAAGCCAGCTGCAATGGCCCCTCCCGTGATCCAACAACCATTGACGAACCACCACCAACAATCTTTGACGCTCTTGAGATTCACTCGCTTGATCATGAGGCCTAGAGTGACAGCGGCGCCTCCGCAGCTGCCGATGAAGAAGGCCGGCCCAGCACCAGCGGCAGCACCCGCCCCAGCGAGAAGAGCGATCTGGACGGCGGCCAGGCCGGTAAGAACCTGCTTCGTCTGCGCATCATGCTTCAGCGCGATGCTCTTGATGCCGGCCTTGGCGTCATCCTTGATGTCCATGTGGGCGTAGATCATGTCGTACAGCACCGTCCACGCGACGTTCGAGCTGTAGAGGAGACCCATGGCGGCCAGGGCCGAGCCGTTGGACAGCACGTCGACGCCCAGGGCCGGGAAGCCCATGATCGCGCCCCAGGAAAAGGTGAGCCCAAGGACGAACTGCGGGTAGTACGTGACTCTCTTAGCCAGCGGGTACCCCGCGACAAGGACCAGGCTGGGGACGGCGTAGAAGAAGCAGGACGCCGGGAACTGGAGCAGGACGGCCAGGCCCGTCAGCAGCTGGGCGCCCGTGAACACGAGGCCCTGGAGCGGGGTGACGGCGCCGCGCGCGATGGGCCGCAGCCGGGTCCGGGCGACGTGGGGGTCCAGGTTGCGGTCCCAGAGGTCGTTGATGGTGCAGCCGGCGCCGCGCATGACCAGGGCGCCCGTGAAGAAGAGGAGGCTAGTCCCGACGACGGCGCCCGGGTCGGTCATGGGGGTGGTCATCGGGGCGGCCATGAGGGTCGAGAACAGCGTGGGGAAGAAGAGGTAGTAGGTCCCCGCGGGCTTGTCGATCCGGATCAGCTCGCCGTAGGGCACCCATGCGGCCGGGAGGCGCGACAGAATCCATGACTTGGGCGGGGCCGGGGCCAGGACCGGGGCACCGGTGCTTAGGGCCGTGGGTTCGGGGCCTTGCGATTTCAACGGAGACTCCTGGTTGAGAACCGGTAGGGGTGGTGCAAGGGCAGTCTTGGAGGCGTGATAGCACGACAGGCCTACTGGGCGTGGGCTATGATTCCTCAGCCCAAAGGTGCCGCTGTGCATCAGACTCGGCCGAGATGCCCCTTTGGCCGCCATATTTGCGCCCGTCAACGAACATGAGACCAGCCGAAGCCGCCTCAGGATGGGCGAAGCGATCATCGGTGCTGCACGGGGACAGCTCCCATGTGACCGGATGAAAGAGTAGAGGTTCTAGGGGCCAAGTTTAGTAAGTTGCTAGACTCTCATTAGGCGTTCAGAGGCATGCGGAAGTACCTTGTTTATGTGTGTTAATGGACTTCTTGTAAGGTCAACACCTAAGCATACATTACCTCAGATTCTCCTGGCGCTAGTGAGGAGGGCAACAAGGCAAGTCAAGGGTCAGACGAGCCCACCTGGGTGTAAACACCTTCACGATACCTCAGCATAACCAACCCCCTGGATGGCTCGAACGGTCTCAGCATAAATTCATCGTACCCACCATCTCAGTCACTTCTCGAGCCTTTTTAAACCATTTCCGTTTCTAAGGCGCCTCAAGCCACCGTCTTGAACGCACCTTCACTGGCGAAGTGCCCCGCTGTTCCTCCACTAGGGCTGCATGCATGAGATGCCCTGATTGGCCAAAACACTTTTCGGGTAGATTGGCCTGTGCTCTCAACTTACCCGTTGCGACAGGGACGCGCTTTCAATTATTTTGAGCGCGCTCGGGAACCAATCCTTGCTTCCCCGCCGAAACACCTATCTTTCATCATTGCCCGCGCATTACCGCATCTCGCCCTGGTGTCGCCTCCATGCCTACCTCGCCGGCTGCTTTTGCCTCGACGCCCACGAGCAGAATCGCAACGTAGGCGCAGGTGACTGGCGCACCGCGCAAAATGCCGAGCTCCACGCACCCACAGGCCAAATTCGACCCCATCCCGCCGGACCTCGACCTCGAGGCCCTCGTCGAGAACACGCCAAACTTCGAATGGGTGTTGCGCGTGCCGGCTGCTAAAATCCACCGGCTCGGGCCCCAGGGATTCGAAAAGCTCGTCCTCCTCCATGTCATCCTCGGCGGAAGACCGTTGGTCATCGAGAAGTGGAACGACCGGATGCCTCGCTCCGTCTTCAGCGCGCAATGGCTCGAGGCAACATACGACAAGAAGGAGGAGGCGGTGCGCGACATCGGGTCGCAGTCCGACATGCGCATGACCATCGGCCACTACCTTCGCTCCATGAAGCAGCTCGCGAATCAGTGGACCCCATCCAACTTTCGCGACGAGCGCCGCCAGAGGTTGTATCTCAAGGATATCGACTGCCCTCCAGAGTGGCACGACCGTCTGCAAAAGATCCTGCCGGCCAACGTGTTTTACATGAACGACAACATCGACCAGCGGGGCCGCCAGCCTGACGCCGATTCTTTTGAGGACCGTAGCATCGCTCCATCCGGCGATCTCATGAGCTCCCTCCCCGAAGAAATGCGCGCCCAGAACCTCATGTGCTACATCGGCCACGAAGGCACCTACACACCTGCTCACCGCGAGATGTGCGCGAGTCTGGGCCAGAACATCATGGTAGAGGCCTCCACTGACGAAAACGGCGAAAAGGCCGGAAGCTCGGTGTGGTTCATGACCGAGACCAAGGACCGCGAGGTTGTCAAGGAGTTTTTCCTCTCCATGCTGGGCCACGACATCGAGATCGAGAAGCACTTTGCCCAGATCAACGCATGGAAGAAGGCGACCTTCCCCGTATATGTTGTCGAGCAGAGGGTCGGAGACTTCATCCTTGTTCCTCCCCTCGCCCCCCATCAGGTGTGGAACCGCGGCACACGCACGATGAAGGTTGCGTGGAACCGAACAACCGTCGAGACGCTGGAGATGGCGCTACATGAAGCCCTGCCCAAGGCAAGGCTGGTCTGTCGCGACGAACAATACAAGAACAAGGCCATAATCTACTATAGTCTGAAAAAGTACTGCAGGGACATTCGCAGCTTGGAGGAGAATCAGGACGCGGGCTGGTTGGATATTGGTCAAGATATTATGCGAAACTCTGCCAGGTCCAAGCAGATGATGCATGATTTTAAGAAGCTGTTTTCACTGTTCACCGAGATCCTGGTGGGAGAGATGTTTGGGCACAAGGAGACCAACGTCGAGTTCATCGAGTTCGACTCCAACATCACATGCTCCTACTGCCGCGCGAACATCTTTAACCGCTTTCTTACATGCAAGCACTGCGTTCGGGTGCTCGTCAACGGCGATGAGGATACATACGATATCTGCATGGAGTGCTACACCATGGGCCGGTCGTGCGTCTGCACCTCCAACCTCACCTGGTGCGAGCAGTGGGACTGGGCCGAGCTGGTGGAGAACTACGAGACCTGGCGCACAATGATCATCACCGACGATGGATACATCGACATCAACAACTCGCCCCTCCCACTCGAGATTGCACGGAGGAAGAAGAACAAAAAGTCGCTCGCTCAGATTTGCCAAGAACAGCTTCGCAGGCGTCCATTCAAAGACATCACAAAGATTGATGAACCCGAAGCGCAGGAGCCGTCCGACGTCGAGGTGGACGACGAGGGACGGCCGGTCAAAAAGAAGAAGGGCCGGAAAAAGAAGAAGGGCGAGGTCTACCGCTGCCACGTGTGCTGCCACAAGGACAACACGTTCCGCCTTGCCTTCTGCTCGAACCAGGGCTGTACCGAAGCATACTGCTACGGAACGCTCTACCGGGCCTTCGATATGATGCCGCAAGATGTCATGGCAATCGAGAGGTGGAAGTGCCCCAGGTGCACTGGGATCTGCAACTGCGGCAGCTGCCGGAGGCTTGGAACAACCACCCCGTACACCCCCAAGAACACCCTCCTCGGCCACGATACCAAGCGGATTGCCGACGACAGGAGCATCGAGCTGCTAGTTGACTTCCGCATTCACAACCTCAACTGGCTCAAGGCGACCGGTGAGGAGGGCAGGAGCCAAGACTCGCGTCGCATGCAAAAACTCAAAGAACAGGCGGAAGCGGACAAGGCCAGTTCGAGTCGGCCAAGTGCCGATCCCACGGTACCCGGTGACGGCGCAGTGCAACCACCGGCGACGAACGGTTATGGAGACCAAAGCAATATCCTGGGCGGTGCTCCTGTTGCCGGTGGCCCAGCGGATCAACAGGCACATGGAGCGGAGGACACCACGCTCGCCGATCTTGCAGACCAGTCTGCTTTTGCCGATATGTCAGCCTACCCAGAGCCAACAGGTGGTCATGACAGGATGCTGGGACTAGCATACTACCAACAGGATGATAGCCCTGATAAGATTCTGTTCGACGAGTACGAGATGTTCTCGGCCGAGGATCTGCAGCAGGAGGAGCAGTCTGAATTTCTCAAAAAATCGCTCCGGGCGGCCAAGCGGAGGGCTAGGCTCCTGGACGATAACGACCCCGACTTCATAGGGCCTCGGTCGCACAAGCGCAAGAGGCCCCGGATGGACGAGGACGTTGCTGCTCTCTATCATGCCATGGTGGACCCGACTTTGACGGATGACGTTACTATGGGGGGCACAAATGGCGCAGACGAGGGAACAGCTGCCGACCCGCCCGACGCAGCTCCTGGCGAGCCGGGCGGCGGTGAAGATGATATCGACAGGCAATATCTGCCATACGAACCAAATCAGCCGACTCTCCGCCACGCCAGACCGACAATATCGTACCTGGAGCCGGAAATGAACCCAGAGGACGAGTTCAACGAGATCATGGTTCCGAAGCAACCCAAAGGCCCCGAAGCTGGAGATGTGGTTGATAGCATGGATCCCATAGATCTCGCCGCCGGTGCTCTGAGGACTTTGACTGGCGAAGGCGCCCCTCAACCTCCACGCCGTCGCCCTGGGAGGCCCAAAGGACCACGGAATCCGGTGCGCCTAGCGGCAGCGGTTGAAAAGGAGCAAGAACCTCGGACCCGTCATTCACGGACTTCACTCCTTGCCAGCAAAGGGCTGGACAGGATTATTGATCCCGACGACTCGGATGCCAATGCAAACGAGGAAGAGATCTCGGAGTTACTTGCCATGGAGCTTGACGGCCCCGAGAGCCAGGGTCCTACTCATCCAGAAGCCAGCACCCCGGCCCCGCCTCGGCGGCGAGGGCGACCACCGAAGCAGCGGACCGTCATGGACACGCCGGATTCGGCGTCTCGAGACGCTCGGCCGACGCCTGCGCACTCGGCCGAGCCGAAATTCTTGTCCATGAAGGAGCGTATGGCGCTCAAAGGAAAGAAGTTCAAGATCAAGGCACGCAAGGGATCCGAGTCTGTATCAACACCATCCAGCTCCGTGCAGGTGGAGAAGCCGAGCCCCGTGCCGACAGCGGGACAAGGGGTCGAGCAGCAACCTGAAGATCAGCCCAAGGAGCCCGAGGATCAGCCGGAGAAGCAGTCTGAACAGCCTGAGCAGCCCGAGAAGCAGGTCGAAGTTCCAAACCCTCGTCCTCGCGGTAGGCCCCCTCGCGTCAGCCAGACCCACCTACCGGAAGAGCCCAAGGCGCGGCCTAAGGAACGCCGGCCTCGAGGTAGACCGCCCCGGGTACATAAGGACGGGCAGCCGGAGGCGCAGCCTGAAAAGCACCGGCCCCGAGGCAGGCCGCGAAAGGAGGACAGTGGTGGTGTTGACGATGACAACTTCATACCTCGATCGCGGCAGCAGACTTCCTCGCAGGGACAAGCATCCTCGCTAGAGCAGACGTCACGCAAGCCCAGCCAAACCACATCCACCACCAATAGCGTCGAGCCTCGGCACAGCCTTGCACCGAGCGCCGCGAAGCCAGTCGCTGTGCCGCCCCGCCCCCCGCCGCAGGCGGCTGCTCCTCCCCAGCCTCCTGTCCCCAAGGGCCCTACGGTAGTCAGGCTCGGGGATACCGACTCGGAGTCCGACGGCGGCATGTTTGTTGACAACCACGGCTTTGACGATTTGTCCATCTCGGAGTCCGACAACGATTCCGACGACGAAGACATCCCCGCCCATCAACCCGTCTTTGCCGCCCGCGGAGGTCGTACCGGCATGTCCACTAGGGGCGGGCCACGCGGCGGGCCTCCTCGGGGCGCACGCGGCATTCGAGGCGGGCTCGGTGCACGCTAAGAGAAGCGGGTAACACTTGTTCGCAAGGTTTTTTTGAGTTGTCCGCTACAGGCTTGGGTATATGTCTGATCGAATGCGGATCTGAGTCTGCATATTAGTTCCAGCGGCATTTGTCACTTTGGTCGGCAGGAAGCGCAGATATTGTGTTTTGTTTTGTGCTCTTTGACATAATTATACCACCCTGCGCATGTTTTGATGACAGCGCGCTGTTATTTATGAGTTTAACCGGCGCAAGGTTTTTCGTGGACGCCCGCTCATGTCAAGCCAGAGCGAGGTTCTGTATCGCATCCATATCGTACACATTGATAATCATTCTGACCAGCTATCGTTTGCGCCCTCGCTCAGGACCAAGAAACACCAGAGAGCTTCCCTCGACGCGGAAGCCATTGGCGTGTCAAGCTGCGTGACCAAATAGGTTATCTCCTAGACAGCCCCAGCCTCACATGCCGTCACCGTCGCTCGTGCCGGATTTGCTCGTCTTCTCGGCGTGGTGCTTGGTGCGCTCCTGGAGGCTCTGGATGTGCTCCTTTGTGTGCTGGTCCTTGCCGCCCTCGCGGTCCGCCTTGACGGCCTCCTCGCTATCGGACGCCAGCTCGGCCTTCCAGTGGGCCTTGCCCTGCTTGTGCTTGTTGATGAGATCGTCCTTGTGCCTGTGCACGTCGTGGGACTCGTCGTTGTCTGGTAGGGCAGGGTGTGAGGCCGAGGCTTAGCGCCTTAGTTTCCTTGCAGGTGGTATGAATGACAGGTAGGCTTCATCAACGGGGGAGCTTACGGGACGTCTCCTTGTGTGCCAGCCGCGAGGTCGTTGCGAGGCCTCTCCTGGAGACCGTGGCGGCGGGACGGCCGGCGGCGGCGATGGAGCGGAGGAGCATGCGTGACGACATGTTTTGGATCGAGGTTTGTGGAAGAGGGGTTTGGTTTGGGCAAACCGAGAAGATGGTGTGGACGGCAGCGCAGGTTACTTAGTAGGTTGAGAAAAATTAGGTGGCAAGGTGGTGCGGTTGATACACAGGGCGTTTGCTTGTGTGTGTGTGTGAAGGCTGGAGGATTGCCGAGCTTTCCGTGCAGAGATTCGAGTTTTTGTGATGCAGAAAAGATCAGGATGGGTTTCACAATTGGAAATTGGGAGTGGTTAATTGGCACGTTGTCCTCGGAACGACGTTCCTTTTGTGAAGGCGCGCCTCGTGCCATGGCGAGTTCTCCCTTCCATGTAGATGACGTCATGATTGCTAGATGCACGTCAAAGCTCACGGCCCCTTTTTTAAATCATGGATGGCTTTCTGTGGCCCGCTTCTAGACCCAGCTCGAGACGTCAAGGTTCAGCAGCAGCGCATTTTCTTTTTGTTGTTCCTGGTTGGTTCAGGTATGGTGGCATGCAAGTGTGGTCTCGCGTCGGCCTGGGAAAGTTTGGGATCTCGCAGTGATAGGTGCCAGCGATCGGTGCTCCGTCAGTGAGGCGGCTCGTTGGCTGCTTGGCCATTTCCTGGTCTTGGGTGTACCGTACCCGGTTGCAGGACACGCACATCGAAACCCTAACCCCAATCATCAGCCCCAGCATTTAGACCGCCAAAGCGCAGCCCTGGCGACAGTGCGCGTTACTGTCTTGGATGGCGTTGGCTGCGGGGGCTCGCCAGGGTATCCTGGCTCCCCCAGCTCTGTCCCGCTCCCCCATGTCGCCATTCAAACGTTCAAACGACATGGCACCAATACTGACGACACCAAAAACTGTCGGCCGCATTCCACCCCTCACACGAAGCCGTCCCTACCTCGTCAGGTCTCAACGAGAGGTGCCCGCATACGGCGTGGCCGGCGGCGGCGGCCACAAGCACGAGGCCAGGGCACACACAACTCTTTCTTTTTCTAAAGCTCACCGCAACTGTGCCACCTCTACCTGCGTCCACGATCCAATGAAAACCGGAGGTGCAACCGATCAATGGCAAGAGCCGCAAAAGACTGCCACCTCACTCCCCCTTCATCGCCCACCCGCCATTAGACGCGCCCGGCCAGCCGCACCTGACACTGACTTACCGCTAGATGGGGGCCAACCACCATGTATGGCACAGACATACTTGGCATGTTACCTCGCTCATCGGCTATAACAAAAAAAAACCCTATCACCATTGGACAATCTCCATACCAAGGAGGCTGTGTAGGACAACAGGTGGACAAGCTGCCTTTTGTTCCTGACCTCTCGTTGCGCAAACTGATACCAATAATCCAAAGAGAAGACCCACTCCTACTTTCTTCACCCGTCCTCTGTTCCTGAAGCCGTCCTGCTCGTCCATTAGGGTTTATCCCAACTGGCATCTCCCGCGGTCTTCTTTCGGGCCTTGCCGCCGGCGCCTCTCCAGGCTAGGTCTCACCGCCAGAATTGTGCTGTAATGTTACTGATGCGTGGCCTTGCCGCCTCTTCCGGCGTCTCGTGGATCTAGTGCTTGGATATGTGGACGCACGCCACTCGCTGGGGGTTGTGAATGCAACCGCATCTTGGATATTTGCTGTAGGGCCGACAAATCTTCGGTCACGGGTCCCTGAGGCTGCGGATACTCAACCAATGCCAGACATAGCCGTGCCGGAACCTGCTCTAATTCCACATAGAGCATTGTGAGATGGCATGTTATGATCAGCTGGGCCGCGAGGTCAGCGTATTTGTTGGCATCTTGTCTGCGTATATAACTTTCAGAGACTCGCTCATACTGTCAAAGTCCTTCTTTTCTTTTTCTTCTCATCCCCCCGTCACGAATTCATCCACTTCACATAATCCGTCTCGCCAGATAACTCCAACAAGTCAACAACATGCATTCCGTCTCTTTTCCCAACGACCCTGACTGCCTCGGCCTCACCGAGCCCGTCGAGAAGCCTTACACGAGCCTTGTCGAATGCAATGGTACGCTCAGACTATATTATGGCGAGCATGCATTGCGGACGTGCAACGTAACACTAACCACCTACACCTATAGGCACATTCGACGCCCCGTACTCACATGCTTGCGAGAACCCGCCCTCCCAGGACGCGCCACATGTCTCTGACAGCGGGGCCAAGGGCCAATGGCCGACGTGCGAGCCACCGCGGGCGTCGCCGCCACCGGATACCCGCAGCAGCGGTATGCAGGTCTCGGTTCCTGACCTGTCAGCCGTGCAGGTCGAGGACGCCACGGAGACCTTCGCCATGCGTAAAAATGGTGTGGATGAAGTGGCACTTCTTCACATCGGGGCGTGGGTCAGCGAGCAGAGCCTCCACAAGGCCCCCAAGTCCCACAAGAAGCGGTTTTGAGTGAGCCCGAAGGGCCAGGACCAGCACCAGAGACGGGTATCTCATTGTTGGGATAGTTTCTCTTCAATGTACAAAGAGTAAGGACCAGCAAGGCTACACCAGCAGCTGTGTGTATTTAAAGCGGCATGTACACTATGGGTTTGTTACCCGACGCCGCTACTCTCCATTGATTGAGTTTTTTCATAATCTGGTCTAAGCCAAGACAGGACTGTCTGGCAGCTCGGGAAGGATTTAGGGTGAAGAGGAAGGGAGATATGGCTAGTTAGTAGATAAAACCCACTTTTTGTGTGAAATGCCAGAGCACATGAGAAATGAGAAATTTTGCAAGGAAGGTTTTAATATTTTTGCTGCTAAATTGCAGTATACGTGAAGGAGAGGCGCATGCAGTACATTAACCACTTGAGTTATTTGCGGAGTTTGTAGTGAATTGTCAAACTAGGGAAACTCTCGGGTTTGCATCATGAAAACTTATCGAGCACTTGTCCGCCTGCACAGGAGCGGGGAAAGCTCCAACTCCGAGCTGAAACTTGAAGAGAGTTCCTAACTAGCGGAAGGGCATTAATACCGGCCCAATCTCTTAATGTCACCCCACTCCTTTTGCTACACAGTGCGGGGCTCATACGATAATACATGTGTGAATTGAACATCACTCCAACTACAAACTTTTTTGTGGGAAAAAAGCGTTCAGGCAAAAGGTTTTAATAAAGCGAATGATAAGCAAGCAGAAGTTAAATGGGTTTCCAAAATAGCTTTACAAAAACAAAACTATTCGTAAACAATTAAAAAAAAGATGGGTTAAAAGTGTAAGAGCAAAGTGTAAGCGAGAAGAAACAAGCAGGCGAGGTTAAGAGAATGTAGTGAAAAGGGGAGCGAAAGAAAAACAATCTAGCAGAAAACAGAAACTAATTGCAACGACAACATGCTCCCGATATCGACCCGAAACCCAATCGAAGGGCCACAGACAGCAACCCTACAGCCAGCTAGTCGCAAGAGCCGGCTTGGCGGAGCATCCTACCGTCGGCCTTGGGCGGGACGACGTCCCAGCGACGCTCGCGCTCGTCGTCGTCGTCAAAGATGCGGGCCCAGGCCAGGTCCAGCTCGGCGGGCAGGGCCCAGCACCTGTCCGGGTTGTTGATCCAGAGCCGGACGAGGTGGCGGCCGGCGTCGCGGCCGGCGTCGGCGTAGGCCTCGCGGCGGTGAAGGACCGCCATGTTGTTGATGAAGCGCAGGTCCCCGCGCGCCATGCTAGGGCGGACCTCGCAGCGGCGGGCCGCCAGGTGCAGCGCGTCGAGCGCCTCGGCCTGGGCCTCGGTCAGGCCCGGGATCCCCGCGGTGCGTGGCTCGGACGGCGGGCGGCCGCACAGCAGGCGGCGCGAGAAGGACGTGACGAGCCGGCCGTCCCGGTGGTACATGACGGCGCGCCGGTAGAAGGCGGGCGTGCGGCCGAAGGTGTCAAAGGGCCAGTCGGGCCGGGTGAGGACGTGGATCAGGTCGGGTCGCGTGGCCGCCAGCTCGTTGTAGACGGTCCAGGCCGACGCCAGCACGCCCCAGCCCCCCTCGGCCGCGACGTTCATGGTGACGAGGCAGAGGCAGTCGGTGACGGTGTCGGTGTGGAAGGGCTGGTCGGCGGTGAACTGGGCGTCGCGCTCGTCGCCGCTCAGGATGACGTGCACTATTTTTTTTATCGAGGGTTGTTAGTCTTTGATCTGGCATACGACTGGCTATGCCGTGTAGTTACAACCCGGAGTACTCACTCAGCATGGACCCTCCCTGGTCCTGGCGCCCCAGGCGGCCGCCGATGTAGCTCGAGATGCCCAGGTAGATGGTGTTAAAGTCGTCCACCCCGAGCGCGTCGGGGTCGAGGCCTCGGACGATGGCAAAGCCTCGGCCGTCGTACACATCGTCGCAGACCGAGCGCAGCTTCTCCTGAAGGGTCGGCAGGGGGAACATGTCGCGCGTGACTTGGTGGCCCTCGAGGCCTTGCTGCTCGGCTTGCTCTGGACGAGGGGCGTTAGCACGACACAATTGTTAGACCAATAGTGAGCGCGAATGCACGTGTGGGACGTACTCTTGAAGTGCTCCAAGGCACGCGCGATCTCGGCCTTGTCGTCGTCGTCGAGGTTGTAGACGAACTGAGACTCGTCGGCAAGGTCTTCCTTGGTCCACACCAGAGGGCCCTCCAGCTTGGCAGGGAGGCCCTCGGGGACGGCCTTAGGCAGGTCATCCCGCTTGAGTGAGGCTGCGGTTCGGCGGCGGTAGGCCTCCTCGTCGAACACATATGCGAAGTCGGCGTAGTTCGCCTCGGTAGCATTACGCTCCAGCTTGAGGCCGTCGATGAAGAACCGAGCGCGGAGGCCCTGGGTATAGTCTATCCGCGGTAGCAGGAGAGTCAGCTCGACGAAGCTCGGTCGGCGTGGACAACAAGTAGCCAGTCGCCTCTACGACGAGGCGACAAAGAAAGCTTTACATACAGTCCTGGACTTGCCCGGCAGGAGCGAGGCTTGCGGCCATGTTGAAGGCTTGGTGCGTCAAGTTAGAGGGAAAAAGAGCTGTTTGAGTACGGTGGGCTAGGATCAAGGGCTGGCAGTCTTGGTGCGAGATGATCAAATTGTCGCTGGAGAGAAAGGTCTTTGCGATTCCCAGTCACTCCGGCTCATAGGAGCCTTTATATACGTCAAGATATGTGGCCATCGATCTTTCGAACTAGGCCGGCCGCCCCGACAACATCGCCCTCTGCCCTCTCTGTCCTCGCCCTGGTTACGCCCCCAGCCAGCGTCGGCGTACTTGATAGAGATACACGCGCCAGGTGTTCTCGAAGTATGCCAGGCGCTGTCGTCTGGACCAGACATACGAGTACCTCACACTCGTCTAGCGAAGGCCAACATGCCTCTTTGCCCGCCGCGAGATGTCGACGGCCCCAGATCGACACCGCTCCCACCGGGCGGCGGGCAGACTCTCGATACTTGGCGCGTTGCGGTGAGTACAGCCTCCTTTGTTACACCTCTGACCGATCAAGGACACGTATGGGCCACACAACAACCGCAGCGTCTAAACGACCATCGAGCATCCAAAGATTCGCGCTAAGGCTCGTGCAACGTACCGGGGCGGGATAGGGTGACCGAAATAGATAACCCTCCCGACAACCGTGACTCGTCGTGAGGATCTTTTGGGTAGCTATTAACTGGGATGTGGGTTCAAGTGTTGCTGGCAGTCCAAGGCGATTCGATACTGGAGGGAGAACCGATCTGTTGCATAACGGCTGCCCATCATTGGGCAGCCCCTGAGAGGGTGGTATGTCTCCCCTTGGGGTAGACCGTTGGCCAAGTTGACTCGAAGGTCGTGGCCATGCTCGACTTGCTTTCGGACGTGGCTGCGTGATGCAAGGCTGAATGTACATTTGGGAATCCTCACGGATACCTGCATACAGGGCGTGACGAAGCACACGTCAAAAGAGTCGCGTTTCCAGCGGCCGGTGAGGAGACTCTCACCGCGCCGAGCCAAGTGCACAGACGGGTGGTGATGCCCAGCCCCCAGAGTTTGGGGGCAAAGACGCTGTTAAGGATGCCCGGCCGACTTTGCCGGCCACACACACCTACGCCCAATGTCGCAAGACTATCCACAGTACCGGAACACGCTTCGGCACCGACACAGAATACAACAGCGGGCCGAAGGGGGGCCCGAGGCGCTGTAAGAGGCCTTCTAGAAGCCTGCTCTTTTGGCCGCCCTAGTACTTGGGTCTTGGCCAACTGGACTGTGGCCATGGTCAGTCAGTCAGGTCGGGGCGGGCAACGACGAGGCAGACGCGCACAACCGCTGGAGGGGATTGCCGCCGGCATCGTCATGGGCTCTGGTCGTTAAGGGCGCCACAGGAAGCACATCTGTGCAAAACAAGCCGGGCGATGCGCATTGTGCCGATCACTTGAAGTTTATGAAGATTCCATGGCTGTGGATCGCGCAATCAACACGCATAACGTAATGACCCACCGAGCAAAAACGGCGACTCCCACGGCCCCAAAACCGTAACGGGATTAGACCAACACTCCAGCGATAACACCATCCGACTGAAGGCCCCTACAACAACACCGTCAAATCAACTAATTGCGCCTTCTTTTGTACTTTTCCAGGGCGTCCATTACGACCTGTGCCAGTGACAACAGCCGCTCTTCGTCCAGGTGCGGCCCAAAGAGCTGGATGCTCGCTGGCGCGCCGTCGTAAACATCGGGGTCGTCTTTGAGGCAATTTAGCTCGGCACTCTACGCAGAAGACGCCCCACGACCAGCCCAGTGGTGAAGAACTTACAAGCCTTCATGTTAATCCTATCCGCGTGGGTTAGCGGCTCAAAGTCAGGGGCTACAGTGTCCACGTCCTTGTCTGCAAAAGTGACTGGGATAACGACCGTCGGGTAATCGAGCACGTTCAGGGCACTCGAATATGCTGTTCCTGCGGTCAGGTCTTGTTGTCGCCACCTCACCTACAAGACAGAACTTACGGGAATGGTAAAACTTGCCCGGCAAGACCGCAGCGTACGGGGAAACGGGCGACAAGACTGCGCCCACCGGGAGACCTGCCCGGCCTTGTCAGTACCTATCTGGGCGGAGCAGGATAACGTGCCGCGATGTGATTGGGTTCTGTTTGGATCTCACCGTTGTCGGTTCTTTGAGCAGAGGAGCGCCAGTAGTCGTTCCACTTTGAACGGTACATCTTCATCCGGTCCACGAGCTGCTCATGTTCCCGCAGCGTTATAGATGGCAGCGGCTTCCCTCCAGGAAAAACGCGTCTAATCTCTGGTACTATGGGCTCCCCAGACAGCATGATGGCTTCGTACGCGTCCGGACAGCCGTCACCACGAGCAATCGGCCCCTATGTTGACAGGCCATTAGTAAAACAGAGGCTTTTGCCAATATCAATATTGGATAGCCTTACGTGGATCGCGATGCTCTCGTTGTACGATGGTGGCTGCCAATCGACAATCCCATAGCCTTCGAGCTCGAGCGCCCTTCTGGCAATATCCATCGCACGCAAAATTGGAGGATGAGGGGTGACGATGCCATCGTGGGCAAAAAACCCAAACGACGGCTTCTCGGCCGCCTTCCCAGGGACATACTCGTTCGCCTCTCTGTAGGGAATGGGTAAGCAGTACGGGTCGTTTAGCCATGGCTCAGTATTGAGAAGCGTTCGGAAGACCAGACGCAGGGTTTGAACCGAGTGCGCCATGATTCCCGTAACGACAGGCATAGCCTGCTGACCCGGGGAGATGCCTGCGATGTCTTTGGAGGAAATCCGGCCGGCGGATGGTTTGAGACTAAAGACACCCTGAAATGATGCTGGCATGGATACGGATCCTCCAGAGTCAGTTCCGATGCCAAACGCGCTGCCTCGGAGAGCCTGCATAGCTCCCTCGCCTCCGGAAGAGCCGCCGGTGGACAGGCGTTGGTTGTGCGGGTTTCTCGCATATCCAAGGATGTTGTTGTTCGTCTCTGGGGCCCAGCTGCTCGTCACAAGGGTCGTTTTACCGATCGGAACAGCGCCCAGGCTCTTCAGCTCGCGGACGAGCTCGCTCTCAAAGTGCTTCTCCTTGCCGGTCCCCCTTTTGCCCTCGAACGTGCCGATCCAGCCAACGTAGGCGGCAGATGTCTCGAGGCCCTTGATGTGGAACTGATCCTTTAGCGTCACCGGGACGCCGTGGAGGGGCCCGACAAGCCTCCCATGCTCTCTGAAGTGCTTGTCCAGCTCCTCGGCCCGCTCAATGGCGAGGTCGAAGCCGATCTCGAGAAGCAAGTTGCTCTGGCGAAAGCAGCAGGCTCGAGTCAGTACCGCACAGGCGTTCGTTCCCGAAATAACTCCCAGGAGCTGGCCGCTCTTACAAGCTGATGCGCAATCCCTGCGCGCTTGCAGAATGCCGTCACCACTTGGACCGCGGTCAGAGCCCCGTTGCCCATCTTCTCGACGAGGGCCGCGACGTCCATGGCGGTGATGCGGAGCGTCTCCTCGTCCAGCAGCGCCTCTATGAACTCGCCGGCGATCCTCTGCCGAGACCTAGCCCGGTCCACCACGGCCTTCTCCAGCCGCCACTCCCTCGGTATCTTGGCCCTGTCCGCGTCGAGCTTCCGTGCCACGACGGCGCGCCACGGAAGCTGATGGGGGCCGCCGCAGCCTGGGCTGAGCACGTCGTAAACATGTCTGAGGCGGACCAGCCAGATGACCGCAACGAGAAACGTTGAGAGAATCGGGGCCAGCGACGTGGCCAGCATCATGCAGGGCGGTGTCCGAGATGGTGAATCGTTGGCATGTGGTGTTTTATTGGCCTAGTGCGGTTTCTACGGGCGGGTGCTGTAGCCGATTGTCCACCGGGATTTTCCTGGAAGTACTCTTCTCATAGCAGGGGGTTGATATCGTCCAGGATGGGCCTCATGTCCTACATATAATATTACAAATGCTCTGGTATTAGAGTCTATACAGAGGTACGCCTACTTTTACCTACCTCCTACACTTTAGGGAAAACGGTTGAGATGGAAGTTTCAGGGCTGCATTATCGGGGACCAACATCCCTCTGATGTTGGGGGCCGGGCGTTGGTGGCTGGTTATCAAAAGTACCTGACCAATCAGCGATTCGTATAATACCACAGCCGATGAGCCCGCCCGCAGCCTGACGAACCCGGTGAGGTCAGGCTACCACCCAATCTTTTCTCACGCGCGGCTCGCTCGGGCAGGTAGCGTGATAACAGCCATGCATCGGAACCAACCTAAAGTGCCCTTGGCGTCGGCTGTCCATTTACATTGACGCCCGCCCTGGAGCACAACCGAACCGATGAATAACTCTAGGATATCTTTTATCCTATCTACCCCGCCTCCCTGCCTTCATCGGTTGCAAGGTTTCACTCCGGGGTAGAGAAGACCCATTCTCAACGCTAACCATGCCAGTAAGTGCACGTCCATCTCGGCAAACTCGAGATATCTCTGCTATATCGGCTCGGCTATCTAGATAGTTTTGTTAATTCGCTCGTCACAAGATCCCGGCAGATCTCCGCAATCCTTCGCAGGTTCCATATTGCCCAGCTGCGGACGGCATGCCCCAGCGGGGCAGGCCAGCGAGTGGCAGCACAGACGGCAACCTAACCTACGCTGCAGGCACTATCGACATGTCGCTCTTCATAGACATACACATGGACATTTTAGCCTTCTCTGCACCGCAAGATCCAGCTGGCTGGGTGTCCTCGATCGAGCCCGATGCCGGCGACCATGACTGGACGCTTATCAACAACACAACAGACATCACTAACCACTCGAGCTGGCCGCCCGAGTATGTCTCGCCCGATTTCGGCACGTTTCGGGACGATGGACTCCTGGACATGACAAGCTCTTGTCCCACCTCAGAATATCTTCCTGATGGCTATGACCCCCTGTCCGGGTCATCTACCAGCGCGTCGGCCGACTTGGCGAGGCCAATCATCGGCCATCATTCTACCGGCTCGTGGAGCCTCGAGCCTCAAAGGGCAAGTCGAGCCGAGAGCGCGTCACTTCGGTTTCCCGCTTTCCCTGACCCTGCTAGTGTAGGTTTCCTACCCACAGCAGGCGACCGACCGCATTCCCCGAGCGGGCGTCTGCCTCGCGCTGTTACTCCAGCCCTGCCAAGTTCGGGGTCTTCGAATGCAGTTCCAACGCCAACGACAGGTTCCAGCCCGGCTTTGTCCACAGGTGCACCTCGCCCGGATACAGAGCTGAATGGCTCCAGAGCCGCGTGGGATGCCGGTGACCTGTCCAGTCGCCTGACCGCGCAGAAAGGGCCATGCAGCAAGGAATGGACCGTTCCGAAGGTAACCGACATAGGACTTTGCGTAGGGCTGTAGTGCTTGTAATACCGCCCTGTAGGGCTTTGCTGATGCTTATCGTGACAATAGAAAACGAGGCGGAGAGCCCCGTCTTCCAAGTCTAGTGGAAAACGCGAGCGGGAAGTAGAGGTAGATGAAGAGATCACAGCCTCCCGTCCTCGCAAGCGCGGGAAGTTCAAAACCGAACACGACAGGGCGATGACGGCCCTCACCCGCAAGAACAGAGGCTGCATCCGGTGCCGAATGCTGCGAGACAAGGCAAGCCAGCCAGTGCACTATGCACCGCGCATTCGCCGAAGAGTAAACTGACACCAAGTCGCGACGACAGTGTGAGCCAGACCCGCAGGACCCCCAAGGGGTCTGCATCCGCTGCATGAGGCTTCAGCTCGCCAACAAGCCCGTCATGTGCAAGCTGCCGTGCCTGCGCTGGATCATCACGGACTCGTCGCTCTACCGGGAGCAGGACAGGCCCTACCAGATGTTCTCGCGGAGGTGGCAGAGCATGGACCTGGTGGACATGGACACTTGGGCCTCCCCGCAGACCAGGACGATATCCGTTTCCCAGATATTTCTAGAGGCGCCGTACGAGGTCGAGGTGCGCGAGTTCGTGCCGGTGGAGGGGGACATGCTGGAGGAGATGTGGACCAGCGGCGACGCGGTCGTCAAGCGGCACGCCATCCCGCGGTACGCCATCTGCGACATTAAAAGGACGGCGACGGTGCTGGAGGCCTTTATCGACAAGAGCATCGGGGTCTACATCAACGGCGCCATCTTCAACTTGGACACCCTCCTCTGGTCCACCTACATTTTTGCCTTTGGCCACATTGAGAAAGCAAAGGTCCGTCGTGTGTTGCTCCGCGAGCTCTTTTACTGTCTGCCAACATAGTAGTCGCTGACCCGCAGCCTGCCCGCCAGACCCAAAAGGAGAAGGACCTCCTCCGCAACGTCTTCCGCCTCTGGGTCGGCTGCCTCAAGACCAGCCACCCGGAGCACATCTGCGGCGACGACAGGCTCGGGGCGGAGAGGGTGGACGACCCGGGCAGCGTCTTCCACGGGGCGGTGCCGATGCCCGTCATCATGATCGCGCAGATGGAGTGCATCATGTACACGAGGGTGCTCCGGCCCATGACGCGGGCGGTGCTGCGCGCGCTCAACGAGCTCGTGCAGGAGAACAGGCCGGCCAACTGGCTGACCGTCTACCTGGCCATGTTCATCCTGTTCCACTGCTGCTCCGTTGTCACGCGGCGCGACTGGGAGTTCGCCCGGCAGTGTAGCCTGAGGGTAGGTTTTCCGGGAAGGGGTGTGGCAATGTTTTGATGTTGAGGTCTCCTTCGCCGATGGCCGTCGGGCTAATATACGATTTTCCCCGCCGCAGGATGAGTTCGCGAACCCGGAAAGTATCAAGAAGCACCAGTGTGGCATGCAGGTCATGCTGGCCCATTTCCATTACCTTAACAAGGGGGTCATGCCTTTTTCCCTGACCTTGGATTCCAAGGGCCTTGAACAGCTGTCCAAGGTAGCGGAGCTCGACGCGGACGAGGTGAGTTTCATCAGCAAGACAGCCAATCTTGTCCAGGACCCAACTAGACGTGAGTAAAACAATACCCATACCCCCCTATTCTAAACCAGTCGTGAGACTTGTTCCATGTCTGCAGGCGGTTTGCTACTTGGGCAAATCACGCGTCGGCAAATCACTAACACCCAGCCAAGGCGCTGAGATGTCGGCTGTCTTAAAGGCCAACAACTTCCGCCACGACCTCTACTGGGTGTCACAGCTCTACGAGCAGGACTGGAAGCCGGGGTCCACTGCATGAAAGCGGGCGGCATTCGCCCGTGTCGAGCGCGCAGCTTTGTTGTCCAAAGTGTTTTGGCGTGGACACGACGAGCTGTTGTGGATGCACGTGGACGACGCTGTATGGACTACTGGCTGTCCACGCGCTGGTATCGATTGCTTGTAGCGTGCCTTTAATTATGAGATGGAGCGGAGCGGGAAGACTTCCGGACGGTTTGTTTAGACACACGGACACGTACCAGTCCAACGGATCATTCTGGTGTAGTCTGGCGTGGTGATGCAAGTATGGCGAGAAAAAAAAAAGGGTTTAGTTGTAGATAGGTTAAAATAATGAATGTATGGATTTTGCTACACGAGCAATCAATTGCCTGGCAAGGCGAACTCGACCTGGTGATAACTCTCATCTCCTCATCTCCTCATCTCCTCATCCTTCTATAGACCTCTCCTATTCCTACCATCCTCTTTTCCATCGCTCCAAATGGCACACATCTCGCCTTTCTAGTCTCCCGCTTTCGCTATATTCGGGCCGCGTCTGGAAATCCACGAGGCATGTCTGTTTACCGAGTGGGGCAGCGGCGCCCTCCAACCATTGGCTGGGCTGGCCGAACAGGCAAACCCAGGACAACCAGCCGCGGCAGGGGTCGGCCACAACGCCGAGGCTTGTCCAAGCCCGGTCTTTCTCGTGGGATTCCGAGGCGGACTAGGCATCGGCCAACGGGAGGGTCACACCACAGCAAAAAAAAAAGAAAAAAAACCGACATGCACAAATGGGGGGTGTGAGCCTGCCATCCATGTTGCGTGCGCCGAGACCCCGGGTGGCGACATCATTCGTCCAGACGCTCTGGGCTTCACCGTCTCCATCAGAAACCCTCACACTCCCTCCTCCCCGCCAGGGACTGCGAGGGAGACCCGAAGCGGCGGGCTGGCCAGGAACGGAGCCGAACGCAAAGGGTATGTTGGGCTTGAAATTCCTACCCGGTCCGCGAGTCTGCTCTTCCCGGTGCTCCACCTCTCGACAGGAGAGAGCTTCTTTTGCTTCTCAATCCTGCCGGCAAGAGTAAAAACGGGTGGTGGTGCTGCACTGCGCTGCGCTGTCGCTGTCAGGTGATGCGCGAGAGCGGACCTCGAGCCGCCACAACGCAGCTTCTCCCCCCCACACATCAATGGCCAGTGCGGTGAAGCCCGGATGGTCATGTACCTCTGCTCGACGTGGTACCTAGGGCCATGGCTGTTCGGAAAAACTAGCGGGTACCCTCAGGAAAGCGGGAAGTGGCTCGCAGGGAAGAAAGATACCTTGTACAGTCATACGGCACTCGGGGATGCAACTAACGAAGGTTGAGAGCTCCAATGAAGATTGAAAGCATGGACCCCCTGCCCTGTGGTTCAAGTTCCAATTGCTGCGACGACAGAGACACACGCCCCCCCTCAACCTAACCGCAGGATTGCATGCCCACCGGGACCCAATCGTGGGGCTTCCCATCCCTGCCTGCACCGCCAAGCCGTCTGAGCATGGTCGGAAAACGAGCGGTGAGGGGCTTCCATGGGGGCTGTGTGCACACTATTGGCTCTCCAATCCCAGGTCTTCACAGGGGGGAGGGAGGCAAAGACGAAAGTGGGGACATCAACCACTCGATGCATGCTTACAGTGCGGGGTGGGGACCCGGACAAGGCACAGCCAAAATTGAACAAGGCAGGGCCGGCCCAGCCCCTGCAGTGGTTTGGGCCACCGCCTGCCGTGCGGTCGTGCGTGCGTGCGTGCGCGCCTGCTCCCTCTTTGTTCTTGGGGAAGAGCGCGCTACTTTCGCAGGGATTGTTGGTGATGGTGGTGCCTGGGCAAGCTGGCGAGTGTCACGAGGAGCGCCATCTGGAACGTTATTGGGAGTCTCTTGGGGGGATTTCCCCCCTCCCCACACCTCTTTGCGACAAAGGAGGCAGTCCTTTCCTGGGGGAGCATGGTGCACGCGAGCGAAGAAACCGCTTCTTTTTTGGCTTGGGGGCTGTTTGTTTCGCCAGATTGCCGAATGAGCGAGTTGTGGTGGCGGCGACTTTTGGCCTTGGGCAGAGAGAGAGGCTCCATGGTGTTGTTCGCTTCGCTTTCTTCTTGCCGAGGCGAAGCCTAACATAGTACCAACGAGCAGGGTAGAGAGGGAGCAGCACCCAGCAAAGCGGCGGAGAACATGCAGCGTCACGACTCGTAGGCGGCCCTGCCGTGATCGCCCCTTCACGGCATTGATGCTCAAGGTGGTTTTCTCCGCGGTTGGGCCCGGGCACAGGAGAGAGAGTGAGTGAGAGAGGGAGTCTCGGGACCCATCATCGCCAGAAATACGTGCCGTGGAGTGGTAATAGCCCACCGCAAGCATGTTTAAGCGGTGTTTCCCACAGGCTCTTCCCAAACTCGCCTCGACTTCGCCTTGCCCGTTCCCGAGGGAGAGCCCTGCGTCCCGTGTGGATGCTGCTTTGCTTCATGCATTCATGTTGTTTCGGGGACCTGGGGCATATTCTTGATCTGCCTTCTGGAGCGAAGGAGCGACCACGACACAAGCGTCCTACGGTATTGTCCTAGTTTGTGCCAGCGAGTGGCTGGCGCACATGGATGCTAGTGCATGTATAGACTTGTACAACTCAGCTTCCATTGTTTGAAATAAGGGGCGGCGCAAGTGGCGGGCGCCATCTGCGGGGTCGCTATCGAAAAAAAGAAGAAGGAGACCGGATCGGCGTGGCGCCAAAGAACCTGGCAAGGAAGAGAGAGAAAATGGCATCCATCCATGTTCGGACGCCCGTCGCAGCATCCAGGAACAACCGGCTGGGCGGCCCTCCGGCGGTCGTTGGTCGTGGGCCGGCCGGGTCGCGACGTGGTATCCGTAGTAAGGCGATCTAAAATAGGTCGTAGGCGCCAATCAGCGAGCCATCCGCTTCTCCCCTTACCATAGCAGCAGTCCAGAACCCGCGCGTAGCAACACAACAAGAACGAAGTGCGAGAAAGTGTGATAGAAAAATAAAAGAAACCCAGTAAAGCCGGCCGTTCTGAGCGGCCAGCCAAGCTTTTTCACGACTACAACTCGACAACCACCAAGACCGCAGCTACTACTGTCGACTTTACTCGGCGGGGGAACCGACCTCGTCGGCTAGTAGGGAAGCTCGGAGCTACGCTAAAAAGAAGCGCCCAAGCAGGTCGCAACCCTGCCCGGCGTAGTCAATGTCCCTGTCGCACCGCTCCAGCCCAGGGCTGGCTTGTCGTCGTTGGTGTGTGTGGGGAGGACGGTGGGAGACGGCCATTGGAGCCAGCCAGCCAACCCCCATTCCCTCCTCGCCTTTGTCGTGTCCCGCCTCGCCCGCCCGTCACCCCTCTGCCCCCCGTCGTCCGTTCCCAGCCAACGAGCCCATCCGTCATCCCTCCCTCTCTCTCTCTCCGTCCCTTCATGTCGTTCGGGCAGGGACCCCCGCCGTCGTCATCTAGGCATTGACCAGACCCCGTTCCCGCCACACGGGACTGTCCCCCTCAAATCAATATTCGATCGAGATGAAGGGATCTGCCTACAGGCGTGGAACGGGGCCCTCATGAGACCAAAGCGTTGTTGATGCATCTGATGAGGCCTTGCTAATTCTTCATTCTCCCTTGCTTGCCTTGTTCTTGCTAGCCAGCAGGACCCCACACCCCTGGCTACGGGAGTAGCCCGGCGAGATGGGGTTCGTTATCAGGAGAGGGAAACGGGGCACCACCCAACCACGCAGCCGACGGCAGTCAAGCCAGTCGGGCAGCTGCAGATTGCCCCCCCATGCCTGCAGATATTTTTGCCTCGCTCGCTCACAAGGTGGACTGTCCCCATCCCCCATCAGGCAGCCTGTGCGGCGGCGGCGCGCGCGGGTGAGCTCAACTCTGCCCACGCCGAACTCACACGCCGAACCCCCATTCCGCCGGTTGTTATTTGGGACGGCGATGTCCTGACGAATGAAAGCACGGCGCCGGGGTAGCACACAAATCCATGCGGCAGGAGAGGCGCGCACAGCATGTCAGCAGCCGGTTAAACACGAGTTGTGTGTGGCCGCCCTGTGTCTCTCGCAGTGGACTGGGCGGGTAGATAGTTTAGGTGGAATCTAGGCCTCCAGTCGAAGAAGTTCGCCTTGTGTAAGAAACCCTTTCCCTCGATCCCTTTGGTCAGCGGGAAGGGGAATGGCGCGCGCAGTAAGTCCAAAGGGGATGCAATCGCCATCGCCCTCCATGCAAAGCTACGGTGTGGTACCACACCACCCACCACCAACAAATGGGCCACTTCGGTCTCCCCATTGGGTGCGTATTGACAACACCAGGCGCGAGGCACAGAAGAGGCAAACATTCTGGGCGGCCGTTTGCCAATTGTGGCTTCAAAACCTAATAAAACGGCGAGACAGTTTGTTATTTCTCCACAAGCACAGTATCCCAATGAATTGCGGGGCCCCCTTTGTCGAGCTTTGCACATACACACACACACACACACACACAGACTGTGAGAGCGACATCTTCGGTCGACGTCGCATGCAGGACGGCGAAAGCAGGAAAAGGGCGGGCGGGCGATGCAAATCCCCTTTTCCTCCGCGTGCATGCTAGGGCCCTGCCGTGAGCAAGCGTGGCAGGGACTGGAATGAATCGGCTCCTCTCCAACGTCCAATCAGTGGCGAGATTTTCCGCATTCGATTCCAGCCCACCCCGTTGTCTCGCCTGTGGGACGAAAACCGACCGGGGGGTCCTTGTGTGCGCGCGTGTGTGTGTGTGTGACCCTCTTTCGCTCCGGTTTCTTTGGGGTGGGAGGGTGACACCGAGTGGCACGGGCTGGGAGGCGACGCCCGAGGGGGCATCATGGTTCTGTCGGCGGCGGGATCGACGGTCTTTTCCCATGTTGTTGACGTTGGGTGAGCCGGTGGGTTGATTGCGGAATGGAGGCTTTGTTTTGTATGTGCACTCTTTCGGGCTTGACTACCGACATACCACTTGTCTGCGCCTAGGTATGCAAGAGTGGTACGTTGACTGAGATTGATCCCCGGGCCGCTCTCGAGTCCATCATATCCAAACTCCGAATAAAAAAGTAGCCGCCACGCATCACACTTGTCCTCCCACCTTCTCGGCCGGTCGCCTGCCTGGCCTGACCCGCCCGGCCTCTGACCACTCTTCCGAACGTGCCAGCCAGCGGCAATCCGACAATAAAATTGGCCCGAGCGTTGCGCTGACTGGTGGTGGAGGTCACTTGGCTTCAACTGGTGCTTGTCGCAGGCCAGGGGGCAAACGACAGCGCCTACAGTTAGGCCGTCCTTAGCGCTGGCCTTGAAACCTCGCCCCGTCGAAAAAGAGGATGGGCACATGGGGGATCTGGCAGCAAGCTCCTTTGTTCGATCCGCCTCCCCACACCCCAACACTCTTGGGTGACAAGTGGACAACGGGCCTAGCGGTTTGCGTGAATGAAATTACTACACGAAGTAGGTACATGCTGATGCGGTGTTCGATATATGCGACCTGCAGGTCCCTCTGCATGGCTGGGCTGGTAAGTTAGGCAGCGTAAACAACACGCACGCCCCCTGGGGGAGCAATTCAAGGCCAGGGCCTCTTCCCTCACGGGAATCGTGGAATGCGATGTGGGAATGCTTCATGTGGATGTTCCAAGGGATCACTCGACAGCGCAGCAGGATCAACAAACCTGCGGCGTAGTCCATCTCTACACTGAATATTACCCATCACCCTACAGTAGCTCATCGGTTGGAGGCTGACGGGTCAAGGTTCATCAGCACCAACCTCTGGATCCAGGCCAGGGGCAGGAAGCTCAATCGCCAGAAGCTTGGTCCGCAGGATTCGCACACGCGTGTGTGGTGGACAAGAGTCCCGAGATTCGTCATCTTACTGTTCGCATCTCGTTTGCCTTCTCAGCTCCAGGCCCGGCTTAATTCATGGCGCCCCAGCCACACCCCGTTTACATGCGAAAGAGATGAATGGACCGTCCGGGACATGGACGCACCCCAGCATCGAAATGATGGCCCATTTGAAGATCGCCGGTTGTTGTTATTTGCATGCACCGGCTGCGGCAGGATGCCAAGATGGCTATCCTGGACACGGACAAACACGCCAAAACAGATTATGTCTTCCCCCTCGCTCACTTTTTTCCCCACGGCAAGGACGCAAGCGGGCTGGCTGGATGGCCGGATGGCTCCTAGGTAGCGGGCTGCTTCTCTGCTGCTGCACAACGCCGTTCCAGGCGGCCTGCCGGCGTGAGCGACCGAGCACTAAACAGACTGGTGTCTCTGGCCTGGCGCACGCCACCGTCTGGATGTCTCGAAGCTGCCGGCCTGCATGCGGCTAGGAAGCGTGCAGTAACCAAAATTACAGCAAACAGCGCTTGCCCCCTTTTGAACAAGCCCGGTGGCAAAGCACCATCTGCCCTCTGGGTGCCGCCGGGGTGCCAGGTTACTGTCCTTGCTGCATGGGGCCCCCGCTTGCGGCCTGCCATTGGCCGTTCAAGAAAAGGGTGGGTGGAGTGCCAGCATGTGGTGCTGTGGGAAATGCGGGTCTCATCCACAATGCACCCCCCCTCCAGCGCAGGCCTTTTTCTGTTGTCGCTCGCACTTCCCATCCATCCTACCTTCTCTCTTGTCTTCCCCCTTTTTTAACCTACCCGACCTCCTGACCAACAAGACTCACACACCACCACACCTCACATCTTGATATCTACCTCTCCTCCCATTCCAATTCCATTCCGGCCGCTTGAACAACCACGAGGGACTAGCAATTGAACCCGCGCACCAATCTTGCAAACAACCCGCGACACTTTTGGAACAGACCACGTTTGCCACTCGCAATTCTCGCGCCGCGGCTTTTGTTGTTACTTTTACGTTGTCCGAGTTACGTTTAATACTACGCGCCTCGGCACACATTCCCACCCATCGGCGCTACCCAGCCAAAAGTCAACGACCCGCCGCCAACCAACAACCCAACAAGCAAACCACGGCCTCGCCACACTGAATAAATAATGTCTTCTCCATACTACCACTTCACCGCCCACAGCCAACAACCCACGGCCGCCTCTGCCGGTCCCGTATCCCACAGCCACCATGGCCCGCGGAATCGGAGGGCGCCCAGGCTGTCGGTATCGCAGAATTCCCAGAGGCAACAATACCGCGGCTTCCGGAGCATGAAGGAGCTGGCCGAGGCTGCGACACTGACTTCGTTCCGCACCAAGTACGAGGCCGGCCGGTCTTTCGATCTCGAGGACGACATGGAGTTCTGCCCAGCATTGCTAACCGAGAGCGACGTAAGTTGTTTTGATGCTGCGTTGACCACGTGAAGACGCGTCCCCACTAACATGTCTCTTTTCCCTCGCCCTACAGCTTGTTTCCATCCACAGCGCCTCGTCGGAGCGGTCGTCATTGGCAAGCAACTCCCCAACTGGCTCGCCGACTCAGCAGCCGCAGCAAGTCGCATCCAACTTCTCGCTCAACTCCTCTTCGCCCCCATTCATCCCGCCCACCTACCAGAGCCAGCACTCGGGCAACCTCAAGCTCCACCAGCCTGCCGCCGCCCGTGCCCGTAATGCCATCCCCATCATCAACCCCCTGACCGGCATTACCATGGCCAGCCCGCCGCCATCTGTCTCGCCCGGCGCCCGCATGCAGCACAGCATGGGCCGTAGGTGGTAGACGAGTTTCTCAGGCCTGCTTCTGATTGCTCCGTCGCCACCGCGGCCCTTGCAAGATTGAAGTGGTCGCAATGCCGTCTGCGAACGCACCTAATCAGCTGGCTCATCTTGGCGGTCGCCCGACTTGACGACAAACACATCGGCATCGATTCTTTTCACCATTCGCTTCCCCCCCTGGCTGGCGGGGCATTGCTTGGGGTCGACTGGCTCTTTCGACACATTCTTCGGCAGTCCACCGAGGCCATGGTCTCGACCGGGCCGCCTTCTCGCTGTACAAACCTTTTCGACATACCTTTTTCCCAGCGGAAAATCTTTTAAACATTTTCGACGTCGACCTGATACGAAGATAATCGATACCTCTGTTTGCGTTATTTGCGATAAATACCACACCCGGTGCGGTATCACCCGACCCCGGAAGATGACGGCTTTTCTTTACGACACGGCGTTCCAATGGTTCCATTGCATCTCTCGGCTTTTTTTAATCTTGCTTGCATCGGCGTCGGCACGGCGGGAGTTTTCGGTCTCGCTTGTTTTACATCATCTTTTCCCAACATACATAAGCGCGGCGAGTCACGCATGATAAAACGGCTTTTTTTCATGGGTCTTAACGAGTTCACCAAAGAAAAAAAAGAAGAGTTCTTCTCTTTTTCTACGGCTAGAAGGGGGGTTTCTTTGTCCACGCGGCTGCGGGTTTTGGTTCTGCCTGTTCTTCTTTGATAAGCGAGCCTCGTTGCGTTTCTTGGCTTTGCTTCGTGTGTTAATTCTTCCGGGTTATTTTCTCTACGGGACAACACTGGACAGGGTGGGCAGAGACTTTTTCTTGTTTGGCACGTCGTTGCACTTATTAACCAAACTGGTCACACGGGGTGCCAGTTGGTGGTGGCGGAGTTGGTTTCGTTTTCCTTTTTACTGGCTTTGAGATTCCCTGCAAATAAGATAACCTGAGGGGCAGACGGCGATGTGTGGTTTTATTTTTGGAACGCGATGGTTGCGCTTCTTGTTTGGGACTTGGTACTTACTCTCTCATCACTCTTTCTCTTTTCGCTCTGGGTTTCTCCATCATCTCTTTTTTTTTCGGCTGTACCATTCGGGCGACTCTCCACGTATCGTGGGATACCCCTTTTGTTCATCGGGTTTGGGCAAGCGAGCTGGGAGCATTTATTTGGCCAAGAGTCATCTTGTGGACAATGTCGGCTTCCGGGGCTCTTGTCTGTCCGCCACGACCAGAAGACTTGCTGGCGGCGTGTTTGCAAAGATATGATGGTTCATTTACGGAATCGACTGAGCGATGTAATATCGCCGCTTTTTCAACTTCACACATTTTCGCTTCAGGCTGCGATTTGGGCCCATTGGACTACTTCTCTCCCGTTGATGTTTTCGTGCTCGTATGATGGTTCTTGCCAGATACATGTTGACATCCGGTTCATGCGCCCGTCTACCTCTCTTCGAAATCCATCGCCTTCCCAGTCGCCCAGCCGCCGGTCAGGCAAACCCGGATTGGCCTCCGCCGCATGAAAGACTGTTTGCCAGTGTGTCCAGTCAGTTGGACGCTGCCATTGAGCACCCGTTCCGCCTTGCATATATTTTCTCTTTGTTACAAGGCATCCCCTTCCCGTGATGCCTCCCCTTGGAGTATGTGATATGGTATCATAATGTCCACGGCCGTGACAGGACTGTGCCTGCACACTGGCCACGGTCCGCTCTATTTCCTGTCTAAAACAAAACGATAATGGCTAAACGTCAAGTCTGCTAGTCAGGTCCACCCCATCCGTGTGCGTGCATGGCATTCAGGACTACAGTCCTCCCCTCGGTCCTTGGCAAACCCATCCATGCGTCAACGCGCGGTGATACTTCTTTCTCCATACCGGCAGCATAGTGGTATCTTTGCCGACGGTTCCGTGCCGGAGGGATCCGTCCACGTGTGGCGGCCCGGGGTGGAGAACCGGGGATTACTGGCTACCAGACAGATACCTATGTCTTGTATTTTCTTCTTTATCTCTGTCGCTTTGGTATGTGTATGCTCATTTGTAAAGGTGCAATAGACGTGGAACACTTTACTAGAGCTGACTTGGGCGGGCTCTCTCGGGATCCAAGTATTGCTTGAGAATAGGGGGTATGCGCCCTGCCAAAAAAAAACAAAAAACAAAAACAAAACAAGACGAGCCTGTCTTGCTCGCATGTTGGACCGGTGCGTCGAGCTGATTCCGCACAATCATCCACCCATCACGTCAACACTAACAGGACGGGCGATGGGGAGCGGACAGAAACCGGGCGCCGGCGTTTGAAGCACGCAGAACCGGGGGCACCCCCCCCGAGTGCTCTTTCAAGCCTTGATGGGATGGATCTAGGAAGGTTGTGCCTAAGCAGGAGCCCGACGGTTACACTCGCCTCACGCCCCAGGCATGGATGGTAGTGGCTAGTGAAAAGCAGCCTTCTCCCGGTCTACCATCACCCCCCCATCCGCCCGCGCATCGAAAGTTCCACGGTTCCCTTGACTCGGTGGTCATGTCTTGCGTCGTCTTCCGCCTATTCTAAAGCCGCCACATCGCTATCAAGCTTCGGGTTCTATGCCTTGGGCGCGAGGCATGGCGCATAATCCCATCGGGTTCACACAGAAAACACAAATCGAGAAAAAAAAAAAAGCACGGATGCTTCCCGGTAGCGCCTCTCGTAAGCATGCTCCATTGACGTTCTGCAAGATTAGGCGCCATGATACATGCAGATATGCATGTGGGTGCAAGGAATTTTGGGTTTTGCTCTGGTCCTCGGTCCGTGTCTGCCGCTAGCCCAAGACGTGTCCACGTCGCCAATATACAGATGTAAGAATGATATGCAAGGTTTAATAAATATCACATCATAACCTTGTCCCCGTGGCGTTGGTCTGGCGTGGGTGCTGACGGGGCGTGGGCGAAACCCACTGGCACAGCGGTCCCAAGCAGATACCGAAAATGCGCCCAGATTGTCCCGAGGCTCTTTTGCAGAGGGTATAAAAATGTAGGATGCCTGGAATCCCTACAGAACATCACGGATGCCGTGGGACAGCATGGTCAAACATGCACGGGCAGCCTGCGAGGCCCGTTTCCATACCTACATATGCAGCCTTGAGCGTCATATGGAATGGAGGGCCTTCAGTCTCGCGTTCCACTCCGCTTACGCGACCTTCAAATCTGCCCTGTAAGGCTAGATGTGGTTCATAGAGGGAATGTGGCCTTGGCGCTGCGCGTCCGCTTGCGTTTCAAGCCGGCCAAAGCGATCGCTTCGGGAGAGCTATGCCACAGCGGAGCGGCACCGGCGGGAGCACGGGGCAAAGATCGACGCTGTGGCATGGGGTGCCGCAAGGACCGCTCCCGTTCCCAGCGGCCCAATTGGCGCTGGCGATCTGGGTCGGACCGCGGACGGAATTTCCAGCATCCATGCGTACAGCTTGGAGAAGCATGCCAGGACACTGGACCTGTGTATAGACTGGTCTCGCAATGTATGGGCGACATAGAGAGGTCACATGCCTCGTCCCTTCACGAAACGGGAAATCTGGTCTCTGGTGCCCTTGTCGTTGTACTGCTCGTGACACTCGTAGAACGCAATGAGCTCCTGGGTACAATCGATCATGGCTTCGACGTCGACGCCGCTCTCCGAGAGCCAGCTGGCAAAGCGTTGCAGCTTGCTTTTTTCCCTGTTGAGCTGGGCTTCCTTCTGGGCCAGAGCGGACTTGGCCTGCTGTGCGCGGTACTGCTGCTGTTGTTGCTGTTGACGCTGGCGGCTTGGGCTGATGGCGAGGCCCCCGTAGTTGCCGCTCGAGCCGCCGCCACCCTGCTGCGCCGCCCGGGCAGCCGTCTGCTGCATGATGTGCGTGGCATTGGCGAGGTTCAGGCTCAGCGGCACGCCGCCGACTTGGCCGGCACCTCCGGGGCCGCTCCCCGACTGGGCACCGGTTGGGGGCCGCAGGACGAGAGCTAACATGATGGAGGCCAGGGCGACGGTGTGCGGGGCGTAGACCAGGGGCAGGTCTGTCATGTAGTGATCATTGATAAAGGACGAGGCGAGGGCCACATCGTCGTTGGAGAGGTAGAACTTGGTTTGTAGAGCGTTGAGGGTGCGGTAGGGCTGGTGCACGATCAGGTTGGCGTGCATCTCAGATATGAGGTAGAACTCGCACTCGCCGATCTTGGGGACGTCGAAAGTGGATGTCTCGGTTGGCCATATCTTGTGCGTCTCGTTCATGATCAACCTGATGTGCTGGGGGTTCTCCTCCATCTTGCAGGCGAGGTAGACGGCGGTGATGGCGACGAGGAGGGGGTTGGTACGGCGGACCTCGACATTGATGTAGAAGCGCTTGATGTACATCTGGGCCGTGGCCATGACCTGCTGGCGGACGCCGAGTTTCCTACCCAGCTTGTTGATCTCTGGCAGAGAACAGGCGTGTTAGTCGCGGGGGCGGGGGCAGTCGCGATAGCTGGCTGCAGATGGTAGTCGCTTACGCTGGTTGAAATAAATGTTCATATGCCTCCATTCCGGCAGCGAGTACATCTGCACCAGCGTCGGCTCGTCATCCAGGAGCGCCTGGCGTTTGGTGACTAGCTGCTCCTTGGTGAAGAGCCAGTTCTTGCGCTGTGTCGAGTCCCAGAAGTTGGCGGCCATTGTGGATGGTGTCGGTCGCCGAGGGTGGGTTGCTGGTTATGTCTACTACTGCTGCTGCACGCGTCGAGATGCCCGTGCCCGGAATATTCGCAGGACGGTGGTGTTTTGGTGCTTTACGATGCATCGGCCGACACGTAGGACGACGTGTGCCTTTGTTGCGAGAACCGGGTGGCTGGTAAACGGGCAGCAATTGAGTAGGGGGTGACCAAGGGGGAAGCATTGGAGCTAGACCAGCTGAAGGTTCCGGCAGCACCGAGCAGGCGTGGGATGAGTGGACATGAGTGAAAGCTTGGCTGCACGTTGCTGCCGCTCCATCAGCTTGGCCCCACCCGATTTTGGCTACCACCTTTTGCGGTGCAGGGTGTCGTCAATTGGGCCCATCTCGATTCTGGCGGCATTTGATTTGATGCTGTACCCAAGCTTGCCCGTGTCACCTCTCACAGTCACCCACCCCCAATTATCTCGACGAGTCTCTGATGGCCGCTGCCGCCGCAAACCAAGCACAGCTCTTGTCGGACGCCCGCAGCCGCCATTGTCCGTCGTCCACGCCCCAACCGACCCCTGCCGCGCCGTCTGGTGATGATGCAGCCTGTAGCGGCAGGCAACGCCATCCCGCGGTAGAGCTCTCCCACGCTTGATGCGCCATCGAGGCCGAGTTGCTTAATCCCGCACCCAAACGACGACGACTATCAGGGCCGCGATAACGACACCCCGGCCCATCTGCTGCCTGCCCCGCCCTGCGATGCTCGCCGAAGATGAAGATGCAGAAAATGGTCTCGGAACTTGAGGCGGAGATGGCCGAGTCGCAAAACGCCCGGGACAAGCGCATGGAGGAGCTCTGGCGCAAGCTAGACCCCCAGGCCAAGGGCGAGCTGGACCTGAAGGGGCTGCAGAGAGGACTGAGGAGAATAGACCACCGTTAGCCTCACCACACCATCACCCCTACCTCACCTGTTTCCCTCCGGCCGGCTTCCCCGGGGATGTCTGTCTCTGTCCACAGCGGGGGTGCTGGCGAGGAAGGCAGTGTTGCTGACGGGCCACGGCGGACTCTACGACACAGCCATGAAGAATGCCGACGATATGCTCAAGGAGATCGTCCGGACTGTCGATACTAGTGGCGACGGCAAGATCCAGTACGAAGGTGCGTTGCTTTCCGGCCATTGCCGCTAGCGCTTGCAGAACGAATCTAGCTACATATGTGGTTACCTGGGGGCCTACCTATCTTGGTACCTATCTAGGTGTCCCATATCTCGGGTCTGGCAGCTTGCTGGTGCCCGGATGGCTCACTCAAGGGGCCACAAGCTTCAACCATGGATGGAGCTTGGACCATGCCCGGATCTAGTACTGCTCAGTGGCTGACCTACAGCAACTCTAGAGTTCCGCGTGTTTGTCGAGGCCGCAGAGCGCGAGCTGCTCGTTCTTTTCCGTTCTATCGACAGGGACAACAACGGAAGGCTGGACAAGGACGAGCTCCGCTCCGCCTTCCAAAAGTGTGGCCTGACCGTGTCGAGTCGCCGACTGACGGGCTTCTTCGACGAAATTGACATGAACAACGATGGCTACATAAGCTTTGAGGAATGGCGGTAAGCTGCAACTTTTACTTTTGGTCGTCATTCATTTCTTCTCGGCGCGCAGTTTTCCGCCTTGCTTTGTTACCTACTCCCGTGGCCTCGATCGCTTTGCGCCATGGCGGGTGGCGCCCCGCCCCCCTTTTGTTGGTCTGATGTTTGGGGCCTTGTTCGTCAGTGGTTCGGGTCTGTCTAGACTAGGCACCGAACATGTCTCTCTGTCAGCTCCATCCCAGCCACGAGTTTTCAACACACCGTCACCGGCGATTCATCCGCGACTCACTGTGCTCACTTACAACATGGGTTGTCTGTCCACGACCTTGGTGTCTGGCTCAGGCACCGGGGGTTGCCGAGGCGTCTTTGTCCGAGGCGGAACTTGGCCGAGCGAGTGAGCCTGGTCGGTGCCTTGCTAACGTTCAGCCGCGACCAAAGTGACTTCCTGCTCTTCATGCCCACGCATATATACGACGGTGATGGTGGCTCTGCCTTGGCCACGGCCTTGTCGTTTTATTCGCACATCGTCACGCTCAACGCCGAGGGCGACTCGCTGGTGAGCGAGGACACCCTCGAGGGCCTAGGTACGACAAGCTTCCTTCTGCACGCTCTGTTCGGTTCTATTTTAAGGCTTGCCAAACCATCACCGTCGGCTTCCGTGGATCCACTGCGCGCCTCCCAACCTTCGTCCCTGTCTCCGGAAGGTCTCGCCAACAGCCCTCCAACCACAAAATCCCCGCGACCTGCTGCGGCGCCCGGTGCAAAAACCAAGACCGGGACGCGCAGCACATCTCCATCTGCATCTTCTCAAAAACCCGCGTTTTCGACATCCTCGCAGGCGACGTCGCCATCAGCATCGCCTTCAGCAGTAGCCACCATGACCTCCATGGCTGCTGCTTCCGGGTCTGGCAACGGCGGCTTTCAACTCGATGCTCGCCACGCGTCCGTATCGCAAGCGCACGACCAGGCCGTCAAAGCTCTCCAGACACACTTCGCCGTCGGCCACGCCGGGAATTCAGGATCGCTCCAGGAGGGCGTGTCGGGGCCGAAAGAGTCAAAACTGACAGATTACCTGCCCGAACCAGGCTACTTCGTTGCCGGGGCGATCGCGGGTGGCGTCTCGCGAACTGCGACGGCACCGCTGGATCGTCTGAAGGTCTACCTGCTTGTCAACACAAAGGCAAGCACGACGGTTGCCATTTCGGCTGCCACGCACGGACATCCGCTAGCGGCTGCCAAAACGGCATCGAAACCCATCACCTCTGCCGTGGCCAGCCTGTACAAGTCTGGTGGTCTGCGCACATTCTTCGCTGGTGAGTGTCTCTGGGGTGCCGTGCGTCTGAAGCGGCAGCGGCAAAGTTTTGGTGCACCCCACTGATCCCTCGGTTGACTCCCGCCCGTTCGATGGACTCGGTTGCTGACGTTTGCAAAAGGTAATGGACTCAATGTGGTCAAGATCATGCCCGAGACGGCCATCAAATTTGGCACTTATGAGTTCGCCAAACGGACACTGGCAAATCTCGAAGGCCACAATGATCCAACCAAGATAAACCCCTATTCCAAGTTTGTAGCTGGAGGTGTGGCCGGTATGGTGGCCCAGTTCTCAGTCTACCCGCTGGACACACTCAAGTTCCGGCTGCAGTGCGAAACAGTGCAGGGCGGCCTGACGGGCAACGCGCTCCTGGCGCAGACGGCCAAGAGGATGTACGCGACGGGCGGCATCTCTGCGGCATATCGGGGAGTCACTATGGGTCTCGTCGGCATGTTCCCTTACAGCGCCATCGACATGGGCACGTTCGAGTTCCTCAAGACCAAGCTGAGGAAGTACAAGGCCAGGGCGTACGGCATTCACGAAGACGACACCGAAGCGGGCTATCTCGCTATGGGCGTGATTGGCGCCACCTCGGGTGCTATTGGGGCCACGGTTGTGTACCCCTTGAACGTTCTGCGCACACGGCTGCAGACGCAAGGCACTGAGATGCACCGGCCAACATACACGGGCATCTGGGACGTGACGACGACCACCATCAAGAACGAGGGAGTGAGGGGGCTCTACAAGGGGTTGACCCCCAACCTCCTCAAGGTGGCGCCGGCCCTCAGCATCACGTGGATCGTGTATGAGAGCTCAAAGAAGTTCATGGGTCTCCAATGAGCTTGTATCGGAGGCAAGCTCGCGAACGGCATTTCAAGACGAACACGAGTCCCCGAAAGGATTGACAGGCAACGAGCCTGCCGAGAGGAACATCAAGAACCATGATCTTGCCCCCAAGAAGGGGCAGCAACGCCATGATGACGATTTGATGGCTGCGCGAACCTTGTCGCATGGTCGAGGCGTTTTGGGAAAGCGAAATTTGTAATGGGCGAGGGATAGAAGACGAGCACATCTCGTCACCCGGCGTTTTTTACTGTTTTTTTTTTTTTTTCACTCCTTCGGGTTCTTTTCCTCTTTCATTTTTCTTTTTCTGAGATTCGATGCGGAAAAGGATACCAACCGAACACGTTCGGGCCCTTTGTCTTGTTATTTATCTTCCTAGTATCACTTGGGCTTTGACCGATCCCATTCTCTCTACCAAGCCTGCCCTCTTACTGCGGCCGCCTTGGAGGGAACGTCGGCACGAGGGATTGATATCTGTTGTTTGACAGAAGGACCCGCCCCATCCTGGTTGAAGCTGGGAGATGCGGCACACACAGCGGGCATGGTCATGGAACTGAAGCTTTTTAGATTACCTCAGTTCACGAATGACTTGATGCCGCCATGCATTTCATTGGCAAATCGTGTGGGATGACAAGCAGCAATGGAGCAGCTGTGTGTTTGATATATTAGGCTCACCTGAAGCAATATAGCCCTGGAAGGCCAAGTAAGGACCTAGTTTCGACTTTTCGCTCGCCGTGTCCGCCCAAGGCCCCAAAATCATCAATCTGCCATTGCCGTGGCGAGCCATTCAGAGGAGCTGGGCTAGGGTGAAATTGAGGCCATGACTGCTGCCACAACGGCTTGCATGGCCCGCCCATTGTGGCCAATACGAACCTCCAGGGCCCAGGCTGCGATCGAGCAAGCGACCACCACCAGCACCCTCATCGCCGTTAGGCCCACCCGATCAGGTACGTACCGCTCACCAAGCAATGGGGTTCCCTCCACAATGCATGCGATGCAACCATCGCCAACGTTCGGCCAGGGCAGAATTGGGCCGGAGCTGACGAAGCCCATTGCGCATTCCAACATGCAGCCCCCGCACAGGGTAAGCACCTATACCTAAGTACTCAGGTGGGCATCTAGGCAAGGCAGCAGCATTCGGCTGCCATGGACACGACCAGAATGGGGTTGTCTAGCAGGCAGCCAGACGGCATCTCGGCCGGGCCGGGGGAGTGGCTGGCAGCGGCCGAGGAGGTGTCGGAGCATCAAAAAGGCAATCCAGGGCTGGCAGCTGGGGTTCCCAGGGTTGAGGTGTATACGCCCAGCGGCAGCGGTTTGCGGGCAAATTGCACCACGTCAATCGTGGAAGCGATATCGTTACTTGGCTGTGTCTCATGGTGGGTGAACGGGTGGGCTTACTTTTTGCTTTTTCACGTCTTGGGCTTGATGGAATAACGGGTCTCGTGTCCCGTCCTTCTCGCTGCCCTTCCTCTCTCGCCGATTCTCCTCCTTCTCCGCTCTCTCTTATCCTGTTCTGAGCTCGTTCTCCTCGCTTAGAATCCATCGACGCGGCATCTTTACGCGGTCCTGCGCGCTCTCAACTTCTGTCAGCCCCCGGCCCCTTTGCGGAGCCCCGCGTCGTCATCGTTGTCGTCGTCGTCAGCCGCCTCCTCCGTTCATCGGGGCGTCCGTCTCCGCTCGTTATACACAGTAGCGCAGCATAGCACCTCATGTCGGGGGGCAGGCTCAGGCAGGCGCTGGTTGCACTGATTATAGCGCCCCACGGTCCGAGCGAGTGCGTGCCCGCTGCGAGTTTTGTTTTTTTGCAGCGCCGTCCATTTCGCGCCGTCGATCGGCCGCAGAATTGTTTCAAGGAAAGCCCCGTTTCGAAACCATGTCCTCCGCTTTCGACACTGGCCAAGGGCCCGCCCGCGCTGGCGCTATCTGCAGCCAGGACGAAGATATTTACGGCACCAACGACGAAGGCTATCAAACGCTGCAGGGCAACAGCGAGTCCAGGCAGCAGCAACAGCGCCACCACCACCACCTCCTCCAACGGGGCGGAGCCGCGCAGCAGCATGACGAAAGCGCCCTCACGCCTAGCGACGGCTATTTCGGGACGCCTGGGGCTGGCATGGGGCCAGGCTCCACCGCGCCCGCCGCTTCATCCTAGTTCCCCATGTTCCAGGCGTCTGGGTCCGGGACCCCTCGCTCGAGCAGGACGCTACGGTTGACAGCAAGGCAAGGGAAGCCGGCCGTCTGTCCGCCACTCAACCTGGACTCCCGGCAGCAGCACGGTGCATTGGCAGCCGGTACCACGGCCGACCGCCCCCTGGGCCCTCCGCCACAGCCACCCTTGTCGTCTCGACAACTGGACCAGGCGACGCTGCACCGCCCTTGGCCAGACCCGTCATCTCAACATTTCCACCTTCACCACCAAGACCACGACCACCAGACCTAGTCTGCCTCATCTTCGCCATCTGCTGCCGTAGCCACTCCATCTTGGTCCGGCACTGCCAGCATCGCAGGCTCTGCCCTCGACGGAAGTGCTTTCCTACACAACCCTAACCTTCAAGGCAACCGCGGCTGCTATACTCAACAATAGCACTATCGCTAGCCCGCGAGCGCAGGCCATCCACCCTCTGACGCTCCCCCCGCGTACTCGCCAAGAAGAAGAGACAGCCTAGTCACCACCACCCCTCCCGGGTCGCCTCCATTTCGCCAGCCAAGCCATCAGCCCTCGCCGGCCCAACCGCGACAGGGCTACCACACCTTTACGGGTCCGGTTCCTGTCGTTGCCGCCGCCGCCGCCGCCGCCGCCATGCCTGGCCATCGCCAAGAGGCCGAAGGGCTCCTTGCCCGGGAGCCCGAGAGCATGGGGGGAGACTTGGAAGACTACATCTATGAGCAGCCCGAGCCTAGATGGAGGCAACGCCTAAGGGGACGCTTGCCCTTTCTTCGATCCAAACTCTGCAGAGGGATAGCGCTCGGCCTTGTACTTCTCACCATAACCAGTATCTTCCTGGTCGCCTCCATAAAATCATTGCGAGATGGCGTCATAGATGTAAGTGTTGGACCATGTTCGCCCTTGGTCACAGCTGAAGGGGCTGTTGATGGGCTCGGTAAACCTTTGAATCGAACTGACGTGATGACGACGGCTGCAGACACCTGCGCCATCGGTACCCCAAGAATCTTCCGTCTTGGGACCTCCCGATGGCCCGCCGAATTCCGACACGCCAAGGCCCAAGCCCGATCCGCCGAAGCCTGCGCCCACGGCCTACCCGCCGTTTGATCGCGAACTCACGTTCCCGGACAACTCGCGGTGCAAGGGTGGAGACTTTAGGAAGTCCAGCAGGTACCTGCTCGCCGTGGAGGCCGGCAGGACTCTGCTAGTGAAGGAGGCTACCCTGAAAGACACGACCGAGCAGGGGGCCTACGTGCAGGTCTACGGCGACGTCGTTTTCCGCAAGTCGGACGACGGCAACGCAGCCGCCACCATCCAGCTCAGGGCCAACGACGAGAGCATCGTGGCGAACCAGGACTTTGACTCGTCGGCCCAAAGCCTGGTAGTCAAGGTCCCGCACAAGATCCCGTGGAACGACAAGGAAAAGTCGCCATGCCTGCAAGTCCGCATCACAGTCACCGTCCCCGAGGGCAGCAAGCTTGACAGCCTCCAGGTCACCACCCAGACCCTCGGTGTCAAGTTCCTCGACAACCTATCGATAGGCGTCACCAAGTCCACCCTCGTCCGCACTATCTCGGGTCAAGTCGGCGCGGCGGTTAATGGTGAAAACGATCTCGACGAGCTTGCTCACCACGGGGCTCCGCGCCACTTCCGCCTCGACTCCCGCTACGTTTCCATCAAAACCACGTCGGCGGACATTGTGGGCTCGTGGCCTCTGTTCGACCTCCTGGCGCTCGAGACCACGTCAGGCACCATCAAGGCGGGCGTCGACCCCAAACCTGTCGACGAGGACAAGCCCCGCGACGCCAAGCTCATGATCAAGTCGACCTCAGGAAACGTTGAGTTCTGGGAGCCGGTGCACCAGGCGCGCCGGGTGCTGTTGAAGCAGCAAGAACAGTCCGGGCAGGCCAACGTGCTCGCCCCGCCGCCGCCCCGGCCCGCCGAGGAGCTGCTGCCGCCCCGCGAGTACATGGTAGACGTGCACACGACGTCGGGCAGCATCAAGGGCGCCGTCGCCTTCACGTACTCGGCCCGCATCCGCTCCACCTCGGGCACCGCCGCCGTCGACCTCCTCCCCGTGCTGCCGGCCGAGCTCGCGGTGAAGCCGACGCGCTTCGCCAGCCTCGACACGTCGTCGACGAGCGGCGCCACCGCCCTCCGCGTCCTGGACCCCTTCTGGGTCGAGGGCGACAACAAATACAGCACGGCGCCGCCCCCGCCCCCGCCCCCGCCGCGACCGCCCATCGTCTCTCCCGGCCAGATCATGCCGCCCCTCAACAGCCCGGGCCAGGACCTGGGCGACCCGGAGCGCGGCATCGTCGTTCCCGTCGGCGGCGGCGGCGGGGCCTACAACGTGCCGCCCACCACGGGCCCGTCCATCATCACCCCGTCGCTGCCGACCGCGTCGAGGAGGAGGCGCGGCCCGCCCGCGGGCGCCGAGAGGTTCCTGCGCGTCCTCCGGGCCAAGCACAGCACCACCAGCGCAAACATCGGCGTGCGGCTGCCGGGCTGCTGGGAGGGCGACATCGACGTCGGCACGCGGTCCGGGCGCATCGACATCGAGGGCAAGGGCGTCCGGGTCGTCAAGAAGGGCGAGGACCTGCCCGGGTTCAACAGGCACGTCCTCGCCCGCAAGGGCGCCCAGGGCCAGGGCGACAGCTCGCCCGTCGCTATCACAACTGTCAGCGGGGACGCCGAGGTGGCCGTCGGCGGCAAGGTATAAGGGTTTCTTTTTTGGGTCACTTGGGTCTGGCTGTGTAATTTTTCTTGCTGTTTACTTGCGCTACTTTCTGTTTGTCGCCCTGGGCGATTCGTACTATCACAGGGACGCAGGGAAACGGCGTTATCTCGTATTTTATGGCATTGTTTCTTGTCTCACTCTTCTTTTCGGCCGCATAACCCGATCGTTCTATACCAAGCAGCATGGTTTTTGGCTCGTTGCCTTGCAACCGACGAGTTGCCATCTCTTGTTGTTCCCGATGCACAAGCTCTCGAGAGTCGGTCACCGGATAGTACCGTACAACGCCGTATGGTCTGGTTAGTGTTACCCAAAACGGGGTTCGTGAGATGGAAGGAATGTTGGGCTGGGAGGAGTAGGGGATTCAAGCGCAAAAGGAAAGACGAGGACGTGCTTGTGGACTATTGTCTAGCACCTACAAACAAACACACGCATGCAAACCCAACTAGTGGGCAGAAACAACTCTAGCACAACACGTACTACTTCACTCTCTATGTCCATTCGGTGGCGGTATCAATCTGGGAAAAGAGAAATACAATGTGCGCCTTTGTGTGCACGACGTGGGAGCTCTCCGCCCGGGGCGGCCGGACCGGTCCAATATCTTGCTAGTCGGCTGGCTAGCTGCTCGCGGGGCCGAAGCCGCCGGTGTCCGAGAGCCTGGGCCGCTAGCTAGACACGGCACAGGTGACTTGAGCCTGTGCTTGGGGCCAAAAGGGAGATGCGAAGCTGGGGTTGATTGTTGCGGCGGCTTTTGACACGACGAATGACTTTGGTAGTCTTTCTGAAGCTGGGGTCTTTGCTTTGTCAAAGCAGATACCTTTATCTTTATGAATGTGTGTTCAAGGGTGACATCGGATATAGCAGAACAGGCAGTATAGTTGACAAGACAAGTCTGCCTAGATATAAAATGAACGGTGAAGGCAATCCTGTAGGCGCTCTTGAGTATAGTCAGATATCTACCTTACTACCCAACTACCTACACACCCACCCATGGGGGTATTACAGAAACCAAACAGAACACACAAAAACATCCCCTCATCCCCTCCCGACTTGCACCAGCAGCAGAGAGCCCGCCCGTGTCCCCCGGAGAGATGTGCCAGTACGTGTGGACGACGTGGACGCTCTGCGCCGAGCGGCCGAACCACGCGTGCCTGCTGGCCGTCACCTTCTGCGGCGACGTGCTCGACATGCTGCCGGCGGGCCGCTACCGGGGGGCGCTCGAGGGGACCCTGCAGCTCGCGACCGTGGGCGTCCCCGACGGGGTCAGGAGGCTCGTGTCGCGCCACTGCAGGCGCAAGGTCGAGACGATGAAGCAGCAGTGCGCGAGGGCGGCCTGCCCCGCCTGCACCGGCAGCCCGCTGCCGGACAAGGACGTCCTGGGCCCGTGGCTGGACATGGCCAACCTGCCCGCCGTCGCCAACTCGGGCCTGGACTATCTCTCCTTTCCCGGGGGCGCCACGTACACGGGCCCGCTTCCGGTGCCTCCCGAGCCGGGGGACAACGACAACTCCAAGCCGGATGAAAACACCACCTCCAAGCCGGATGGCAGTGGCAATCAGGCGTGAAGGCGAGGTTAGCTCCTCACGCCCCAAAGAGAGATATCATTGCCTACCTTGAGAGATGAAGCAAAATACTCCAGGTTCTCCAGGTTCTCCATTTCATCAAGTATTTGTGAGCCGCTCCCGTTCGTGTTTGTATGCATACCTATTCACTATCCCTTGCTGACACATCGCACTTACACGACACACTACCAGTCGCGTATCACGACCTTCTATACGCTCGCCTGACAGCTGGGTCTCTTGCTCGCGGTGACAACTGGGTGACTGAGGAGGAAGTGCCGGATACGGAGCGTTGTACAAGAGCGGGAAGACTCGTGAGCGAGCGTTGCGCAGAGCGGAACGTGAGGCGGAAGGCAAGAGTGAAGCCAGCACACCCAGCGGAAAGATCACAGGCATAAAAGCAGAGCCATGGCATATTCATGGGGTGTTGCTGGGTGATGAGAGAGGGAGGCAGCGAACAAGGCAGAAGAAGCACGACGCTACCATCCGCCCACATCCTTATTCAACCAGAAGCAAACGAGCAAGCAAGCAAGCAGCAGCACGAGTGAAACAAAACAAAAAGTGTCAAAAAAGATGTGCACCTTTGTGTGGACGTCGTGGATGACCTGCCAGGCCGAGCCCAGGCACCGGGTGCTGCAGAGCATCTGCTTCTGCGGCGACGCCCGGCCGCGCTCGCGGGACGACCAGAGGCGGTACATGCCGGCGCGCCTGATCGGGAGGGAGGTGCCCGAGAGGCTGAGGAGGCTCGCCTGCGACGACAGGAGGCACGCCACGCGGCCGCAGCGCGCCTGCCACGCCTGCCGCGTCTGCGCGAGCCTCCCGCTCGACTCGGACGACCTGCCGCTCTATGACCCGGACCGGCGGCGCCTTGGCTTCCAGAACGGCCACGGGAACATTAGGAGCACCCCTCCTTCCGCTGCCACTGCCGCCGCGTGTGGTCATAATAACATGAGCGCTGTCAGGGCCAGCAACATGATTGTTCCTGTCCAGGCTAACAATAGCATCGGTCCCGTCAAGCCCAACGACATGATTAGTCCTATCATGACCAACGACACGGTCAGTCCGGTCAGGACCAACAATTACCCGAGCCCTGCCAAGACCAATGCTCCTGTCAATGGCAATGGCGATGTCAGCCCTGTTAGTTCCATCGCGAGCGCCGATATTGACGATAATGTCAGCCCCCTCAGCAGCGACGATGAGACATGGCAGGTGGCAGTTGCAGCATGGGAGACGGTAAACAGTGAACCCAGCCATGTGCAGGTCAGAACCGTAGCGGAGTGGTATCGGGGTGGGAGTGTGTAGTGGCAGCCGCAATGATTTTCATGTTGATTTCTCGCATGGCCACATAATTCCTTGCATCGCCGACAGCCCCCTCGTGCATCATGACCCGCCTGAATGCGGAGTGGGCTGCAGGTTGGGCCCAGTGGGGCGGAAACCCAAGCCGCCTGGCAACTGCTGGGACCCTGGCACGTGCTGTTGACCCTGTGCCGGAGGAACAATCATGGAAGGGCGGAAGCATGCAGAAGAACCAAGACCAGACGCTAACGATTGTCGGGCACAACATGCTTCCACATTAAGAATTGGCCTACTGTACTCGACCCTCGACCCTCGACCCCTGTTCCTAATTCCTGTTCCTGGTCGAGTCACTGCTGCACGTCAGCTGTGCTTTTTCTCTTGGGGCAGCAGCAGACACCAAAATAACCAACCAGCCATTGTTCAGCTTTGTGTCTCCTCTCTCTTGGCTAAACGAAGCGGGGAAGTTCTCGGTTAAAAAATGAAGGCGGAGGAGGAGTCGGCCGCCAGCCCGCCCCAACGCTAGTGCTCATGTGGCAGCCCAGTCGAGTCGTGCAGGGGTCATGGCCAGATCGATAATCCTTCCCTCGACCTCATGGTGTGCCCTGGCGGGGACGACGGCGAGGCAAGCAGGCAGGAGGCAGCCGCCAGATGCGGAGTGAATTGCACGCACCACTGAGTTGAGGGTATCAGTCCTGGGTCCTGTCAAATCAGCCTTGACTTGACCTGCCCTGTACCTTCCCTAAGTCTGGCTGGCTGTTGGCTCGGCTGAGAAAGACTGACGACCCCCGCTCGCAGCAGCAGCAGAGGCCAGCCTCGAATTGATCCTCTTTTCGCTTCTTCCCGACGCTGCAAAACAAGACCGAGCAAAACAAAAAGACAAAAAAATAACTTCCTTGTGCATCTGGAGCATTACGCAGCGACTTCGGGTCTCTTTTTTTTTGGACTTTTATTTGTGTTTTGATCCCCCAACCTCCCAACTCCTTGCTGCATGTGCGGGCGACCCCTTTTATTCCAGTCTTCTCGACAGCGCAGCACGCACCAAGACCGGCACCAATACCGGAAGCTTGCCCGAGCTCCAGCACGCGCAGGCCCGCGCATGAACCGCCGTCTTTTCCCATCGCTTCCCCGCCATGTCTAAGAGGGCGCGCCGCCACAGGATAAGTTATGGTTAGTGTTCTGTGCTGTTTCCTTGGATTCTCTTTGCCTTGTGCTCCCTTTGCTGCTTGTACTACCCCTTATTCCTGCATCGACTGCTTTGCGCCGCGTCGGAGCTCGAGGCAGCCAAAGCGCGCGCCAGCTCTGCCTCGGCAGCAACGCCCGCCTCCTGCTCCCCTCGCCGCTAACACCCGCACAGTTCTCGAGCTAGCCGGTTCCCAGTCCGGCGGCCATCGACTGGGCGTCAATGGCCTGGCCGTCGACCGCGAAAATGCCATCCTGTACGTGCCGAGCCACCCTCTCCCTGGCGCTTCTGCTGCCCGCCCGACCTCTGACCCTCGCTCCTCGTGCGCCCGCTGCATAGATACTCGGGCGGCCGCGACGGCGTCGTCTGCGCATGGGACCTGAACCTCGACTTGAGAAATCCCGCTGCCGCAGCCGCACCCTCGTCCTCGGCACTCGACTCGAGCCCGCCTGCTCCTGCGAATGGCGCCGCCCCCGGGCCGACGACCAAGTTCCGCGGCCAGACGCAGGCTCACACCCACTGGATCAACGACGTCGTTCTCGCCCAGAACTACAATGCCCTGGTGTCGGGCTCGTCGGACCTCACGGTCAAGGTCTGGCGCCCGCACGCCGACCCCCGCGAGGAGCCCGCCACCATCGGCCAGCACGCCGACTACGTCAAGCGAGTCGCCATGCCGAGCCAGCAGAGCAGCTGGGTCGCATCTGGCGGCCTGGATCGCAGGGTCTTCCTGTGGGATCTGAGCGGCGCCGGCAAGACGCTCGAGATCGACACGAGCGGCGAGGAGGTGGTCGAGAAGGGCTCCGTCTACGCCCTGAGCGTCAACCACAGCATCATCGCCAACGGCGGCCCCGAGTCGACGGTGCGTTTGTGGGACCCTCGCACCGGCAAGCGCATCACCAAGTTCGTTGGCCACACTAGCATGATCCGTGACATCCTGGTCAATGAAGCCGGCGACACCGTCATGACGGCAAGCTCGGACCAGACGGTCAAGGTCTGGAGCGTTACGGCCGGCCGCTGCATGCACACCCTGACCATGCACAACGACAGCGTCTGGTCCCTGTACTCGGAGGACCCCAACCTCGAGGTGTTCTACAGCAGCGACCGCTCCGGCATGGTGGTCAAGACGGACGTCCGCGGTACCAACGGTGAGTACGACGACGGCCTCTCGCTCGCCCTCGCCCAGGAGACCGCCGCTGTGAGCAAGGTCGTCGCTTGCGGCAGCCACCTCTGGACCGCCACTGCGAGCTCCTCCATCAACAGGTGGTCTGACGTCGACACGGGTCCCGATGTCGCCCTGCCCGAGCCCTACCGCGCGCAGTATCACAAACAGCGGAGGCCGTCCGTCGTCTCCACCCCGTCATCCCCCACGACCACTACCCCAGCCCCCGCCGCCGCCACGAGCGCGGCCGGCGGCTCGGCCAAGAAGGAGATCCCGGCCAGCGCCATTCTGAGGGTGTCCAACACGGCCGTCTTCCCCAGCATACCCTTCAACCCATCAGACGCCAACGCAACATCGGGAGCGAGCATCCACAGGAAGGGCTCTGAGATTCTAATGGAGCCGGCCGTGGCGGCTGCCGAGCCTATCCAGCGTCTTCCCGAGGAGACCATCGAGGGCCAGTTCGGCCTGGTCAAGCACCGCCTGCTGAACGACCGCCGGAGAGTGCTGACGCTGGACACGGCCGGTGATGTCTTGTTGTGGGACCTCATCAAGTGTCGGCCAATCCAGCGTTTTGGCAAGAAGCACTTGGAGGATGTCGAGCCCGAGATCAATACCGTCGAGGCCGTGGCCCCTTGGTGCTCCATCGACACGAGCTCAGGAAACCTCACCGTGGTTCTCGAGCCCTTCAACTGTTTCGACGCCGAGATGTACGCCGACGAGCTGGTGACAGAGGAGCCGGTCGAGTTTAGGGAAGACCAGAGGATAAACCTCGGCAAGTGGATTCTGCACTACTTGTTTGCCAACTTGATCGACGAGGAGATCAGGCGCGACGAGGCCCACAGGGCAACCCTCAACGAGGCTGTTGAGAAGAGGATAGAGGCGGCCAAGGCGAACCCGCCCATGTCTATAGATCTTCCCGACCCCTCTATTCTGCCTGGCCCCGACGATGGTGTCACCCCAGTCGCGACGCCCCGGCCGAACGGAAGCGGAGCCACTCCTGGGCTGACCATCGGGCTCGCTACACCCGCGCTTCAGCAGGCTCGCTCGTCCCTGGGCGACTCCCTGCCGGCGGCGACCCCGGTGGAGAAGCGATCGTCCCAGATCAGCCGTCCTTCGGTCGAGAAGGACGACTATTTCTCCAACGCCATCGCCTCGGTCGAGTCGGCCAAGCCGGCCGCCACCCCGGCCGAGCCTCCGACACCAGCGACCCCTACGGCCGAGCCCAAGACTCCTGGCGTTGAAAACGTCAAAGACAAGGACAAGGAGAACAACGGCAAATCGCCCAGCACACCGTTCGGTAAGAAGTTCCGTATTGGCATGCCGTTCGGGTCTAAGAAGCTGGGCCGGTCCGCGTCGTCGACGGCGCCCGAGAAGCCGGCCGTGGTGGACGAGAAGGCCGAGGAGCAGCAGTCGGAGTCGTCGTCGAGCCACGAGAAGGAGGTGGACGACAGCTTCTACGGCGTCATACAAAAGATACGCAACGAGTACGAAAAGGGGCTGGCCGAGGCGCCCGACAGGCTGGTGGAGACGCGCGTGGTGCCGAGCCTGCCGAGCGAGACTCCGGTGCTCAAGCTGCCTCCCGGCACAAAGGTCATCATTCAGGAGGAGATGCAGGGCGGCAGCGCCGAGCTGTACCGCGGCACCGTCGAGACGGTGGGACACGACGCCGACGCTATCGAGCAGCAGGCGCCCATGTGGCTCGGTGACGTGCTGCTGCTCAACTCGGTGCCGCCAAAGGACCCCGTCAAGGTGTCGTTCGTGCTGCATCCCTGGCAGGACACGCTGCCGCACATCGCCACCACGGACGGCAATAACCGCCTCAATGCGAACCGCATGCTCCGCGTCCGCAAGATCCTCGCCTACGTCGCCGAGCGCATCGACCCGCCCGAGGACCCCGAGAACCCGGACCCGGACGCTCTCAAGCCCGAGGAGTACCTTGAGCTTTACTGCCAGGACCAGGTACGTTGATGCTCTTGCTTCTGTCTCATGGCCCTATCTCATGTTCTTATACATGTTCAATACTGACTACCCTACCTGCCCATCAAGCTACTTCCCAACTCCATGAGCCTGGCCACCCTCCGCGCTCACATCTGGAGAGGCGGTAACGACGTGGTCCTCCACTACAAAGGCAACGGGAGGAAGCACATACCGATCCCTCCTCGCCCGCCGACCCCGCCGCCACAGGAGCCCAAGCTCCAAGAGGCACCTGCCCCGGCCAAGACGCCCGTGATCCAAGCAACCACCACGACGGCTGCCATTGCCGCATCCCTTCGCTGATCCAAGATGATTCTCATCGAGGCAGCGAACATGACGCCGATAGATAAAGAAGTAGATGGCTTTAGTTGGTATATACGCCTCTGTCTCCGCACCTTAGTCTTCGTAATGGTATATGATGCTTTCTTCCGCCTGCCCTGGCCGAGGGTCGAGACGCCAGCCTAGGAAAGCACGGCATGTGTCGACGACGGGGCTTTATCGTACGCTTTTTTTATACTTGACCCAGTCCCCCCACCAGCTGCATCCTTACACAACTAAGACTATAATGGGGATTTGCTTTCTGGTCGTGTACATACATTTAAGCCTCGCTACATGGTAGTGTGCGCATTGGAGACTCTAATATCCGGCTTGAGTGGTCGCTACGGTCGGTTTCGTTTCGATTAGACTCTGATCACTCATTTGTTCCCAACAACTGTGCCGGCCCTCTTACTCCCCAGACAGGCTAGATACTCTAGAGACACGAAACCAAGTATTTCTCTGCTCCAAAGTCCCGCCCCTTGCGTGCCGTGGCTCGGCCCGCGGCTCGCGGCTGGCACGCAGCTTTTTTTTTTCATTTTTTTTTCAAAAGGTTCTGCCGATGAGGAGCAGGCCGTTCCGATGTGAAAAGTTCAAATTCATCGCGTTTCTCCCTCTTGGCGGAACTTTCTTGCCTACCCAGCTCCGCGCTTTCTAGGTCTGACAACAAGATACAAGAAAAAAAAAACGCAACGAATGATCCGGGCTGTGTTTCCGAGAGCGAATTATATACATACCCCTAAGGGGCACCTGGCGCCGAGATCAAGTGACTTTGTGCTTTCTTAGTGTCGGTTGCCCACACCGACTCTTAATGATGCCGAGCTCCAGATATAAGCAATATTAAAGGAGGGCAGCTCGTGACATGTGGCTAGCTGCCCCGGCCCAGACTGCCCAGATACACTAGTCTTACACACAGCCCACCGATGTCTGTGGTTGGGTCCGGCAACACTCGACTGAACCAAGACGTGCCGGTATTTGGGGTGGCCGCTTTACCCATCCCATCTCGATCTGCCTCCCCTCCAGGGATCCGTCCAGTCAGGTTCTTGTCACTCGCGAGTGCTCGGCCTTGAGCTCTCGTCTTGTTGGCAGCCAGTCGGCTTCCGGGTGGGGAGCGACATCTTGGAGATGGTATCCCAACCAGCGACATTGATATGCGTAAAGTCCCGGCCCTCGGCCCGCTGGTCAGCGTACCACGCCGTCGTCGGCCTGTATTTGTACTTGACCCAGGCGGCGCTCCTACCGTGCATCTCCTCCCGCTGTGCGACCTCAACCATGTGATTCTTGCACAGGGACGCGCCCAGTGGCGGCTTGTGGGCCGCGGGTGGGTGAAACACCACGGAGTATTTGCCGCCATCTTTCGGGCCCGAATCCGGAGGGACCAGGTCTGGTAGCGGCTCGAGCTCTGGGACATTGACGGGCTTGAACCCATGATCCAGCATCTCGTCTCCCGCCGGGAGCGCCGTATCCCAATTGTCGATGACGAACTCGACAAAGTTTAGGCACGCATCAAAGTCGGAGCCTGTGTCATTCGGAATGTCGCCCAACCACACTTGCTGAAGAGTCTGAGGAGCATTGTAGTCCTTGCAGAACTTCCTCTTCGAGGTTTCGACTACAAGCTTCACAAGCTTCTGTTGCGCAGTGGTCAGGTCGGTTAACAAAGGCCGCGCGACCCCGCTGAGCCGATGGTGGGCTGCGGGATCGACGATGAGCAGCTCCGTCTGTTCCCGGCATTTTGACCGGAGGAAGACAAGCCAGGGCTGACGGGGCGCATACAGTCCCGAAGACTCTGCATCCGGGTCCCACGCGTCGTCCTCGGTGTAGAAAAAGCTTGCGTAAAGATGGTACTTCTTGCTGAAGGGCCACGTGTAATTCCACCAGGCTTCGAATGTTCCATGGTTCAGCACATGTCCAGGCTTGTACACATCTCCCTCTGTGTACATTACCGGGTATCCATAGAGCCTCCAGAAACCAGGGTTCCTGTGGACTGGGCGATGCAGAGAAAAGAGATGGTTGTGCAGAGAATCAAAATCATCGAACTTAAGGATTCGACTTTGAAATCTGCCGGGCCTGATGGGCGCCCTGGCTGCGGGAGGCGCCATATGAACCACAGGAGCTGGCTGTGGCAGTTGCTGTGACACAGCCTGCTTGGCCCTTTGGGTTTCTTCCTGCTGCACCCTCCGGAGAGCATCCGGGTCGTTCGTGGTACCCGGCTCATACCGCGGCATCCACATCGGGCACTCGGCTGGGGACTTTGAAGTCGTCCCGGCGACGTGGAACCTGCGGTACTGATCCGAGTGTGCGATAGACCATGCACCAAACCAGTTGACAAGGCTCTGCTCGTCGCGGGCATCAATTTCCTCATCGACAAAGAGGACTGGAGTCGCGTAAGACTGGTCAGGTATAACTGTCAAGCGAGGCCCGATCATATCCAGCATCGCCAATGCCAGTTCGTGCCTGACCGTGGTCTTGTCATCCTTGACGTGGTGAGCCGAGACATGATCCAGAAATGGGACGATGTCCTTGGGCACCATGAGAAGTTTCCGGGCCCCATGGCGGCTGTTGTTGCTCAACGGCAGCGCGAGCACGAGATCAAGGGCGTGGTCTGGCTCCGCGATGTAGAAGCTTGGTGTCAGGAGGAAGACGTGATTGTGTGGGAAAAGACGCACGGGCTGGATATCGAAGCGCCCTTTTGACGCCTCACCGGGAAGTTCTGGAACCGACGGTATCAGGGCCGGCGATGCGCTACCCTTGTCCGGCCAGAACCAGACGAGATGATCGCGGCCGTTACCCAGAAAGCTGGCTAGTGACGGAACCTGCCTCAGCATCGACATGGACGATTCGTGCACTATGAGAACCGCCGAGTCTTGGTTCCTGCTAGCCAGCTGGAGGAAAGCCCTCCAGCTCCCATCCTTCATGGGCACGAATACTTGCGCATCGGGATTGCAATCCCGAATCCAGAGCATGAGCTGGAGGAAGTAAGGCACCTTGGACGGGGGGAAAAGCATATAGAAGAGATGCTTATGGGTCGCAGCGCCCTCGGGCTTGGGCGCAACGAGGCTGTTGTAAAGCGACTGGTTCATTCCGAAGACGGTATCCATAGCCTGATGGCGGTCAGAACCGCCAATCGGCTGCGGCTGCAGTTTCCAGTTCAAGAACGCGGGGATTTCGACGTGCGGGATGAATATGTGGTACCTCAGCGCGCTATTCTCCTCACTCAGGGTCGAGCTGGCCGCGCCCTGCAGCTCCGGGAACGCCCAGTCGTCTAGTTTGGACGGGTAGGCCAAAATGTTGTAGCACGGTCTGGCAAAGATTATTCCTGACCCAGTGGCCTTGAGCCGCTCGGCAACGTTTGACAGCGCCTCTTCACCCTGCTCGACGGGGCTGGTCAAGTTACCATGCCAATGGGGCTCTAGAGGCGAGCGCATGGTTTGGCGGGCAAGAAAAGTGTCGGCAAGGCAGGTGTGGCTGAAGTGTACTGACTCCTCCGCGAGGAAGTCTGGGAGCCAGGGTCTCTCGTTTGGAATGCCCTTGAAACAGACTTCCAGGCTGGTGCTGGATCCTGCCCCAAACACAGCCTTTTTCATGACATCTCGCGTCGAGACCCGCGCCGCCTGATACTCAGACAATGTCCACTTTCGGACGGTGTGTTGTTCGGAGGGCGATTCGGCAATCACAGGGCTGTCGAGGACCATTGGGATACCATCGTCGACGCTATTGTTATCATTGTTGTCATCCACATTGGGAGCAACGGGGTCATCGATATCCATGACGGCGGTCGACACAGCCTTGGGGCTCTGAGTATCGGCGAAGTGTACCGACTTGCGCTTCTTGGCCCGTGGTGCGTCTGGAGCTGCAGCCGACTCTGCCTGTCGCTTCTCTGTGGGGGCGCTAACGCTGTTCCCTGCTGCAGCCGGATCTGCCTGCCGCTTCGCTGCGACGACACTTGGGCTGTTTCCCGCTGTAGCCCCCTCGGATGCGTTGGGCTCGCCCGCGTGCCCTTCTTGGGCAGGCCTGATGTTGCCCGGCGTGGTCGCCTCAGCCAAGGCACTAGCACGAAGGACAGCAGGGTCCACGTGCGAAGCAAAAACCACATTCTGCAGCGACAAGCCGGGATCCGCATTCTCTAGGTCTCGCCCTCTTAGCTGTATCTTTCTCTTGGTGGAGAGGTTCCAAAACTTGGCGCCGCTGGTGCTAGTTGGCGACGTTTCCAAGGCAGGATTTGCCGGGATTTCAGTCGAGCTCTTCCGGCGCGGCTTTCGTTTCTTGCCATCAATGAATACGTTTCGTATTGGCGGCGCGCTTTTGCGGGCTGTCCGGCTGGCGGCGGTCTTGGCAGCCGCCGCCGGTCGCTGGGATGCGAGTGACTTGGAGAGGGCATCTGTCTTGGAACCAAGAGGCCTTGCAGTCCCTTGATAGCCCGTGGCCGACCTGACCCCCGCCTCAACCGCTACTTTGCCACGCGCTGCCGAGTCCACCGAAGATGAGCTGACTGTGCTTTTGGGCACGGTGGCCTTTGCGGCTGCTGGTGCGGCTGCTGGAAGACCCGTGAAAATGCGTTGCTTCCCACGGGGCGTGGCGGGAGGCTTCGCTTGATGCGGTAGACTATCCTTCGGCTTGTCGATAGTTTGCGCGTTCGCACCGCCACCCGAGCCCGATACGGAGCTGCGGGGAGGCTCAGCAGCCTCAGTCGGGGTCTCGGTCAGCGCCTCGACCGAAGCCCCGGCCTCGCTCTCATCAGACATTTCGCTGTCCGAAGTGGGAAAGTCTGGGTAGTAGATGGGCTCCAAGTTCAGGCGCACCCGCTCAGCGTTTTTTCTTTCCCTTCGCTCAATCTCGGAGGCTTTTGCTTGCCTCCATTTGGCGATGACTTCATGCTGTGGTGGCTTCAGTCCAGCCGCAATCTCATGCTTGGTCCGCTCCCATTCGTCTCTCAAAACGTCGTTGATTGCCTCGGCCGGCTCCCACGACCAGTCCTTGAAGGCATAGTTTGTCCACTCGATGAGATACTTCTTGCTGCCATCGCGAAGGATCTTCTCTGCATGAAGCGCCTCGACCTCGTACATGTGATCGGGCCCAAGGTCCGGGTCCTCAGACGAGGCAATCGAGACATGGTCGTCGTGGTGTTTATCTTCTGCCGCCCCGACGGCCTGATCCGCTGACGCTGCGTTCACAGGCAGCGCCGCTGGCTGATATTGGCCACTGGGGGCCTCAGGCGCGGCGGGACGCGCCTCGTCCGGCGCCGATGCGCGGACCAGAGGCAGAGAACCCTGCCGCGCCGACATGACCGGGTCGGTTTGATTTGGATATCGACGCTGGGCGAGAGTGAGCACAGGATTTGCACAATGATGAGACGGCACGACGTCGCATTGTGCAGTTTTCCAATGTTCTGTTCCCCGTACCTAGAAGCAGCAGTTATAGAATTGTTTCAACTGTGATGAAGAAGTCGCGTTTGCTTTCTCGTTTGTCGAGGAAAGACCACCCCATGTCATGTCGCAACCCAATGCACGTGACCTTTAGCGTCCGTCTATGGGCGGCAGCATGGATATGACGCCAATTGCGCGACGTTGAGTTGAGTTGAGACCCGACGCTAAACAACGACGCCGCTTATCCCACGGGCACCTACCTATTGACCAAGCGTGGATATAGGTCCAGGCCTGCTGCAGTGGTTGTGCTAGGCAGTCAGCACTGTTCGGTGTGTCAGTTGCCGGTGGATACCACGTGCGTCGCTTCAAGGTGAGTACCAAAGACGTAGAAGTACATGAGCAGGCAAGGATGCGACAAGGTGATAGGTTGCCGCGACCTGATAAAGCACCGTCTGGGAGAAGGTTGTAAATTGAAATATACTCATGAAACTTTGTGCAAACTCTCCCCTTGCCCACCTCAGTAGCCGCCACTATTGTGGAACCAGGATAGGTAGGTACCTAGGTATCTATTTCACCTTCGCATCTCGACTTCACCTCGGGGCGGAAACCAATCAAGCAACAAAGGAGAGATAATGGCGTGCAGGCTGCCGCGAGTTAATTCCTCCAAGGACTCGACCAACCAGGAGACCTGCAGCACCGCTGATCTGACGACGATACAAGCGACGGCAGCCCAGCTGGTGGGCGGGATCGCGCAAGTACCGCCTCTGTGTTGGGCTGTGCGACCACAGCCCACCATGACTGTGACTAGTAGTGCTAAATATACCACATGCACATTATCCCTCCCGCGCTCGCAGGCAGCACCACCAACCACCTCGCTGATTGTATTGTCACCAGTTCGTGTCTGCTGCGCCGAGTACAAAGGGTGGAACGCTTGTCGCATTCCAATGAGAGGAGGGGGAAATGCACGGCCCAATTGATACCCGCCTTGGCCAAATATGAAAAGAGAACCAGAACTAGGTGAGGATTAGGAAGAAGAAGAAACGACGAGAAGAAAAGAGGGAAAGGTGATTGCGTGGAATGCCAGATGGAATCAAAGGAGATGGAACTCGGAAGTGAAGCGTGCGGAATAAGCCTCCAGTCGATCAGGCAGTCAGTTTAGTTTGTCTGGTGGGCCGCTGCTTTGTCCAGTTTTCGGGGTGCTCTAAGCCTCCCTCTGGGTGGTGGTGGTTGTGTCCGTGTGGGGCGACCAAAGCCCAGGGAGGTTGCCGCCACATGAATGGATGTCACCACCTCACCATCCATCTTCATATGGGCCTTCTTTGCAGCCCGCATCATCGACTTTTCTCTTGAAAACAAAACAAACCCGCGCTCCAGGCCTCGCAAAACACGACTGGCTACCATCTACTACCATTTTCGACAACAGCATTCCCTGCACGACTTACCCCTCGCTGTCAATATGGCCAACGACGAGTACGACGTAGGTCGCCCCCATCCCCGCCCGCCGCCATGCCCTCCCCTGCCAGCTTGACATTGCTTTCTCCCACCATGTCGCCCTTGGCTGACCACGCAGACATTGCGCGCGTAGTTTCTCTTCAAAGGTGAAGACCCAGACTCCCCACCGCCCTTGCGCCCGCCGGCCCGACCGAGTCTGCCCGCCTCCCCTCGTTGTGTCCCCCTGCTTACCATGCCCCGATTGCAGTCGTGTTGATCGGAGACTCCGGCGTCGGCAAGTCCAACCTGCTTAGCCGTTTCACCCGCAACGAGTTCAACCTCGACTCCAAGTCGACCATCGGCGTCGAGTTCGCGACCCGGTCCATCCAGGTCGACTCCAAAACCATCAAGGCTCAGATTTGGGACACGGCAGGCCAGGAGCGCTACCGGGCAATCACTTCGGCCTACTACCGAGGCGCCGTCGGCGCCCTTCTCGTCTACGACATCAGCAAGCACCAGACCTACGAGAACGTGATCCGGTGGCTCAAGGAGCTTCGAGACCATGCTGATGCGAACATCGTCATCATGCTGGTCGGAAACAAGAGCGATCTGCGGCATTTGCGCGCCGTTCCGACCGAGGAAGCCAAGGCATTCGCAAGTACGTGCCACCCCTGGGAGTCCCCCGCCCTCCAGCGAGTGCAACAAGGTTTGGCGCTCCACGGGAACTAATACAAAAGCGCTGCGATAGGCGAGAACCACCTCTCCTTTATCGAGACCTCGGCGTTCGATGCCAGCAACGTTGAGCTTGCTTTCCAAAACATCCTGACTGGTACGCAAATCGCATGGCCCTCGCGCACTCGTGCTATGAACGCAGGCCGCCATTGCTCTCACCCACCCCCCGCGCGTCCCAGTATTGACATATTGCCACAGAGATCTACCGTATCGTTTCGAGCAAGGCCCTGGACAGCGGCGACGCACAGGCGATCCCTCAAGGGGGCACGACTATCCCTCTCAGCAAGACGGCGGATGACGGTGCGGGTCAGGGAGGGAAGTGCTGTTAATTTCTTCACGGCGCCGGTCGCACCGCTCATTAGAGCAGGAATGATACACACAATGGCGTACACTGGCCGGACTTACGTCAACCGAGGGAGCATCAAATGGGCTTTTCTCACGAATTTCGCTGGTGTCTTTCATGGAGTGTGACGACGATATCGGGCTGAAAGGGGGGACTGGGTGGGAAGGAAGGGAGTGTTTATTTTATCATATTATTTCTCTGTTTCCGCTTTCCGCTTTGCTCTGCTCTAGTATCTGCTTTTCTATCTCTCTCTCTCTTGCGGATTGTATGGGATCCTCCAAGGAGGGTTTTCATGGCTCTTCCGGGCCTTGGCAGTCAAGATAATATAGGCATGCGCTTGTTTACGACGGAATTTGCTTACAACCAAGTGGGCATTAATTCCTACATTCCATTTGCGTCGAGGTTATAGATCGCCCAACGCCTTCATATTGGGTGATGCAGAGGCTAGAGGGGAAGGCAGACGCTGGCCGCCACCTGGCATTATGTGAACGCAGAGGCGGACCGCTAGCTCATCGCGCGCCCGCAGTGAGGAGAAGTTGGGTCTAGGCTCCCTACTTGAAGACCCCACTATGGCTGGTGGGACGTCACCTTCGAGGCTGGGCCCACAATAGCAGACCGATAAGGAATGATAGCGAAGGAAAAGAAGAAGAAAAAAAAAAAGGAAAAAAGGAATCTGGAGCCCAGCGCAAACGCGAAGTGCGCTGAAAGCAACATCCAGCGATTGACCACGATACCAGGTCCCTCTAAACACGACCCGACGCCCATTTCACACCAAAGACCCAGAGCAACGGATAGTTCAAGGACCGATCCACATATATCGGCTCTGTGACTTTTGTCTTTTAGGATGGCGTCCGTCTACAAGTCCCTCTCGAAGGGCGCATCGGACAAAGATGGCGCCGCGTCGACAGGACCGCGCAAGAACAAGCAGAGGGTTCTAATCTTGTCGTCGAGGGGCGTCACTTTTCGGTGAGCTCTGATGTCTGGGCCCCCGGCTCTGCGCCTGGGCAAAATGGCTTCGCGCTGACCATTCAATGATGCAGGCACCGCCATCTCCTCAACGATCTCGCGTCCATGCTGCCCCACGGCAAGAAGGACGTCAAGTTTGACTCCAAGTCGAAGCTTTATCAACTAAACGAGCTCGCCGAGCTGTACAACTGCAACAACGTCCTATTCTTCGAGGCGCGCAAGGGACAGGACCTTTATGTGTGGGCATCAAAAGTGCCCAACGGCCCGACAGTGAAGATGCATCTTCAGAATTGTAAGGCCACGGACAACTCGTGTGAAGGGCAAAAAAAGAGCGGTTGCGGGATGAGGATGGAACGGCGGGACAATGGCCGGGTGCGAGAGACGCCGTGCTGACCACTTTCCTGACATGCACAGTGCACACGATGGACGAGCTCAACTTCACCGGAAACTGTCTCAAAGGGTCACGTCCGATCCTGTCGTTCGATGCGGCGTTCGAGAAGGAGGCACACTATCGCGTTATCAAGGAGCTGTTCCTGCACATCTTTGGCGTCCCCGAGGGCGCCAGGAAGTCGAAGCCGTTCGTCGACCACGTCATGGGCTTCAGCATAGCGGACGGCAAGATCTGGGTGCGGAACTACCAGATCAACGAGGTCGAGCAGTCCAAGGGCGACGGCGAGGAGGGCAAGGAGGAGGGCGAGAAGAAGTCGAAGAGCAGCAGCAGCAAGAGCAAGGGGGGCAAGGACACGGACATCAACCTGGTCGAGATTGGGCCGAGGTTCGTGCTCACGCCCGTGGTGATCCAGGAGGGCGCGTTCGGCGGGCCCATAATATACGAGAACAAGCAGTTCGTGTCGCCCAACCAGGTGCGCGCGGACCTGAGGAGGAAGAAGGCCGGCCGGCAGCACCTCCGCTCCAGTCAGCAGGCCGACAGGACGGCCAAGAAGGGCGACCTCGGCCTGCGGACCGACGGCGGCAAGAGGCAGCGGGAAGACGAGTTAGATACCCAGAAGCTATTTGCATGATATGCCGCTCGCTAGCTGGGGCGGGGGCTTGTTTGTTGCCAAGATAGGACGTGTAGATACCTCGGGCTGTTTTGAGCTGGGATCATGGTTGATGCGGGGATGAGCACCTCCGAACTCTCAAAATCTTTCTAGGTATGGTTCCGAGATGCTAGATGCTGTTGTTGAAAGCGCTCAAAACACACTTCCCAATCGCTGCGTACGTAATGTGTGCCTGTTTTTTTTTTTTTTTCATTTATATCTTGTGGAAATCCTCACAGCTCCTTGCCCCTGGGTCTTTTCCTGGTTGGTAGCGGAAAGCCCACGCCTCCAGCTTTCACAAGCTCGGCTTGAGGTTTCTCACCCCAGATGAGTGAGCGGGCCCCTGCAGGCTGGGGTGACCAAAACTCCCCGCTCGCCCCCTGAGCGGTGGTGTTTGAACCCCTGCCCGACGCAGGTTGACAGGCCCGCGTTGCCATTCAGCCACCCCGAAAGCTGGGGTGCTGGACAACTGACGCGATTGATCAGCTCCGGCCGCGACTTTAAATAAACATTGACAAAGCTGCTCCCCTCTGCCGGCTGCACCGTCGCTCCTGTCCTTCCTCTCTCCTTCTCTGTTTGCAGTTCCAGTCCCCTGTGCTCCCGTGCATCACGCGATAACATCAGAAGCGTGTGCCCGGATCCGCCAGCAGCGATGGCGGAAGCTGAACACGCAACTCCGGCAGCGCCGTTCGTGGTGCTGCGCGGAGCCTCATCCGAGATGCCCCAGCGCATCATCACCTCTCCTCAGCACCTGGACAACCCCAACGGCGGGGTCGAGACCGTCTAGGTGAAAGGGGGATACGTGCCTCATCAAGTGAGGCGAGGGTTTGGAGCTGCCGTCCTCATTGGATCCAGTCCGACGAACCCATATCACCCTTTGGATATCCAGGACGGCTGTTTACCAACAGTTGTCTGCCCTGGGGAAGCCGTTTTACACGGAATAACTCATTTCGCTTTTATACACACAGCTCTATTTTATCATTAAAATTCCTCCTCTTGATCTCAAAGGATACTCAGCAGTGCCACCGCCCGCCCGCCTTGCTTGAAGAGATCATACGACCTATACATCTTCTACAGCCACTGATAAAGTTCGGAGCTTAAAAATATGGCGGCTGTCAGCACCATGTCCACATCTGTGGATGGGTCACACCTCTTCCCCTGGGGGGACCTGGGCGGCACCACCAACCTCTTGCCTTCCAGCAGTTTGACGGCGATCCTCTCATTCGTTGTTGGTACCTGCAGCTCATGCCCTGGCTTGGAAACGCTACCTGGGGAGCTCATCCTTGAAATTTTCAAAGATCTAGACGTTGTGAGCGCTGTCATCTTAGCAACCACTTGCAAACGACTCCGGCAGCTCTTCATCAACCACAGGTCTCATATTGTCTTGTCGATACTGCCATCTGACCCCGAGATCAGCCCGGTAGATGGATTATTTCAGGTCGCGGCCATGGATCCGGGCGACCTCAGCATCCCTTGGGGCACCTGGCTATACAAGGAGGTATGGTTTAGAAGGAAGCTGCTTTGCCCCGGTGGGCAGTTGCCCGTTTGGGTCTGCGAGGGCCGCAATCCCCAGCGTGCGAAGTTCAAGACAAATGCCGACGAGGCCGTGCTCCCTCTCGGGGTCGCATGCCTTGGCGAGGCCGATATCGATCGACTCCTGGAGATTTCCAAAGTTGCCAGGGGATGGGAGCGCATTTTCCCACGCTTCCGCTTCTGGCAACACCCGGAGCACGCCCGAAGACTGCGGCCTCACGAGGCCGTGCGGTTGCGCAGGGCGCTGTATCACTGGATGAGATACGACTACTATTTTCACGGCGACCGCCTCCCTCCGCCGGGGCCCTTGGAGCCGTTCGGTTCCGACGAACGCTGCAACTTTGTCCGCATGCTCGACAGCGGCGAGGCATCGGAGCTCGCGGACCTGTGGATCACCGTGAAGGCGGCAGCGGCGTCGCTGTGCCCTAGCCTGACCGCTGTCCGCCTCGACGTGGTGAGTTCTACCGCGACAACAAACCAATATGCTGTCATGTGCTGACTAAACACTGTCGTGGAAATCAGGAGTCGTCGGTGACGGAGGAACAACTCACCGGCGTTGCCTGGGGCGCGACAGACCACGAGCACTCGATGAGCGTCTCGACGATGCTGAAGCTCGGTCCGGAAAGGCTGCTGTACTACATTGAGCACGCGCACGATTACAGCAAAGCGAGGCTGGTCGACGAGATCTGCCGGCAACGCCCTTCCATTGAGTCTGATACGGAGAGCTTGACGACAGCCATTAGCGTGGTGTACCGAGAGCGGTACGATCATTGCCTTTCACACGAGGCCCCGGTGCCACCCAGTCCCTTCTCGTCCCCACGAGAGCCCTTTGGGGGTATTCTGGACTGGGGTGAGGAAGAGCTCGAGTCGCTGCGAGGTAGTGTCATGGCTGGTTTTGGGTTGAGGTGGCTGGCTGAGGATGAGGAGGATGAAGATGAGGAGGATGCGGAGGAGGATGAGGAGGAGAGCGAGGACCAGGAGGAAGTTGCAGGAGAGGAAGGAGATGCCCATGGTATGCTGGCAGGAGGCCTGGGATTCTAATCCAGACGGGTAGCCGATCAACTGCCATTTCCTAATGGCTTCTTCTGGTCATATCCTATACGACGCAGTGCCCATCAATGTCCATGTGCAATCTGATTGTTACCCAACCTGTGTTCTTGTTGTATCGCCCAGCAGACACACATGAAGACAGTTGAAGACCAAAAGGACTGTACTTACCTACCCTGTAGTTTACTTGCTGTTGCGCCTTTGGTGTAGTTTTGAGGTAAGAGCAGCGCAGCGTAGGGAGTGGCTGTATTTGGAGGCTGCAAGGCTGGATGGGGGTGGGCAGGGCCCGAGCTTTACGCGCCACGCAAGGTGCGGTTGCGCGCACAGCACCCATGACCATCAAATTGATCTCAACCACCGACACAACACCAGACGCCAGACAGCCTCCCATCTCACACTGGAGCCCACGCTCTTTTTTTTTTTGACCCAACCCAACCCACGTATCCGCCTTCTTATTTTTCTTTTCTTCCGCGGTTGCTGCTATAAGCTGGCAGGTGGCCCTTCGCCGCCTTTATCAGCACGCTCCGCAATTGAGCGGTATCCGCAGCGCGCCATCTGCCCTGCTGCATCGTGCCGAGCACATCGATCTGAGAATCTCAGCCTCGGCCCTTGGTGCACCTTCCGCACGTCCGCATGCGAGGCTGACTGCGAAGCACTGAGCGACACGGCGCACACGGACTTTGAGCCAGAAAACACCTTCAGCTACCCCCTCACTTCGAGGCAGTTCAATGTAGGCACACTCTCTGTTCAACTTCACTGCTCACCATCTCGCGAACCCATGATCTTACCCGGCAGGGCTCATCACCCAAGAGGTGGCGGATGGAGATCGTTCACATCCAACATGGTCAATGCGCACCCACAGAGCATATCTCCCTTAAATATTTCATATTTCTAGCATCTATCATTGCAACACATGGCTGACCTCGCCCAAGCTCTGTTCTCCGGAGACCCTCTGAGGACATTATTACACGTGCTTCACTGGACATAAGCGGAAGACTTGCTGGTCTGACCCTCAAGCGCCGCACAAGGCCTGTGGCCTCTGGATGATACGGCCAAGGATCGTGAGCCACCTTACGTCTCGCCTCTTCAGGCTCTAGCCCTCGCCGGCTGCCGGCTGGCTGCTGGGCCCGGGCGTCGTGATGGAGGATGGCGACCACGACGTGGTCATGGAGGGCGTCAGTGTGGCGCCCTCGGCGTCTGGATCGTTAGCTAACGGCTTCATTGACCCGCGCGACTTGGTCGCGCCTTCCCGCGAGGACTCTAATGACGCCCAGAGCCCCTTCGAAGGCCTGGGGGATAATGAGTCGGACGAGGATGACCGCGTGTTCGACCCCCAGGAGTATCCCGAGTACATGCGCAGACGCGGCCAGTTGCCTACCGGCTGCTGCTATGACGACCGCATGAAGCTGCATTCTAATGCTGACTTTGGATCTTCGCCGCATCATCCCGAGGACCCTTCTCGCATCGAGGAAATCTTCAAAACTCTCAAGCGCGCCAACCTGATCTTTAGGGGCTCTGATGCTGAGTTGGTTGAGGTTCTGCAAACCAACCCCAACGCTTATCTCTGGCGTATTCCTGCCCGGGAGGCGTCGCGAGAAGAGATATGTCTGGCGCACGACCCCAAGCACTACGCTTGGGTACAGTCACTCGCCGATACCCCGACCCAGGAGCTGCGTGAACTTTCGAGACGGTTAGACCAAGGCCGCGCCTCGCTCTATGTCGGTAGTATGACCTACGAAGCATCTCTAATCTCAGCCGGTGGTGCCATCGAAACGTGCAAGGCAGTCGTGTCGGGAGAGGTCAAGAACGCATTTGCTGTCATCCGCCCGCCCGGCCATCACGCCGAATGGGACGCGCCCATGGGCTTTTGTCTATTCAACAACGTTCCCGTTGCGGCCAAGGTGTGCCAAAAGGAGTTTCCGGACATCTGCCGGAAGATCCTCATCGTGGACTGGGATGTCCACCACGGCAACGGAATCCAGAATATCTTTTACGACGACCCCAACGTTCTGTACATCTCCACCCACGTTTATGACGGAGGCGAATTCTACCCTGGCCGGCCGGAGAACCCCAGCATTCCCGACGGCGGCATCGATAAGTGCGGCGACAGGGCTGGGCTTGGCCGGAACGTCAACATCGGATGGGATAAGCAAGGTATGGGCGACGGTGAGTACATGGCGGCCTTCCAGAAGATCATAATGCCTATTGGTCGCGAATTCGATCCGGACCTGGTCATCATCTCGTCCGGTTTCGACGCGGCCGCAGGCGATCAGCTCGGAGGCTGCTTCGTATCGCCCGAATGCTACGCCCACATGACGCACATGCTCATGTCGCTCGCTGGCGGGAAGGTGGCCGTTTGCCTCGAGGGCGGCTACAACCTCCACGCCATCTCGCAATCCGCACTCTCCGTCGTCAGGACGCTGATGGGCGAGCCACCCCCGAGGATGCCGGGTGGCTTGCCGCCGATCAACCGAGAGGCCGCCCGCCTCCTATCCCAGGTCCAGGCGTGTCAGGCGCCGTACTGGGACTGCATGAGGCCGGGAATCGTCGACGTCCCGGACGCGCTGGCGCTCGGTGCCGAGCGCCTTCACGACATGGTCAGGGAAGCGCAGCGGCAGAAGCTCGCCACAGAATTCGGGATGCTCCCGCTGTACATCCAGCGCGACCGCTCCTGCAAGTCGTTTGAAAATCAGGTCTTGGTGACTCCGGATATTAACGATGCCCGCAAGATTATAGTCATCATTCACGATCCGTAAGCCTTTGCAGAAGCCTCGAGTCGGGAGAGATTAAGTCATTATACTCACGGTTTACAAAACACAGTCCCGAGCTTCTTGCGCAGCCAGATCCCCTTGACAACACTTTGAGCTCGCATAACGCTTGGGTTGTGAGTTTACACTACATTCTTTTTGCTTGGTAAATTCCTCGCCGGCAAGGCCACGGTGGTCGCTAACACGACGCATAGCATGATGGCGTCTATGGGTACATCAAGTGGGCCATCCAGGAGAAGTTCGGTGTCGTAGACATCAACGTCCCGCAATACATCACGCTTCCCGAGGTAGGTTCTTTTCCAAGCCCGGCCGTCTGGGCTGGAAGGGAAGAGGGGGCAATAGTTCACTGGCAGTCGCTAAAAAGATGTCTCGTCACCTTCGCAGGACACGGATTCTTTTACTCAGCGGACCCCCGAGCAGCAGCTGCAGCTGCAGATTCAGGAGATCATCGGATACGTCTGGGATAATTATCTCCAATTGTACGACAACGTCCAGGACATCATCCTGCTCGGCGTTGGAGCGGCATACCTCGGTATCAAGACGCTCCTGATCAACCGAGACTGTAAATCTCGCATCACTGGTGTCCTCAGCTTCGTTACGGGCAGCCTGCGGCCTGTTAAGAGTGACACCGACCCGGACCTCTCGACATGGTACAAAAACAACTCTCGCATTTACGTGGGCAGCGCGCATGCCTGTTGGCAAAGTGAGGACCTTGCGAGCAAGGTCAAGAAGCGCCGGTTCGGGTCCGTGCTGCGCAGCCCGCACGATGGCCTGAACCGCATGATGAAGCACCACGCCGAGGAGGCGCGGGACTGGATCCAGGCTCGCGTCGCCCCGTCCCCTAGCCTTGACGGGGACACCACCGAAGACGAGGACGGCGCTCTGGCTTAGGTGGCCAACTCCGCGCGGAACAGCGTCGACAAGGGCAAATGCCAACGGCTGTCTGTGAGTTCGTCGTCAGAGGCTAACAGCCCGACCTCTACTTTGGCACCTTAGATCCCGCTACAAGGGAACCAATGGGGTTTGTTATACTGCCTGTTTTTTTCCTTCATATCGTACTCTGCTTTGTGTCTGAGGTTGACTTCTTTTCCCCTTTCCATCATTGGAGTTAGGCGCTCCGAGAGAAAGCGTCGACCGCGGAAGTGGTTTTCATTCAGCACAGTGGGGCCGGCCGTCGTCGCCGATGTCCCCATTGAATCACCCCAAAAACTACGTTTCCTGCCTTTTTTTTCTTCTCTTTGTTTCCGCGTCAAATCCCACGGCCGAGCATTTCAGCCAGGTGTTACATAGGCATCAGATCTCTGAATGAAACCTCAGGAACCCGAAACCCGTTCTGGCGCCATGGTCAAGGCCAGTCCAGATTTGTGCCAAGCTAACCTAACCATTCTTGCTCAACAGTGGAAACTGGCTCGCGTGGCTGATGTGGGCAGCCGCACCGCCTGGCAGGGATTTGTAACACAAGGCCATTGAGCAAATGGCAACACGACGGAAGAAACAGCTGACTTTCTTCTTTTTTTTATCCTCATTCGAGTGCAACGGCGTCGGTTTCATGGCGTCCAGCCGTTTGATCGATGTGTTTGCCCCTATTGCCCCTGCATTCTCCCGCGGGCAGAGAGCGGTGGGTCTTATCGATAAGCAAACATGCAGGGTTGGTCAGGCCCCATGAGGCAGGCAGGGGCCAAAGTTTCACCAGCGAAAGTCTCCAAACCGCGTCTTGGATCGCTTGAGGACGGTGCCGTCCACCAAACCGAGCCACGAGTCTACCCCGACGACAGACAACGCGTGGAAGAAAATTCACATCAATCATCACTACGCTCTCGCCACCCCCGACAGTCATCTGAAGGGTCGCCGCGCCGCGTCGCGACCCTCAGCCCCTAGTTCCGATCCATGGGAAGGGCTACGATTATGGATCGTGACCGAAGCAGGAGGCAAGTTCTGCCCGATTCCTGCAAACCCCGAGTCGACTCGGAATGCACCCCGCCGTTCTTTCTTCGCTGCCCAAGTCAGCAGAAGGCGCCGCCCCGCCATCAGGCGCAGGCCTTGTCCATCGCCGACGTACCCAACTGACAAGATGATCCGACCCTACAGGTACGAGGATGGCGAAGTGACCCGCTACGGCGCCGGCGAGTCCTACCGCCCCTTCAACCGCGACAGGTCCCCCCGCCGAGCCAGGAGCCCGCTGCCGCGGGATAGGGAGCGCGACCGCGACCGCGACAGGGACAGGGACCGAGACAGGGACGTTAGGGACCGCGAGCGAGACCGAGATCGAGACCGCGATCGAGAGAGGGACGTTAGGGACCGCGCCCGCAGCCCTCCCCCGACGGCCAGCGACAGCTACGTGCCGGGCCGGTCGCCGGCTCCCCGTCGACCGCGCTCCAGGAGCGTCGGCCCCGGCGACCGCTTCCGCGATAGGGATAGAGACAACAAGCCGGGAGTCGGCATCGGGGAGCGCGGACCGCAGCCGCAGGGCGCCGACTGCTGGCGCAGGCCTCGCGATAGCAGCCGCGGACCCGGCGGCGGCGGCATCATTAGTGGTGATAGGGATAGGGACAGGCGTGGGGCGAGGAGTCCTCCGCCGCCGAGGCGACCGTCTCCCCCGCCCAGGCGAGCCAGCCCACCGCCGCGGCGGAGCCCCCCGAGGCGTAGTCCGCCGCCGAGGTTCGCGTCGCCGCGCAGAGCTGACGACAGGCCTGACAGGGCGAGGTCGCCCCCTGTGCGGAGGGACTATGACGCTCGTGACATTGCTGCAAGGTAAGGAGTCTCCCCCACATGCCTGGATGCATGAACAAGCACACAGGCCACCTGCGGGCTTGCTTCTTCCGTTCTGTGTCCCGTCTTATATTCCCCGCGTTTGTTGCAATTCCAGTTTCCTACCTGCGTGGACAAATTCTGATAAATATCTGGCTTCAGGAGAAGGTCGCGATCGCCATACGACCGAGAGCGCCGAAGAAGTCGCTCGCCGGTCCGCAGGTCTCCCGCGCCCGCCATCCGATCGTACCGCCCACGCACTCGTAGCCCCGAGCGACGTGACGACCGATACCCAGCATCCGCGAACTCGTACCGCAGGGGCTCACCCGCGATAGGGCCCAGGGATCAGACCAACATTCCCTCTGCGCTGACTTCCCGCTCCGTCTCGGGGAGGTCCTCACCACGTCCTGGTTCCGTCCGCGGCGGACGTCCAGGAGGAGTCGGCGCCCCGGGAGACAGGTCGCGCCCCCATTCGCCCGCCTTCGTGTCGGCCGCCAACGCGATCCCGGTCAGAGAGGTCCAGAAGCCCATTGTGCCCGTTGATACGCCCACCGCGCCGGCGGCGGCGGCTGCTGCTGCTCCTACCACTGGTCCTACCACCTCTACCTTCGTCCCACCTGCACGATCTCCCCCGCGTGCACCGGCCGCACTTCGGGCGCCACCGACCGGCCCCAGTGCCACGAGAAATCAGTCGGTTCCCACCGGACCGGCCTCCTCGTCGCCGGCGACCCCCCACGGGCCGCGCCACCACCCGCAGGCGACCCCGGGCTCCTCGCAGCAGCCCCCAACTGGTCCCTCGAACCCGAACCGGATCGAGGTCGCCACTAGCCCGAGTATGCCCATCAACCCTCCCTCCGGTCCTAGAGGTTACCGAGAGGGTGCGCGCGGTGGCGGCTATCGTGGCGGCCGCGGTGGCGGTGGTGGTGGTGGCAGCGGTTGGGGTCCCGTGCGCGGCGCGCCCATTGTGAACGGCGTCGGCGGCCACGCAAACGGCATTCACCACAATGGGATCCACAATACAGGCAGCGGCGGCGGCTCCACCACGACCTCGCCGGCCGCGCCGCTCGCGTCTGGAGCCAACGGAATACCCACAGGCCCGCGCGCCACCTCGATCTCGTCTCTCTCTTCGTCAACCGCAGCCGCAGCAGCAGGAACAGCAACAGCCACCGTTGGAGGTTCAACCTCAAACGTGACATCGCCCGCCGGCACAACCTCGCCTTCCCTTTCCGCGAAGCCCTTCAACCCGCCCACCGGTCCGGCATCACAACAGCAACAGCAGCGGCAACAAAGCACAGAGCGCAACGGCGTCATATCCACGCCGCCCACCGGTCCGCGCGCATTGCAGCCACAGTCACAACAACAGCAACCACAACAGCAGCAACCTCAACAGCAGCAGCAGCAGCAGCAGCAGCAGCAGCCTCAGCCGCAGCCCCCACAGCAACAGCAGCAACAGTCGCTCGTGCAGCAAGCAATCGCGACCATGCCCACTCTCGTCCCGGGCGGCAAGCTAGACCCGTCCCTTGCCTGCCTCGGCTCGGGCCTGACCAAGGACCTAGAGCTGCACCACAAGCGCCTGCGCGAGGACGAGGAGCGCATCCGCGACGAGCTCCGCGCAAAGGAGGACAAGCTCCGCAAGTCGCTGCGCATGTGGGACCGCCTCGAGCGCGAGGCAAAGGGCCACGTCCTCCGGACCGAGCTCAGCGACAAGAGCCTCCAGGCCGTCGCTGGTGACGGCGCCGGCGGCGCCGCCTTCTGAGTGCGGCAACTGCGTGTGGGTGTTGGAAGAACAAAAGAACAAAAAAAAAGAGAAGTAACGCTACCGATATGGTTGATGGTTTCTGGCGCTCAGGCCTAGTTGCAAAGCCCTTCGGAATGCTTTCAACTTCTTTTCACCTTGACTTGGCACATGATCCCCTTGAGTGCCATTAAACCAACCCCCAGGCCGCAAATCAATGCCAGTCGGTCAGTCACTTTTCTTTTCACTAGGGAATAATAGATTCTGGGATACCTTTCCTCTTCGGTTAGGCTTCAGTTTTATGGCACTGAATGGGATACGAATAGTCACCTCGGAATCCCCCACGGGACAGATAGATCAGATTTCTTTCGCCATGGTTCTGTCGATGCCTTGAGCTTCCTTGTTCTTCTCGGGCATTTGCCATCTCTGCTCCCTCTAGCGACAACCTAGCTGCCTTGCTTTTTAATCCTTGCCCCGACTTAAGCCGTCGGCAAGACACCCTAGACATAAACTTGATGTTGCAATGTTGCAGCGTTACTTTGACCCCTCGTGCCGATACCCTACTAACTGGCCCCTACCTTGGGACTGGGAACAATCGTAACTTGTGTGGCCTTTCAAACCATCCTTCTCGTCTGTTCATGGCTGCACCCGAGATCATTCCGATACCGTCATAGAGCAAACATCGCAGACTTCTTTTCATCTCGGCTATGTCTATTCTACGGGCGGTAAGTGTGATGGGTGAAGCACGCGGCAAACAAAGCACCCTTATTTCCACCCATACCAGACCACAGATGGCATTCCAGCCATCCTTAGTTCATTATTATTTTTTGTTCATTGATGCGTCATATTTCAGGCCATGCTGGCAAGCTCCTTTCACCCAACCTGATTCCTGTCGAGGCGCGGGCAGGTCTACTTGGAGGCGTCAACCTTGGCGACATACGAAAGCAGGTCAAGGACACGACGGCTGTAGCCCCACTCGTTGTCGTACCAGCTGACCAGCTTGACGAAGTTGTTGTTGAGGGAGATACCGGCCTTGGCGTCGAAGATGGACGAGGCGTTGTGGCCGATCATGTCCGAAGAGACGACGTCGTCCTCGGTGTAAGCGAGGATGCCTAGTTGAGAGATGTTAGTCATATGCATGCAACCCTTGTAGCGCATTTCATGGTAGGAACAACTAACCCTTGAGCTCGCCCTCAGAGGCCTCCTTCAGGGCAGCCTTGATCTGGTCGTATGTGGCACCCTTCTCGATGCGGGCAGTCAGGTCGACAACAGAGACGTTGGCGGTGGGAACGCGCATCGACATGCCCGTGAGCTTGCCGTTGAGCTCGGGGATGACCTTGCCGACAGCCTTGGCGGCACCAGTGCTGCTGGGGATGATGTTCTGGGCAGCACCACGGCCACCGCGCCAGTCCTTGCCCGAGGGGCCGTCGACGGTCTTCTGGGTGGCGGTGTAGGAGTGGACGGTGGTCATGAGACCCTCGATGATGGTGAACTTGTCGTTGATGACCTTGGCCAGGGGAGCCAGGCAGTTGGTGGTGCATGAGGCGTTGGAGATGACGTTGGCGCTGCCGTCGTACGACTTCTCGTTGACACCCATCACGTACATGGGGGCATCGGCCGAAGGGGCCGAGATGATGACCTTCTTGGCACCGCCCTTCAGATGGGCGCTGGCCTTGTCGATCGTGGTGAAGACACCGGTGGACTCAACAACGTACTGGACGCCAGTCTCCTTCCAGGGGATGTTGGCGGGATCCCTCTCCGAGTAGAACTTGACCTTCTTCCCGTTGACGACCAGGTCGGTGCCGTCGACAGCGACCTCGCCCTTGAAACGACCGTGGGTCGAGTCGTACTCGAGCATGTATTTCTGGTGGCAGGGGACGGGGTTGTTAGCTGGGAAGCTCGATGGTAATGGATTTCCCGTCTTTCATCAAGTCCCGGAGCCACGAGCTGGCGGGCTGATGGAGCGGAGATTGGGAAGACTTACGGCGTAGGTGACCTCAATGAAGGGGTCGTTGACGGCGACGATCTCGCAGTCGGGGTGCTCGACGGCATTGCGGAAGACAATGCGGCCGATACGGCCAAATCCGTTGATGCCGACCTTGACCATGTTGGGCTTTGGGACTGGTGTCAGTTTTATGTCTGGGTAGTTTTGCGTTCTTTGGCTGAGAGGAGACCAGGAGGGAGGTGTTGTGTTTGTGGTGTGAATGTTCAGAGGCAGACACGGCGGGAGTAGAGAGTGGGGTAAGGGTTTTATAGCAGATGGGGAAGCGAGTTCCACCAGCAAAAAGCAAACGAGAGGCAGTGCTGGCAGCTGGTGGGTATCCAGCAGGTGCGGCCGAGGGGCAATGTCATGTCATCGGTGCAGAGCGAGGCAGGAGAGTAGGCGCTGCCCAGCCAGTGAGAAGGACCAGATTGACTACCACCCTCCAAGATGGATGGAGCTGCCCTTCCCACTTCGTGGGCCAACCGAGTCTCCCAAACAGACCCTAGCCATCCATGGACCTGATCCATGGATGGCGGTTATGCATGCCTGGGAATAGATGATAGAAATAGGAATGGATGGTTGGGGATGTTCTCGTTCGCAAGACAGCCAAGCTAAGTAATGGGCGCAGGGGCAGGTGCAATCTGTATCGTAACCCAAACAGACGCCGTGCTTTCCATGTTGGGAACGTGTATATCCATTGGACGGAAGCGATGAAGCTACCGGCTTGCATCGAGCATGCAGGGCAGCTTCTCGTTCGCATAGGGGTATGGCGGGGCAGGGTTCGAGGAGGGGTAGATAGGAAGGTGGGTAGAGGTCGTCAGATTGGCCTCACCTATTGGCAATCTGAAGTTTCTCCTGGGCAAAATGGGCGTTGGTCTTTGGATGGTCTTGGGAGGTTACTTGAGCGATGAAAAGTTCAGGAAGCCAGAAATAACGAAAAACGGCGACGTGCTCCAATATGTACGCGTTGCCAGGCTGGACAACACAGACAAAGGGTGGGTGGGATATGTTTTTTTTTGGGTGGGGCATGGTGGGGTGGCGGCCAAGCTACATCATCGCCCTAGCTCCGGCGCGCAACATTGACGTCCCACCCCACCGCCCAAGCTTTCTGCATCCTCGAGGTCCACAGCGGGGCAGGGCATCCTGGCGGGCATCTGGAGCAAGCGCTGGAGTGTTAGTGGGTGACCTGGAACGGCAACTTCCAACGGGGACAACTATGAGGCAAATTCGCCTGCTTGAGTCATCGCTATTTTCATTTCTTATACTATTACATGATCGCCCATCGTATCCCGCCGCGGCCATGGTGAAATATTTGCCGCATTCACAATCTCGGTGCTTCGCAGACGCCGAAGCGGTTTGGATGCAAGAGGCATTTTCTGGCGTGTTTGGATTGGGCCTGGCGCGGACCTTCACTCCCACGCTTGGTCACTTTGCTGACCATTGGGATTGCTGAGGCCGGTGTCGGTGGCGATGTCGGGCCCCTCAACAGAAGCACCTGCAGGTTGGAGGCAGCGGTCTGTATGGCGATAATGGATTATGGTGAGGTGCACTGACCGACGCTGATCAAGCATTGTCGTTGTGGTGTGGTCATGCTGGCTGGACTGCTGAGCCACCGCTGACGGCCATCTTTTTCGTATGGCTGGCTCATGGAATCACATTGACGGCCCGCCCGAGCCGCATCGAGCATGCCACCATCGCATCCCTCTCGTTTCTGCCGATTTGTCTTGGTGGCTTCTTTTCCCGCTGATATTTCTACACAACATCTGTTTCCTAGTGGCTGTTTGTATCTCCTTAACAGTTCGCAGGCTAGGCTCGACGAAATCTGGTTGGCTTGACAAGGGGTTTCTTCCTTGGCGCGTGCAAAGTTCCGGCTTCCGCCGACGATACCTTGGTAGTGCTCTTTGTCGGGTCGCGCCGCCGGGGACGGTTGCAGCTCAAAGGACTACTGGTGTTCAAGGCCAGACAATGAGCGGTGCCCTCGGCCCATGGATAGGTATGGTGTTGGCTGTGCCGGGGGCTTGCAGGGCGGCTCCATTTCCGGTACTGTTCTGCGAGGTGGTATCCGGATGGCAGTAGGCTTTTGCATGCCCTTAATCCTTGACGGGTCACGCCACATGCAAAATTCGACTCGCTTCTCAGCTCATCTTGACAGGAGCGGTGGCGTACGCCGTTCTGGGCCGCATCGTAAAGATCGGGCGATCCGCTTCCTTCCAACCGCCCTCGGATCTGCGGCTGTGTTTATGCGTTGTCAAGCCAGGCCTTATCTGCTCGATGTTGAGCCTTTGGCCGAATCTGTATTGCCTACCATTGTGGGTGACGTCGTGTTGATGGTTTAGCCGTAGTAGGGTGCATAGGCAAGGATTGCCTTATATCCAACTTCCTTCGTGCTGCCAGCAAACTAGTGTTGATCATGTCATTTCACCCTCTGCCGCGATGCCCAACCACGGCCAAATGGTAGCAAGAATCTGTCAATGTCGTTGCGGCTCGCCTTACACACGTTACACTAAACTGAAATCCTCCGCCGGACCGCTAGGTACGCCTTCGCCGTACATAATGCCGTGAATATAGCCCTCGCCAATAAGCGACCACGTGGGAGCCACACCAGGCCGCCTACGTAGGAGGAATGGCGCTTTGGCGTCGTGCAGCAAGCAGATCTTGTCGCCGGCTTTGGTATCTTCCGGCGCCAGGCCTACGAATCCCTTGTCCGTTTCGCAAAAGACGGCGTTGCCGAGGCGCCGCGAGAAGGCCGCGGCGGTCTGCCAGTACAGCACCCAGGCCTCCTTGTCCGGCTCCGACAGCGCTTCAACGTCCCTCTCCGGATCCAGCTCGCTGCGGCCCAAGACCAGCTGCCGGAGGTTCGGCGGCCACGTCGCAGCCTGGCCCGACGAGCCGTCGCCGTTCTGGTCGCCCAGGGGTGGCCGGTCGTTCCGACCCCGCAAACACACCGGCGACGCGTCGACGCAGGGCGCGCGGGCGTCGCCGATCGGCACCCTGAACAAGAGGTCTTCTAGCGACTCCGAGTCTTGGTACAAACCGTCGCGGAAGGGTTCCAGCAACCTACGAAAGGTCCTGAGCGCCTCCGAGACGTAGAGGCAGTCCCGCTGTATTATAAAGACGGTGGTGGTGCGCCAGACCGTGTCGATGGCGTAGCCCTGGACGCGGAGATGCTTTTTGGAGGAATCGCCTCCGATTACAAACGACGGCGAGATGGGGGGCCCGGCGCGGAACCGCCCGGCACCGGCGTTCCAGGTCGAGATGGTGGCCGGGAAGTCCCCCCGTGTGAGCCGTGGGACCCACGAGCTAAAGTCGTACGACTTTTTACCGCCGGCGAGGGAGAGCAGATGCATGCCTTGGTCGCAGTCTATAAGCCCCGCAGCGTAGTTCCACACCACGTCCTCAAAAGCCGAGTCGTAGTCCGGGCGGAAAAACCTGTTCGTGCCGTTGCGCGCGAGGCCGAGCAGCGAAAAGAGCTTATCGGCCTCGATGGTGGCGCGGGTGTGGCTGAACAGCTCCAGCAGCTCCAGCAGCCCGTACGGGCACTCGGGCCTCCACCTGCGCCGCGTGGTGCCCAGCGCCAGCGCCGAGCCGGCGTCGGAGAGAAATCCGGAGAGAAATCCCCCGTCCGCCGGTCCCTGCTCGCAAACCTCCAGCGCCCCGAAGAAGGCGTCCCAGTCCATCGCCGACCGCCGGCCACACCGGAGGACAACCTTGGACGACAGGACGAGCTCTTGCGTGACCCAGGCCCGCCGGAACCACGGCCGCCGCACCAGCGCGTTAATCTTCCTCCAGATGGGATCATCGTCGCTGGGTACCGCACGGCAAAGACTCCCACCACCACCACCACCACCGGGTGTCTGCATCTTGGCTAGCGCTTCTAGGGCCTCGTGGCTGCCGTCCGCCTCGTCGCCGAGCCAGGCGATCACGCGCTCGGCCTTGCTGAAAATTTTCCCCATTTTGCGGATTTGCTGCGCCTTCTCCTGGTGGTCGCGCTGGTTGATGCTCACGGCGTCGACCCACAGGCAGAGCGGGCCCTCGCTCTCCTCGCGCAGCGTGCGGATGACGGCGTCTAGAGACTGCGTGGTCTTGATTCGGCCGCCCCCGGCCGTCTCGACATAGTGCCGTTGGTCCCGTGCAGGGTCGGGTAGGCCCCAGACGTACGAGATGGCCCAGTACTTTCCCGGTTGGCGAATGTGGACGTGCTCGATTCTGCCATGGATGGGTGCGTCGCCTGTTCCGGGAGTCACCCGCAGGATGCGAATCTCCTCCGTCTTCAGGGGTCGGTACCGGTGCGGCTCGGCGCTTTCGGGCGCTGGCTCGGCACCGCCCTCGCCGGCGGCGCGAACGTACAGGGCCGGTACGGCTTCCTCGAAACGGCCCTGGAATGGGTGCGGGTTCACGAGCGAGAGGGCGCCGTCGCGGTGGAGCAGCCATGGATCCAGGACCAGCGCCACCTTCGGGTCCGTATCGAGGTCCGTAACGAGTGCCAGCACGAATACCTCCCTGTCACTCAAGCAGATCTTCTCGGCCTGCAAAACCAGGAAGTGTTAGCCTACTTGCAACCCAGGGTGTCGTATCGTATCTAGCTAATATCAGGTAGCCAGCCGGCCGGCCTGTAGCATAATTATTTAGAGGGAAGAAGTGGGAGATGCTTGCCTTTTGGACTTGCTTCGTCTCGATCTGGAAGCATGGGTTTCTTGGGTCGCTGGTGAAAACAACCTGTACATGAAAAGTCGGATCGGGTATTGCCAGCGATTTCATCTTATCACAGTCATGCTTTTCGAAATAGCTTTTGAGCAGCCCCCTTTTGTCGTGGATGGTAAACGACGATACATCTGCGTCGCGGCTGTGGAACGATTTGTGCCAGTACTTGCTCCGAGCATTGCTTGTCCAGTGATCGAGCGCATTATACGCATCTCCAAGGGTCCGAGAGAAGAAGATATTCACCTATGACAAACGTTATAAACAGGTCAGCATCATATGCGACCAAAAAGACCCCCGGGGGGTGCGGCCCGTATCTCGGGGCTGATTTGAACATACCGAAAACTCGGCAATGCCCTGCGCTTCCTCTTCCTTCCGCCAGCAGCTGCCGTACGACGGCAGGGGTATCTTCAACCCCGTTAGCCTGATACCCTCCCTGCCCAACCCCATGGTCGCTCGTTTGCCGGGACGGATGGAACCCCAACTGGCCCCGGTCGGTTGGGGGTTGTTATCAGGCGTTCCATCGCCAACGGTGCTATGAGTGGCGGGTAATTCGGTAGCGTCCCGCTCTTCCTCCTTCCCCCGGCCGTGGTGCGGCGGCAGGGTCGCTCGTTTGCCGGGACGGATGGAACCCCAGCTGGCCCCGGTCGGTTGGGGGTTGTTATCAAGTGTTCCATCGCCAACGGTGCTATGAGTGGCGGGTAATTCGGCAGTGTCCCGCTCTTCCTCCTTCCCCCGGCCGTGGTGCGGCGGCAGGGGTATCGTGCCATCAACACCGGCAAGTGGCTCTCTGATATCAGCGAAATCATTTGGTATGCCGGCGAGGTCCAACTCACCCTCGAGGGCCTCCACGTCGTCCATCGAGAGCACGCGGCAGAGGTGTGCCAGGGAGTTTGGGCTCTTTATGCCGTACAGTTTTGCTAGTTGGTGGTGCACTTCCAGCGGAAGATGTCCGGGCCCCGGGCGGTTGTTGGCTATGTAGATCCTTAGACCATCACTACGTGTGGAGCCTGGGTTTGTGGCAACAGCCGCGCTGACCGAGATAGCGTGTCCTTCCACTACCTCGGTCTCGTCCTTGCACCACGGCTTGCGGAGCGTCCGCATAGCCGAGACAACGTCGGCGCGGTACACGAGGACGCGGTTGAGCTCCCGTATGTCACTCTCCCGGTCCGGCCGCGAGCGCGGGATCAGGCTGGGTGCTTGGCGTCAGGTGTCAAGTCTCCAAGTCTCGCCAAGGCGTCATGTTGCGGTCCGCGATGAGCAAAGTGGGGGAGGGGTGACGTGACAGTACGTACCGAGCAATGCACTTCCATTTCCCCCGCAGGTGTGTCGAGTGCTTGCGATCGAGGATGGCTTTCTCGGCCGAGAAAAACTTGGTCCCGACGAGCTCCGACAGCTTTCGGTCGCCGCAGTTCAACAGATGCAACAGTTTTTCGACAGGGCCGAGGTGTGGTGCAAGGGCCAGAAGCGGAATCTTGCCTTCGAAGCCCTCGAGGTAACCTGGTGCGTCGGCAATGTACCACTCGTTATTCCGCGATAGAATACCGCCGGCCGAGAGGCGGTCGAAGCGCTCCGCGTTGCGCTTGCCGGTCCAGAGGGGGAAGATCGGCAACCCGTCGAGCTTGGCGTGCGGCTGTTGGGATCCGGGGGGGTCGGCCAGGAGCTCGAGGAGACCGTCGATGCGGGCCAGCTCCCCTCCCGTGTGCGCAGTTAGGGCTTTGACTTCAGCCACCACCGTTTCCAAGTTCGCGTTGCCGATCCCGAGCATAGTAAAGAAAAAGTGACGCAGCTCTCCGTACCATTTTTTCAGGACAGCCGACTGCTGCAGCACGGACGGGCCATCCCACACGCACCGACCCGCTTTGAGCCACCTGGGGGTCGGAGCCGGAACAAACACCAGCTGTCTGCTGGAAAAGGCAAGTCTGCGAAAGATTGATTATCAGCGGAGCGAACACCCTCGGCGCCGGCTCTCTTCTAACTTACTTAACCGCGTCTAGCTCACTAGCCTGGGCCTTTTCGAGAGCGGCTTGGAGCGCCTTGTAGAGGTTGACGATGTGCTCCTTGATTGCACCCTCCCCAACACACCGCCTAACCTGGTCGAGAGCCTCAACGATGGCCAGGGCGCCAATTTCTACCACGACGCCGAAGTGCTGGAGGATATCCCATTTCTTCGCCTCGGGATCGGGCACGTCGAGCATCCGCTCGACTCGTGTCTCTGTGCTATTCTGCCGGCTCGGGCGGGCGCCCCAAAACTGAAATCTCCCACGGCCTTTTCCCTGCGGGTCCAGGACGGCCAAGACGTTTTTGCGAGGAAGATACGTCTGTCCGAGCGGGGCTAGCAGCCCGCCCCAGCATGGCACCTTCATAGATGATATATGTCCCCGTAAGCGATCATGGGGTGGTGTTCCTTCAAGGGGCGTCGCGCTCCGGACCAGCAAGTGCCAGCGAGCGACATGGAGTCGCAGGCGTTTGTAGGCCGAGGCGGGCCATGGGCCAGACGGTCCGCGGCGGGGGCGATACGTGGGATTGATCCATGGTTCGTATTCGGTCCAGTGTGTTTTGAGTAGTTGCAGCACCTCCAGTGCGGGAAATTCCTGCACGAGAAAGAGAAAGTCGGGGCTGATCTCAAAGTTGTCAGGACTATGGTACGGTTGGACCAGACGCGGAATTGTGCTGAGGCTCAAGTTGTGCATGAGCCACCCTTGGTCAGCTTTGCTGGGGAATGCGTCCTGGTAAGCGGGATGGAGGAAAGGGAACCGGCCTCCTCGGTGTCTTTGGAATACCTCGCTGGCCGATAGCGGATTTTCAGAGTCCAGGTACACCTCCGCGCTGCGCAGCCGCCTCCCGCCCTCAGTCTCGACCCAGAGGTATTTTGCGCCGCCTTTCAGAACCCAGCTTTGCTCTCGGAGGAACTTGGTGTGGCCGATTAGATGGACCAGGGGTACTTTGTTGGGATTGTCGAAACCGAGAGTGTTGTGAGCATGGGCGTTAGTGACGGCGCGGCACATGGTTGCCTTGTCCTCCATGGGCGTTGTCCCACACCTGAGGAGCAGGGCTTTGCGCGCGGTGTCTTCGGTAGCATCCGCATGCACCATCGACCCCACCATCAGCCCCCAGGGCATCGCAGCGCAGCCAGACTTGGATGGGAGAAAGAGCGGCCCGTCTTGTGGGGCAACCCAGGTGTTTTGCTGTGTGAGGATCAGTGGAAGGGAGAAGATCAGCCCTTGGTGCTTGTCGACGAGCGGGCTAAGGATCTCAGCGAGCCGCGAGTGCCATGGCCTAGGCATCGACTGGAACCGGCTCGTGTGCTTGCGTACGAGGTTGGATAGGTCCCCGAGAAACTCGGCCGCCGAGAGGACCTTCATCCCGAGATAGGCCAGTCCGTCCCAGCTTTCGATCGGGTACATGGATGATGGATATGCAAAGAGCGAGAGATCAACGGGGATGATGGGCCGCAGGAGACATCCCGTCACCTTATCGTTGGCAACCGCGTACTCCTCTGGGACGAGACGCAAATCCAAAGGGCGTCCAGGCAATCTTGGCTTCGAGCTCTCCTGCTCCACCCATTGCTCGCCGGCAACCTGGTTCGCGATGATGGTCGACAGGCCATGGAAGAAATCATCCATATCGTGTCTCACGGGAAAGAATCTCGGCCACTGGTATCGCAGCTCCGGAACGGCGCGGAGCTTGGGAATGAAGTCGACCACCGCAGGAGGGATCGCCTCTCTCAGCGCTCGATTCCAATCCGAATCGAGCATGATGTCCTCGCGGCTAGCCGGGAGCAAGAAGTCGGCCTGGATGGTGAACTAGTATCCGACAATCAGCCAACGCCCAACGAGTAGCAACCTAAGGAGGGCCAAACCTTGAATCCGTAGCTGCGGATGGGAAGAAAGGCGTACACCTTATGTTCCCCCGGAAACCCAGCCGCTTTCGTTTGCTGCTGGGGGGCTTTTGGAAAGGCCAGGACGATCTCGGACTCGGCGCAGCTTGGCCTCTCGGGCGCCGGCGGCATGTTGCGAACCGTGTAATGGTTGACAACGTAGCCGGGAAATGTGCTTGGGGTCAGACTCAGCATTGCAAGCCCGCCCAAACCGCTCGCATCGTCGAGTCTCCGTATCGTGCGGTTCAAGCTCTTGTAGGAGAGCCAGCTGTAGAGCGGCTTGATCTGGACCCGAATGACGCGAATCCTCTTCAGGAAGAGCAGGAGGGTCGCATCGAATTTGCCCATCTCCTCCAGCAACTGTTCGCGGTTTAGGTCGGGCTTGAGCTTGAGGTGAATCGAGGTCCACCCCATCCGCGGTTTCCCCGGGAAGACGGCCCATTCCGGTTTGATGCACCCCAGCTCCCTTCTACTGTCGAACTGGAACGAGTAGTGGCCCGAATGGATGAAGACCTGTTCCGCGACGCGGAAAACGGCCTTGAATCCGACCCCCTTCTCCCCGATGCACGATGCGGCCTTTCCCTCCTGCTTCTTGGGCTCCTTCTTGCTGCTCTGGCCCATGCTGCAGATCGATTGGACATCCTGGCGCCGGAAGCCGAGCTCGTTGGTATCGAACTGCAGAGTCTCATCTGTGAACGTGATCACCAGCTCCGGGTTGACCGAGTCGGCGTACGCGTTGTCATCGGCGTTTTGAAGCAGCTCGAGGAGGAACTGGGCGGGCTTCGTGCTCAAGGTATTTGCAAGCCTAGCTCGCGCGCGGGCGAGATTTCCAAGTTTAGCGACGGCGGCAGTAGCAACGGGATCCAGGCACTTACAAGCCAATCATTGATTCCATAATCCGAATGGCCTGGTCCCCCGATTCACTCAGTGCCTTTTGAATTTGGGCTATGTGCTTCTTAGCATCCTCCTCGTTCTGAGGCCTGTCCGAGACGTTGCTGTCCTGGTGCGGGCCCAGGGCTGGCGCCATGGCACGAATCTGCTTTCGTATGTTATGACAATGGCTTATCGTGGAACACTCAAGTCTGGGCCTGGGTGCCCATTGAAAGTCGCGATTGATGGCAGGCTTTTAAAAAAAAAATCGTCTTTGGACTCATAAGGTTCACGGTCCTCCCACAAACTGGCTGCAAGATTTCCAGCCTTTAAACGCCTAGATCTGGCCGCCCGTTGCAGTGGGCGGCTCTTGCATGCACGACTGGTTCCGGAAGACCCAGACTACTAGTTCTCATCGGGCCTTAGCATTAAGCCACGGCTGTGACGTGGCCCAGCCGCATTTGACAGCGCTTCGAGCGGCCTTCCTCGTCACAAATCGAGCCAACAAGCGCATGCCGCCCCCTCGCTGTTATCCGGCACGTGTCAATAAACCAAAATCCGCCTTGCAGAACGTCGAAATTTTATGATATGGTCGATACTGGTGTTGGCGTTGCTCGTTTCAACTTTAGGGTTGTGGTTGTAACCATATCTCAAGCCTCCTGAACCTTGATGCACGTACATGTCGAGCGGATGAGATGATGGGACCTGATTGGGAACCCCCAGGCCCAGACTGGGTCTTGTTTTCATGCGCGGTATAAACACCCCACCATGCACCGAAATCTACTTCTAACCGGCTTCTCAACGATGATCTCTGGTCAATGTAGTGTTGCATCAAGGTGATACCAGCCCAACTTTGTCTCTGAGCACCAGTTATATCTTCGTGATTGCTCCTATATAGCCGTGACCATGTCGCACTCTCACGACGGGGTTTCCCACGGGCACTCCCACGACGGCTTCAACGCCCAGGAACACGGTCACAGTCACGAGATCCTCGATGGGCCAGGCAGCTACCTCGGAAGGGAGATGCCCATAGTCGAAGGCCGCGACTGGAAGGAGCGCGCCTTCACCATTGGAATCGGCGGGTGAGCCCCTTTCTTTTTACCCCCTCACCTCGCGGCCCAGCTGACCCTCCCCCCCACCTCCCTCAGCCCCGTCGGCTCGGGCAAGACGGCCCTGATGCTGGCGCTCTGCCTGGCCCTGCGGTCGACGCACTCGATCGCGGCCGTGACAAACGACATCTTCACGCGCGAGGACGCCGAGTTCCTGACGGCACACAAGGCCCTCCCCGCGTCGCGCATCCGCGCCATCGAGACGGGCGGCTGCCCCCACGCCGCCGTGCGCGAGGACATCAGCGCCAACCTGGCCGCGCTCGAGGACCTGCACCGCGGCCTGGGGGGCGCCGACCTGCTCCTGATCGAGAGCGGCGGCGACAACCTGGCGGCCAACTACAGCCGCGAGCTGGCCGACTTCATCGTCTACGTCATCGACGTCAGCGGGGGCGACAAGATCCCCCGCAAGGGGGGGCCCGGGATCACCCAGAGCGACCTGCTCGTCGTCAACAAGACGGACCTGGCGGAGGCCGTGGGCGCCGACCTGGCCGTCATGGAGCGCGACGCCCGCAGGATGCGTGACGGGGGCCCCACCGTCTTCGCGCAGGTCAAGAAGGACGTCGGCGTCGACCACATCGTCACCCTTATCCTCAGCGCCTGGAAGGCTAGCGGCGCCGCCGAGGTGGTCGCTGCGAACGGCGGGCCCCGGCCTACTGAGGGCCTGGATGCCTTGACTGCTTGAAGTACTCAAAACGGCATCTTGATAGCTTCTGGATAACAGGAATCTCATTCCAGGCAGGTTGGCGCATAGGAAAGCACATAAAAACCGCAAAATAACTCCAGTTAGCACCACAGGCGTAGAAAATACGTGAAATTCGTATATAACGACATTGTACTCTACTTCACAAAGCGCAAATTTCTTCCACCTGGGCAGTTTTGACCTCATAAATCATGCTACGCACGTAGTCCTGCCATCGCCAAGTCCGATTCCTATCTTTTTTTTCTCTGGCCCATCCCTAAAACAGAACACCCAAACGCCATTCCCAGCCCGGCCGTTCCCACGTTAGCTCGTGATCACATCATGCAATGTCCTCCATGACCTCCTCTCCTGGTGCCGCGCTCGCGCCATTCTGGGAAAGCAGAGAGCCTTGGAAGGGCTCCGACTTGCGTGGCCATACACGCTTGTACAAACTGACGCCAATGCTGTCCTGCGGGTTGATCTTGCCATCGAATGTCGCCTTGAAGTAACCATGAGTGCCCAGGCTCTCCTTGATGAAGCCACTTCGCCCACGCCTGGTCCAGAGCGGCAGGGCCTTGAACCACTCAACATCCTCGCGATTGAAGAACATGTACCTGATTGTCACAATCTTCTTGTGGATGTGGTAGGGGTGGCCTGTTAAGATGACCCTCTTGGCCACAACGCGTGATGTTGATGGGGGTAGCGCTGTGCCTGTTGCGATCAACTTGAGTGGGAGGGAGGCATCATCTACATCCTTGGAGTCGGCGCTGGGCACCTGTCTCTTGTAGAAAAGGGCAGGCACAGACCCCCAGATGACCGGTCCGATGAAGGTGGCGACTGCGGATTGACCCGGATGTAAGAATCGCGAGTACTTGTGCACGTCGTTTTGCGTGTTACCGCCCTCTGAGAAAAGGGGTCGGATGACAAGCCTCCGAGGGCCGCATTGCATGATAAGCTCCTCCTTGGCCTTGATGGAAGTCGGGTGCTCTGAGCTGAGGTTGATGAGGAAGTTGACAGCAGTTTGCTTGTTCTCGTGCCTCAGCAACGAGAACATGGTAACAGGCTTAGCGGCGCTGTGCATCTGCGTGACCGAGGCCGGCACGCCCTTCAGATGAACCGAGACACGGGTACCAGGCGCCACGCCGCCAACCAGCGCCTCACGTGCGCATCGAGACCGTGATCCCTGGTAGTCGGGGACTTGGAGGAGTCGCTGCCATTCCTCCGGTTCGTGCGCGCGGTCCTCCTCCTCCTCCCAGGTGCTTGTCCTGAGACTCTTGAGGCCCCTGTACCGTGCAAGGCGTTCCCTAGCCAGAACGTTGGGATGCAGTTCGATCTCGTCGGGAAACTCCTTGTCGTCCTCAGCCTCGTCTCGCTTGCTCGCCCGGTAGGCCTCCAGTTGTTTCGCGTCCTCGTCCTCGTTAGGCTCCACGAACATCTCAGACTGTGGGTACTCGGATGCACCGCCCTCGGTTTGAGTATCCATGGCCATGCCCTCGATTCCGTCCTCGGGGCCGTGGGTACGCTCTGGCTGTGTGGCGTCTGTCATGTCGAAATCCTCCATGTCGGATCCCGAGTCTGAAACACCGTCATCGAGATACCAGGCCGCCTGATATGCCGAGGTTCCCTTTGGGAGTTTCTTCGCCCGTGGTGCCTGTCCCTCCTCGTCATCTGAAAAGTAGTGGTGGTCGTCCAGCAGCACACCCTTTTTTGACGGGGCCGATACTGAGGTTTGGGCGTCGTCCCCGTCTTCATCCATCATCATCACCTCTTCAGGGGCGAACTCGGCAAGGTCGTCTCTGTCCTCGCTCGGTACGTCGAGAGGCTCTTCGGGCGCTGAAGCTTCATCAACCGCCATTGAACCTTCTGGCTTGCTCTTCTTTGTCGGGAGCGGCGCAGCAGTGATCTTTTCAATCTGGAAAGTCCCCCAGTCGCCCACCTGGACGAGCCTATCGGCTTTCAGGCCCTTACCCCTGACAACTCCCGTCAGGACTGTGAGGCCGTCAACCGCGTCTGAGGTGGGAAATTGGACGTCCTCAACCAGCATCCAGCTGCGCTCATCTCGCCACCGCACTCCCTTGGGCGTGGTGCTGCAGATGGAGCGCATAAGGTTGGCACATTCCTGGCGGTTGTCCAGACTATAGATCTTGTCTTGCTCTGGGTGATAATACTTGATGTAGGACTTAAGCGAGTCGACGACGGACAGCCTCTGCTTGACAGGCTCGATCTTGTTCAGCCCCTGTACGGTTGTGATGAGGGTAGACAGACCCTGGCCTTCGATGCTGCGCAGGATGAGCTCCCCTAGGTCGTCAACCTCAACGTCTGCAGACAGGACGAGCACGACGAAGTCAGCAGCCCTCGCGGCGTCCATGCAGGCGGCCAGATCGCGGTTGACGGGGAAGTAGGCGAGCTTCTGCTTGAACCGGTCGACGGGCACCCTGGAAAGGCCCTGGCCGATCTCTGCCTCAATATCCAGACTCTGGTTCAGGGACTGGACGGCGGCGGCGGCATCGCAGTCTTCGCAGAGGGGGATAACGGCGACATTGCGAGGGGCGGCGTCTCGTCCGGAGAAGATCGAGTTCTCCTTCTGGTGTTCGCGCTGCTTGTTGAGCTGTCGCTGGCGGGCCTGGTTGCGGCGGTCGAATTTGGACATGACTTGCTGGTGCGGCGTCTTGCGCAGCCCTTTCTCGGTGGGCACCTTGCCTGTAAGTGCGAAGATGGCGAGCCAGTCAGCAAGGGTGCATGTTTATAGATGGTGCTCTTTTCCTTCTAAGATCCAGATATGGATTATCTTCGTGTGCCACAGCCGCCCAGTCACAAGGAGCCACCTATAATCACAACACCGACGTCACCAACCTTTGGAAAGGTCTCGGATGGCGCCCTTGGTCGCCTTCTTCGACTTGAACGCCTTGTTGGCGACCTTGGTGGTCGGCCTATGGCTCGCGACAGCGCCAGGCATTTTTGCGTCGCCTCCGGCCTTGAATCTAAACGGGAGAGAAGCCAGGTCGACGGGCGGTGGTGGGAATGGTACGTATCGCGAGTCTGAGAATCGGCTGGTGAATTTATTTGGTCGCGGCGCAAGTGTGCGAATGAGGGGCAGGGCAGGTGGGTGCCAGTCGGGCGGCGTTGTGGAAATTTTCTTATCGGCTTTATCGCCGCGACAGGGGTCCGCGCAAAGTGGGCGGAATTCCTAAAAATTTATTGTTCTGCGCTCCGCGCCGCCGTTGGCAGCTGTGGATTCGATAGTGAAAATCGACACCTCCACCGGCCGCTTGCCCACCCGCCGCTGTTGCTGCGCGCAAACGACCCCAGAATGGAGACCGACCGAATATCTTCCCTGGGCTCGAGCCTGAAGGAACAGCCCAATGGCGCGCTCGTCGTCCAGGATGCCCGGACCCAGCTGCTGTCCAAGGCCGAGCAGACAAAGATCCGTCGCCATAAACAGGCACAACGCATATACGGCCGTGGCAGACAGATCGACGTCAGGGGGATCAAGGACAAGAAGTTGCGCCGAAACCTCCAGACCCTCGAGGACAAGTACAAGGTCGCCGCTGTCAAAGCAAAGGACGCCGAGATCCTCCACGAGAACACGGCCGGTTTCCTCGAGGCCGAGACGGAGCTCGAGAGGACATACAAGATCCGCCAGGACGAGATCACCCGTGATGTCGCGATAGAAACAGCGCAGAAGCGCTTTGACCTCACCCTCGACCAGCTCGGCCCCTACCTATGCGACTACTCCCGCAACGGCCGGGAGCTTCTGCTCGCCGGGAGGAAAGGGCATGTCGCAACCTTTGACTGGAGAGAAGGAAAGCTTGGGTGCGAGCTGCAGCTCAACGAGACCATCAGGGATGTCCGGTGGCTGCACAATAACCAGTTCTTCGCTGTTGCGCAGAAGAAGCACGTTTTCATTTACGACCACCAAGGCATCGAGCTGCACTGTCTACGGAAACACAACGACGTTACACACATGCAGTTCCTGCCATACCATTTCCTTCTTTCCACTGCCGTAAGTCTTATGGCTCAGTGCGGATGGGAGTGGTACCACCTTTGGCAGACAGGCTAGGAGACTGACCCCTGAACAGAACCGCGGAGGCATGTTGAGGTATCAAGATACATCGACAGGCCAAATAGTTTCCGAGATTGCGACCAAGCTCGGCCCGCCTGGCGCACTCGCCCAGAACCCCTGGAACGCGATCCTGCATATGGGCCACCAGAACGGCACGGTGACGCTCTGGTCCCCCAACTCCTCGGACCCTCTGGTGAAGCTGCTGGCACATAAGGGACCTGTGCGGTCAATAGCAATCGACCGCGAGGGCCGCTACATGGTCTCAACCGGCCAGGACCAGAGGATGGCTGTTTGGGATATCCGAATGTTCAAAGAGGTCAACAACTACTTCACGAAAGCGCCTGCGACGTCTGTCGCCATATCCGATTCGGGGTTGACCGCCGTCGGGTGGAACACGCATGCGACCATATGGAAGGGGCTGTTTGACAAGAACGTGGCGGTCCAGGAGAAAGTGCAGAGCCCATACATGACCTGGGGAGGCGAGGGCAAAAGGGTGGAGAACGTCAGGTGGTGCCCCTTCGAAGATGTGCTCGGGATAGGCCATGAGAAGGGCTTCTCGTCGACACTGGTTCCTGGTGCCGGGGAGGCAAACTTTGACGCGCTCGAGGTCAACCCGTACGAGACGAAGAAGCAGAGGCAGGAGGGCGAGGTCAAGGGTCTGCTCAACAAGCTGCAGCCCGAGATGATCGCCCTGGACCCCAACTTCATCGGCAACCTGGACCTGCGCTCGGAGAAGCAACGGCAGGCGGACAAGGACCTGGACGCGCCGGCGGTGGACGTGGCCGAGGAGATCAGGAACAAGATGCGCGGCAAGAACAGCGCGCTCAAGAAGTACCTGAGGAAGCAGCGGAAGAAGAACATCATCGACGAGAAGAGGCTCAAGGTCGAGGAGATCTGGAAGGAGCAGCAGGACAAGAGGCAGGAGAAGCACAAGGCGCAGCAAGAAGAGCTGGGGCCTGCGCTCGCTCGCTTCGCTCGAAAAGAATGAGGGGCTGGAGATTTTTTTGGATGAGGGCATGCATTACCACGAAGATACCCAATGCCACCAATGCTCTCCAACTAATGGCCATGCTACCCTGTTTTGTTGTGCCGGAAGCTACTATATTCACTTGCACAGGACTCATCTGGGAAGACCGCATCTGCTTCCTAGTGTGCCGACCAGTGACCGTGATCTAGGTTCCTTCGTCCGTTTATACCTATCCCATTTCTATGTGACTCTATGACCGTTTGTTTTTCGGTTTTCCCTTCCAACGCCATGGCTATGCTCTGCAATGGCGTCAGCGATTTGCTCCGCCCAGCGCACGCGCGCGCAGCATCAAAAAGCAAGGCGGGCTGGGCACACGCCGACCCGTCCATGCTGCCACTCGCCCCCAGAGCAGCTCGCCGGGCACAGAGCCCGGAGCCTTGCGCTGGGTATTGAGTCCAGCTCGAGACGTCATCATGATGTGCCCGCTTCCCTGTACCAACCCAGCCGGGTTCCCAGTCCAAATTGTTTCGTGATGGTTTGTTCATCAGCATCGCCAGCTGCACATCCCTTTGTGTCTGGCGTTGTTCGTCTATCCCCGTCCGACCGGCATGCCCCCTTCTTTTTGTCTATAGCAGCTTGAGGTGCCCGGTGACCTTGTCGACCAGGCTCTTGGGCGCGGGGCCGACGCCCAGGACCGTCATGCTGCCGGCCTCGATCTGGGTGCGGCCGGCGTCCTGGATGACCTCGGCCGTGATGCCCAGGCTCCTCGCCTGGCCCATCAGCGTCAGAACCTCGTCCTGGCTCTTGGTCTGCACCGCGATCTTGGCCTGGCCCTGCCTCTCCCACCGGTGCAGCACCTTGGCCTCAGCGCCGCCAGGCGTCCGCTGTGCGGCCTTGGATAGCGCCTTGTAGCAGGCGAGCGTGGCGTGTCCGCACTGCGCCGCGATCTTGCCTGTGGGTTTTTGTAAAAAGGGGCGCCTGGTTAGCAAACAGGAACTGGCGACGCAGCGCATGTGTATTGAGGGACGGGGTCTTGTTTGACCAAAGGCAAAAGAAAAGAAAAAAACCGTACCTTTGGTCATGCCCAGATCCGTCCGCACCACGAGCACAAGCTTGCACTCCTCGTTCGAGTCCTCCACGGCGGCGGCCGCCGGGGCGCCCTTCTTGGCCTTTGCCTTCTTGCTGCCGGCGGCGGTGGCGCGCAGGCCGTCCCTGCGGTCGGCGTCGACGCCGTTGGACCAGTTTGGGGCGTGGTCGAGGATTGTGTCGTCCTCGTCGATGTCGGACTCGTCGCTCTCGACGGGGTCCTGGGCGAACCGGCGGCGCTCCTCGACCAGGGCGGGCGAGATGAGGTAGCCGCGGATCGAGTAGATGCCCAGCAGGAAGCCCGAGATGAGGGCGACGACGCTCGTCGACACGATGACGCTCGACGAGTACTTGTCCGTCGCCAGCCCGGGCAGCTGCGAGTGGGAGGAGGAGGCTGCGCAGGACATGCTTGCTGGGTGGGGGGGAAGTAGCAGCTGTCCCGGGATGTTGGGGTTTGAGTGTCAAGGATGTTGAGTTCAAGCCCGCACTAGGTAGGGAGCTTGGGGGTAGGACGTCGCTTCGCTCTCGGGATTAGCAGTCAGGCCAGGTCAAGTCAGCTGTTGGAGGGTCTTGTCCACGGCCTCTGCCATCGTGCATTTGGCGATGTGTTATTCGATTGACGTGTGGAATTTGATGGATCGATTTTCGACATGTCCATCCTGCTCTAACCCCAGCAGGTTTACAGCGCCCTGGACCCAATCAAAGCCCACCACAGGTGGCCCCCACGCTGCAGATCTAATTGCATGTGCAAGGCGGCTAAACCTGGCGCTCGCCGACATGGATCTTGTCTCGTCGACTCTTATCCTGATGTTTTAGGCTTCTATCCATCCCGAACTACCTAGGTACCTATCCCTCTTCCTCATCGGCTATAGCACTTTGAAGGTTGTGATTAAAAAGACTGTTTCGCGGGAGCGATAAGTGTGTGACTTCAGAACTTCCGTCTATGTTTTAGCTTCATTCCTTACTCCTCCAACGCGCACTGTCATTGGAAAGCCTCTGAACGGGCACTTATCTGCCCGCTTACCTGAGTACCGATGCGGTTGTCGAGTGGATTTTGTAACAGTCCTTGATTTTGGGGCACATTCCTAGCGTCTGACAAATTGCTGCTTCTATGTGAAGAAACGCCCGACTCGAGGGGCCTCCAGACCTCTTATCATAAAATTCCCAGCAAAAGCTGGTGCCCGTGTCATACACAAATCACTCACTAACAAGCTTGGCAAAGATCTCAGCCCTGTATCACCATCTAGCCATACCTATCACAGACAAAGGAGATGGCCGAGCAAAAGGCCATCATTGTCGGGATTAGCGGTTGCTCTTCGAGCGGGAAGACGACACTCGCGCGGCTATTGCGGGACATATTCCCCAACGCCTTTGTGCTTCACGAAGATGACTTTTACCGGCCCGAGTCCGAGTGAGAGACTCCAGAATCCGCATGGGGCGTATCGGCTGAGAAGGCGTCTTTGAGAAGTTTTGCTGATGACAGGCGTATACATGCGCGCCGCCGGCACAATGCAGACAGCCAAAGAAAGGAGACCTCCTGGACTGGGACAGCATCGAGTCGCTAAATGTCCCTCAGATGGAAAGGTCGCTGACCTATATCAGACAGGCTGGCAAATTTCCGGTACGTAGCTCATCTCGCCCCTTCGACTTGGAGGTTTGTCCTCGGAGTCCAGGGGCTGTTAGTCCAATGCTTAGCTTTCCCGTCTCACAACCCGACCTCAAACAGCCGGACCTAGACTCGAAGGAGGACCAAAACTCCGTCGGCGCATGCCCCGTGCCCGACAGCAAGATCGCCGAGCTCAAGCAAAAGGTCGCAGACTGGACGCGACCCGGCCAGCCGGGCCACGACGTCCTCGTGCCCGAGAAGCTGAGCCTGTGCCTCCTAGACGGCTTCCTGCTCTACTACCCGCCGCGCCTGGACGCCGTCATGAGCTCCATCGACCTTAGGCTCTTCCTGCTGGTCAGCCGCGACAAGGCCATCCAGCGACGCAAGGCGAGGACGGGCTATGTGACGCTCGAGGGCTTCTGGGAGGACCCCGAAGGCTACGTGGAGGAGATCGTGTGGCCCAACTACGCCGAGGCGCACGCCTGGCTGTTCGAGGGCGGCGACGTCGAGGGAAAGGTCGACGAGGCGGCGAGGGCCTCGAGGGACATACGTGTGCAGCAGGGCGAGGCCCTCGACGTTGACATGAGCGCGACCCTGGAGTGGGCGGTAAACACCATTCTCGAGGAGCTGCCGCCAAAGGCATCAGCCCGCAAGAACCAGCAGACACACTGAAGCCACTTTAGGATTGTTATGCTAGGACGAAAACCGAAGTATAAACTATTCAAGCCGTGACAATCTGGGCGTCTCCTGCGTGATTCTGCTGCACCCAAAAGTGCGCGCCTTGAGCATTACGATAATTACAAACTACTGTGAGACTTCCTTGCGCCTTCAAGAATCAAGGGCAGCGGGCGGGCGAAACAATACTGCTCCTACTGCCACCTGTCGGAAATGGCCGCTTCCGTGGCGCAAGAGTGAGGAACGGTGTAGGTGCGGTCCGGATCCGCCTCCCAGCTGACACTCCCGTTGCTCTGAACCTTGACGTATTTGTACTTGACCACATGTCCGCCCTTTAGTGTGACGTCAGTCTTCCATAGCGGGTTGCTGGACGTGTAGGCGGACGCGTCTAGCGGGGTGGCGTTCTCGGGGTTCCATTTGCCGAGGTCCTCGATGTCTCCGACCACCTTGATGGTCTCGCCCGGGACCGTCGTGACTAGCACGTTGAAGGTCACGTCCACCACCACGGGCACCACACAGCCGGTCGCGGTGGTGGATGCGGTGGTCGTCGGAGTGGGAGGAGCGCCGGTGATGGGCGTCTGGGAGGGCGGGAACGGCGGCGGGGAGACCGAAGAGTAGGTCCCGGGCTCCGAGTCGGTGCCGCACGACGCCGGGAGACCCCCGCCGCCCATCCACCAGGAGGCCGGCACGATGCCGGCTCGCCTGTCGGTTGCGGTCAAGAACGAGGCATAGCTCCAAGTCAAGTCGCCAGCCGACAGTGGGTGGCCGTCGTTCTTGTGAAACTGCTCGGCCATCGACCCGTTCGAGGGGGTATACTTGGCCGCGACACCTACAAACCCGTCCGCGTACACCCGCACCGCGTCGACCAGCTCTGTGAAGGTTGCGGAACCCGATGTGTATGATCCGGTCTTCACCGATGAGGATAGGTCCTGGAAGAAGGGGAGGGAGGTTTCCGTGACGTTGATCGCTCCGTAAAGTTTCCAGGTGTAGACGGAATCGTACAGGAGCTCGGCAGCGGCGAGGGTCGCGAGGTACCAAGGGTTTCCATCGTAGTACACGTCCTCGGAGTATCTGCCAACCGCGATGCCCTGCCCAGCCGGGATCCCCGAGTTGATGGCATAGAAGCGGAAGGAGTCCACGACGGCCTTGTGGTTTGCCAGAGACCTGCTGCTGCATGGCTGTAGCGTGAGGTCGTCGCAGCCGGCAGCGGGGTCGAAGTTGTGGATAGACACAAGCAGACTGTTGGCGTCTAGGCCAGTCCGCTTGACGTCGGTGTGGACTGTGGAGCTACCCGTCAGCATCATATACAGCTCCAGGAGGGCAAGGGCAAAAGAACACACTGTTGGAGACCACATAGTTGCCGGAGGGTGACCAGAAGCTCTGAAGAAAACAGAGAATCTGCGGCGCAACTCGATCACACGAGGCACATGATGTGCCAAGTGCCTTTGCCAGGGTACTCCCCTCAACCAGGGCTAGATTGAAGCATTGGTTAGATATTTAGGCTGCCTGGATGAACGACCGCGTGCAAACGCTCTGTCGAGGTACCGCAGGGACTCGTCCATGGCTCACCTCGATGCTGGCTGGCGACGGTGAAAAACGAGCTGCCATGAACCTCCTCCCAGAGATCGAACCCGGTTTGATTCCTGCATCAGCCAGGGTGTTAGTTTCGTTCACCAGCAATTTTAGAAAGAATTCGCAACCCACCAATACTGGGAAACGTAAGCAATATCATTGCGTATCACTGGCCACAGTATGTCGCGGATGGTAGAGGTGTAGCCGTTGGTCAGAAGCCAGTTTGCATAGCCCATCATGGCGATGGCCCTGAGGGCCGGTCCGTCCCTTTGCGGCCGGCCTATTTTTAGATGACGCGGTATTAGCATATGTCCTAGCACAACGCAAGACAGAGAATCTCGATCAAAGCATATACGCACCCCAGCTACCCTTGTACGGCCGCAGATTGACATTGAACTTGGCCTCTCCAAGGCCGGCCCCATCGGTCAGGGACCCAGCAGGGTTGTCAACTCCCTGGAGCCGAGCCTGGGTCGTGATGTAGTACTCGATTAAGTGCTGCAGGCTCGGGTCGTACTCGGTGGATAGTATGTCTCCGAGACACTTGAAGACGAGAGCGCTGTCTCTTGTCCAGGTGTAGTAGTCTATGTGTTGGTGTTAGTGGCGATGGCCCGATTCGGTCACGCGTAAACTCAAGTAGGTACCTCGGTAGTCACCATGTCGAGAAGAAATTGGGAGCTTACAGTCAGGGTTGACGGTGGTCGGTGAAGCGACCACGACGCCGGGAGCAACGCCGGGGGCGTACGCTCCGTCGGGCCCGATATTTCGGAGCAGGCCGCTCATGGCTATGGGCCGCTGCTCTGCGATGAAGGCGTCTACATCGCTCACTGACCGCGCCGCAGTCTGGTGGGAATTAGGGCGGCCAAGTACTATCTGCGCGGCGTAGGTGCCCAGCAGGGCGAGGGAAGAGAGAGGATGCATGGCAGTGGAAGTGGCGGTGGTACCCGGGCCGTTCGCAAGCGAGCTGGTTTGAGCGCCGAAGCTCGCCATGCTGGGCGGGGGTTTGCGTGCGGTTGGGACGGCTGGTCTTTATGCAGAACGGGAGGCGACAGAAGACGTCTCTCGAGTTTGTTGTAATGGAGGTATGATGTCGTACTAGGAAGCAGACATCTCGTATGAAGGGGAAAAGAGGTAGTACCGCAGCATGTGTGTCGGTGAAGGCCAAGGCAGGCTGGTGGTTGTTCACGGGGTCTATTGGCTCCAACCTAACCTCCTCTTTCCAGGGTGCATATTAGGCCGCCATGATGTCAACTGTAGGCGGAACTGGGGTGCGCCGTGCCGCGCCGAATTTCCAGGCATTAAGCCGAGGCACCCTGAGGCACCCTGTGGCACCTCTGCCAGCGGTGCCAAGTGGCGGCCGGAAAAGCAGCATTACCTGGGCGGGCAGCTAGGAACTCCAATGAAATCTCGCAACAGCACCGGACTCATATTCTAGTAGCTCCCCCCCC